GTATATTCCAGGTTTTCTGGAATTGTCACCTCCTTTCCTGGCTTGAATGGCAGTGTGTTTGAAGGGAATGCGATCTTGTCTTGATATTTTATCTGACATCAGCAAAACCCTGATTTGGGTACAGTGCCACAGCCACACAGCGTGTCACAGGTCACATAGATTTTGTTGTAAAGGCTCTGCAGCACCACACAAGTATTGATTCTATGTAAAAATGAGTGTAATGTAGTCATAAACATGTATATAACAAGATGGTGTGCTAATAATTATGTTTTATTGAGAAATTGTGTAGTGTGCAGCACTGTACAGCGCTGTACATGGGGGGACCTTGCTGTGACACTGTGATTACTGTGCAGCGTTGTGCAGTGCTGCACATAGGGTTAGGGTTTTGCTGATGGAGTCCCAGAAACTTGCAAATGTTATTACCTTGAGGTTTGACTTTTTTCATTTTGTGAAACCTCTTCTAATTATCCTCTCATCCTCAGTTTGAATCTTCAACACACAGCCTAATGAATGGTTGTCAGCCATCGGTCCCAATTCCCGGCACTCAACAATGGAAGCTTCAGTCACCCTTCCCCTCTCCAAGGCCCAACACCACTGTACCCCATGTTTGCACATCCAGAAACAAACTTCGGACAAGTTCTCGGTCAATAGCAACAGTGCACCCAAATCAGGCACCTCCAATAGCCCATTAAACATTGGAAATGAATCAAGCAGTGTTTGCTACACAAGGCTAGCAACTATCTAGACATGTATCTTCATGTTCATTTTTTATTGTGTTCTGTATCAATCCACAGTAACTTACTAGGTCTTAGTTTTATACCAGCTGAACAACCTCTGCACACTTATTGTGAACTCTCTTTTGCATGCCAATATGATTTGCCTTGTAACCAAAACCTTGTAACGTATGGTATTTCACAACCTACCAATAGGCACCACATCGCCATTCCAAAGACAATTGCTCTTCTATAGCACATTTCTCATACTCAGCCTTTTTCACCAAAGCCCTTCATCAATATGCTCTTGGTGCTCGCCTCTTCAAGAGTGATGTTGACTTTGTGACTGTCAGGCTGGTCTCCCATCACATCGCCCTTCATCTTCCCCTCTACTCATTTTACTCATTTGGATTCGCTGAGCGCAATGATACTCCAAGTTTTACCACCCTTTCCTGCACATGCTGTGTCCCACTCTGTACACATGCTCAGTCGTGTCACCTTTGATCAGCAGGTCATGCTGTATGGCTGAATGAACCAGAGGCAAGTAGAGATCACAGGATGTTACAGATGTACAAAAGACAATAAGAGGATGTGGGATTTCTTGAGCTTTGGGAAGGAAAAACGAAAACCTGTGTAGAGGTGAGATGGATTGGTGTAGGAAGGGAACCATGAAGATGGAAGATTGAGGTGCCTGGAAGGAGCAAAGACTGTATAGCGAGTTCATTTTCATCTTGTACTGTCTCTGCAAATTCATCAGCCTTGCCATCTTCACCATCATTCCTGTCTCTGCCAGACTCAGCATGCTCAACATATTCACCGCCCATCATTGAATTGCCTAGCAAGTGCCAGTGAAAATCAAAAGACTCACAACTGATGTCAGGGAAATAAATGTGCTCGGAGTATCAGCACTATTGAAACTTGCACTAATGCATGGAAGGTGAACAGGTGGATGCAGAGTGTTCCACACATAATACCCAATGTCTAGTTTCCAGCTTTCTGATGGGAGGCGCAACCAATGCGCATACAATGGTGCATCTATGGAAAGGTATACCCATCCTTGCCTCGACTGCAAGTTGGCTACTGGACAATTTGCAATTTCAACGCTGGAAAATGCAGATAGCTAGTTCTGGATGTGGTTTGGGCTGTTTGGCTTTAGCTGTTGCCAAATAGACAGCACGCAATATGCAGCAACTTGATAGTAGTCCATGATGAGCATGCCAAACATTGATTCTTGAACAGGACATTGTCCATGGTATCTTGCTCACTCTCAGTTCCTTCATTTGAGTAGTACTCACTCTAATGCTCATTTTGCGCATATGTCCTAGCTAACATGACAGTGTTTGCTCTCTCAATATTTTGAATTGCATCTCTATCCCACTGGAATCGTTGCTCCGACCATCTGACATCTACCCAACTACATATCTTGCGTTTTGTAGTGCAGAGTTTACTAATGATAGTTATCTACCTAAATAGGGGATCATTTGCAAAGTAAGCCTGGTGGCTTACATACACCTACACATATGGCTATCAAGCCTCGGAATCACATATTAACATTCTAACCTTGTCCAGACAAGTATGCACATCTCTCTCAAGTCTAGTTCACCATGCTCTGGCCACTACAGGTGGTTTTGCCCAGTGGTGCAGTAGCAGATATGACTGGATAGCAATGACGTTGGCATGCACACACCATGCCCCTCTTTGCAAAGCGCTCCTCACTTGCAGAGTCTATATGGCTGCACAGCACCCAGCATAGTTGGGTGCAGTTAGCTGATCTTGAACGCCTCCTGCGAGAATATCAGAGGCTACCTCATCAGAAGAATTGGATAGAGGCAGACCCAAGAATGATTTCACTGAACAGGTGAAGAGTAATTTAGAAGAGGACAATGAAGATGCAGAGCAGGGAAACCAGATGGAGCAGATGATCATGCTTCATGACAGTATCCTTCTCCTTGATAGGCGATCACTCTTTAATGTCACATCTGCATTCTGATGGGCCATGCCATGATTATAGGATACAATCAATCAAATGAAGTGTATTGGTTGCGCTGAGCTGGACGAAATGTCGACATCTGTAATGTCCCCCCATCCGATTCATCCTGGTCACTTTCACGCAGAACAAAGAGCACACGGGATGCCAACATACTGTGCAGGACAAGCTGTGGCCTGTTATGATGCATCAAAATTTTTATTAGGCTATTATAAACAAATTGCTACGCACACGTCCATCATCATATCATATGATGCCTTCCCCAAATTAGCAAAATTTGATGAACGGATACAACGTGCAACTTACTGGAACCACGGACATGATCACTATATTGACCACAGAAACAACTGGCACGAGCGCTTCAACACGGGACATACTAAATTGAACAAAAGACCACCGACAAATTATGGCAGTCATATACCGCATTCCGCCCTGGAAGACAGCTCTCACTAGACGACTGTCGGAATCTCTGTAGTCTTGATATCTCTTGAACATCATTAAAGACATCAGCACTGTAGATAGGATTGAGCTGAGATGGGACGGAGACGAGATATCCTTACACAGTTCGTAGGCTACAAGAAAGCCGTATTGAATGGCACTGCTGCGACCTGCTTGAAAAGTGCAGTTACTTGTGTGGGGAGCTTTAAAACCAAGGTTGCCGTCTACAACAATGAAAACAAAATAAAGGGGACCTACCTGAAGGGTCCGCAGGCGCCACTACATTATTGACAACCTCCGCGATACTGACAGCACACGCAATGGAAATCTACGTTGCGATATCAACAGACGATGAGTATGAGCACGCATGACCGGCCCAACGTACTGCTGCCAAGACTAGTAACACTACCAAGAGCTTTTTGCTCTGTTTCCAGAATACATATGTACGAATGATCAAAAGACCTTGAAAAATAGAGATAAATTTCAAGCCCAGAAGACATTATAAACATGGACCGCACCTTCAGCAGCCACAATAGTGATAATGTGAATTGCTGCAGTGAAATCAGTAAAACGCTGGCTGCTCAAGACATTGATCACCATTTGAAGCCCGGTTGAAGTGTGAGCACTGTATTCAATATCCTTTAGTTCATACAATAATCATATAGTAAGCAAAACACACTGACGTCCTCATTCGCTCGTGTAGCAATGGCAGCTAGTCACTAGTCAATGTTCCGTACCAGGAGATATGACTCGGAGTAGCCGCTCACCGTATGAAGTCATACCAGCTGCTACAAAGGCCATGTAGCGTGAAATTATGAAAAGAACACGAGTGATGTTCCAGCGACCATTCCATGTCCATCGAACCTTGCAACACTGTCGGGAGATGTTCGAACTCATTAAAGTAACACTCACCTCAGGTTCGAGCGTTAAGAAATAGTCAAAAATCTACGGAGCTTAAGAGGGAATATTGTCCATGGTTTGTATACCTACCAAAACTCCTAGACCGGCCACTGCGTATATTCAAGATGAAAGTAATGTAAACCCCTGTGTGAAGTCCACGTACCATTGCAATACTGGAGTAGTTGCAGTCAATAAATCTCAGCTGGAAAATATATTTGGAAAGTCTTACCTTCGCAGTCTGAATTCCTGTATTGGCTATGGGCATGACCATTGTATACTCGTACTGGATAAGGCTCCAGAACTCGCTCTTATATGCTTACACGATTTATGTAAATTTGAATCCGATTCGACACTCGCCGTGCGAGATTAACATAAACTGTATAGGTGATTCAGTCAAAGCAGGGTCCTATCTTGTCCTATCCGTATCGTAAAACTGACGGTGGCACTAAATCTCTTCACGCACCAGGCACTGAGCTTGCCTGAGCGAATTTGAAATTCAGCATCTAATCACGGAGGAGCACTGGGCAACGTGTGCGGGTCGAAATGTTGAAATCTCTCAGCGGTGACGATTTGTTCCACCCCTTGGCAATTACTACATATGAGACGCCCACACATGTACTATGCAGAACAAGCTGTGAACTCGTTAGGGGCTGATTTGGGCATCATGCTCTCGGCGCGGTTCAACTCACCTATCCATTATCTCACGCCTTCAGTGGCAATCGGGGTCGTGGCACAGCAGAAAACTGGCAGTTCAGTTACTTGTCATGAATACGGATATAGTGGGCTTAATTGCTGCAGAGGGCTGGATGCTAGATATCTTCACGTACCAATTGAAAGAGAGCAGTTGGTCATTGTGCGCTTAGCAAGCCGATACCACTCACTACCACCAGATCAGGACATTCATATCATACCGGCATTGGTTTACGACACTTGCGACTCAGAGAAGGGTCGAGCTTGTGTAACAAACAGATGATGAACGTCATTGATTTTTTTCATGTTGTTATTTATCGTCCGTTAGGGCGGGGCCCTGTATTAGGCAGTACGTAGGAAACGTGGCAACGGGTGCACGACTTACCCAAAGTAGAGCGGACCAATGGGCATCCCACCGTGAAGGTCAGGCGTACATTCCCAGTATCTGCAGGGTGAACCTCCTGCGTGCGGTAGACCGGGTCAGATCACAGCAATGAGAGCAAAGATCGAGGTAAGATACGTACCATCATAGCGCGACGAGCAACCCAGTCTCATGAATCACTTCAGATATGTAGTGTCCTTCACGGAAGGTGAATTCGCCATGCACATGCGGAAATTTGGTTACTTCTGCTTCGCCATATTAGATGGGCAGCTGTAGCCAGGAACGTTATCGCAAAACAGAAATCGAAATAGCAAGAGCATAATAATATAACTCTGCCTGGATTCCTTGTTGAGGTGTGTACCGTGATATCATCAGGTTGCAGCTCATACCTCGATGATATAAGAACACACATGCAACGGTATGTCATGATTTCAGAGTCGAGTTCCCCGTTGAACGCGTGCTCTCGTTCGTGAGCGCAATAATATTTCGCTGTGTTAAGGAGTTGACTGATGTAGATAGGATGGCTACGAGATCGTGCGAGCTGATGAGGGAGGTGCTGAGATTTAGTGACGCGACACGCGTTAATGTCCTCTGAGACATGTATGAATGTATGAGAGCAGGAATGGCTAAAGCACGACGATTTTGTTGTATCCCGCGGGGCCGAGAGGAGTTCATCGAGAATATTTACTTGAGCTTGATAAAGAAGCGATGGAGGTTTGAATATGTTATCGGTGCCGTGGGCCGAGAGCACTGCTGAATGTTTGAATATCTATTTGCATCATCTGGACGACAGAAATTGAGAATTGAGTGACTGCGTTTCCTGCGCGAGAGCGGCGTAACGGCGACAGCGTTCAGTGCTGCTGGTAAAGAAATCTCTTGACGTCGGGGCGTTGTATGGCTGACCCGGAGTTGTGACAGAATATTTTGTGCGAGCGAGTGTAAGGCTTGTAAATGGGAAACTTGATAATGTTTATGTCAGAACCGAGAAGAATTTATACGCGAAGTACCGAGCCCACAGGATAGAGCAGATCTATAGTCTCAACTAGGGGTCGGCGTCGCCGACGAAATACCTTGCGGAGCCTGTGTTCTGTTGTTTGTTACTGTCAAAGTCCTGTTTGGTTGTTGTTTGTGTCTGATCTTTTCTTTCATTATGTGCGATTCATGCATTTCATCTGCTGTCGGTTCATTCAAGCCCCAGATTTAAATGTTGTCTCTGTGATGGTTTGCTTACAGTGGAGATTCAAACACGCGGCACTGCTGTTTCATTGACTGACTGTATCTGTATTCGCTCCAAAGTTGCCTTGGTCCAATAAATCACGTGCATATTTTGTCTTGTTTAGTAGTAAATAGTACCACAGTCTAGACCTTGGTAATGTTTGGCTTTGTTAGGAATGGAACGGAGCTATATACTACATAGGGTATACCTTTCAATAGACGCGCATGCACTGACTGAAGCTCCCCTCAGAAAGCCAGAATCTACCCATCGGTTATTAGTACGTGTAGAACTTCCTGTTCGCTTTCCGCGCGTACTAGTAGCTCAAGTGACAATAACGCCTCTAAGACGTTTGCCAGTTCACGAGTAGACACGATGATTATGGCGGGTGTTCGTATCCATCATACCCCTCTCTGCAAAGCGTCTCTTTTGCAGAGTCTATATGGTTGCATAATACCCGGCATGGTTGAGTAACATTAGCAAATCTTGAGCGTCTCCTGCGAGAACATCAGAGGCTGCTTCTGTCATACTGGACAGAGGTGGACTCAAGAAAGATTTCGCTGGAAGAAGTGAAGAGCAAATTAGAATAGGATAATAGCAGGGCAACCAAATGGAGAGGCAGATGATCATGCTTCATGACAGTATCCTCCAGCCTCCAGCTTGGTGGCTCTTCATAGGCGATCTCTTTTTTATGACACGTCTGCATTGATGGGCCATACCATGACTATAGAACATAATCAACCAAATGAAGTGTATTGGTGGCGCTGAGCTGGACGAAATGTCGACATCTGTAATGTCCCCCCATTCGATTCATCCTGGTCACTTTCACGCAATCCAAAGAGCACACGGGATGCCAACATACTGTGCAGGACAAGCTGTGGCCTGTCATGATGCCATCAGTTTTTTACCATTATAAACGAATTGCCACGCACACGTCCATCATCATGTTATATGATGCCTTCCCAAAATCAGCAAACATTGATGAACGGACACAACATGCAACTTACTGGAACCACGGACATGATCACTATATTGATCACAGAAACAACTGGCACGAGTGATTCAACACAGGACATGTTAAATTGAACAAAAGACCACCGACAAATTATGGCAGTCATATACCGCACTGCGCCCTGGTAGACGGCTCTCACTAGACGACTGTCAGAATCTTTGTAGTCTTGATATCTCTTGAACACCATTAAAGACATCAGCACTGGGTGGATGGGATTGAAAAATCAGCGAAGATGGGACGGAAATAAGATATCCTTACACGATTCGTATGCTATAAGAAAGCCGTATTGAACGGCACTGCTGCGACCTGCTTGAAAAGTGCAGTTGCTTGTGGGGGGAGCTTTAAAACCAAGGTTGCCGTCTACAACAATGAAAAAAGAATAAAGGGGACCCACCTGAAGGGTCCACAGGTGCTGCTAATAGATTACTGACAACATCTGTGATACTGACAGCACACGCAATGGAAATCTACGTTGCGATGTCAACAGACGATGGATATGAGCACGCATAACAAGACCAACGTACTACTGCTAGGACCAGTAACACTGCCAAGAGCTTTTTGCTCTGTTTCCAGAATACATATGTACGAATGATCAAAAGACCTTGAAAAATAGAGATGGATTTCAGGCCCAGAAGACATTATAAACACGGACCGCACCTTCAGCAGCGACGATACTGATGATGTGAATTGCTGCAGTGAAATCAGTAAAACGCTGGCTGCTCAAGACATTGATCACCATTTGAAGCCTGGCCAAAGTGCGAGCACTATATTCGATATCCTTTAGTTCATACAATAATCATATAGTAAGCAAAACACACTGACGTCCTCATTCGCTCGTGTAGCAATGGCAGCTAGTCACTCGTCAACGTTACGAACCACGAGATACGGGTAGCTGTTCACCATATGAAGTCATACCAGCTGCTACAAAGGCCATGTAGCGTGAAATTACGAAAAGAATACGAGTGACGTTCCAGCGCCTGTTCCACGTCAATCGAACCTTGCAACATTTTCAATAGATGTTCGAACTCGATAAAGAATCCTCACCTCAGGTTCGAGCGTTAAGAAATAGTCAAAAATCTATGGATCATAAGAGGGAATATTTTCCATGGCTTGTAAGGCCTACCAAAACTCCTAGACCAGCCACTGCGTGTATTCAAGATGAAAATAGTGAGGACCCTGGATGAAGTCCACGTACCATTGCAATACTAGAGTGGTTGCAGTCAATCAACCTCATTTGGAAAGTATATTCGGAAATTCTTACCTTCGCTGTCTGAATTCCGGTATTGACTATGGGAGCGACCATTGCAGGCTCGTAATGGATGGGAGTTCAGAACCGCAGAACTCGCCCTTATACACTTCCATAATCTGAATTTGCCTGATTGCATCCAGTTTGTAACTTTGCATTCGCCGTGTGACCGGCAAGATCAAATTAGACTGCACAGGTGATTCAGTCGAAACCAGTAGCACTGCGGTCCTACCCGTATCGTGAAATTGGAGGCATTAGATTTCCAATGTAGCAAACACGGAGCACCGGCACTACCCCATAAGCAGCTGCTCGCTGGCAAAAGAGTGATTTTGAAATTCGAAGAAATGCTATTCGCCGGAGGCTTCAGCGATTTTTGCTCCACTTTGATGCAAATGGAAGAACGCGCCCATACACTATGCGTAACAACTGTGAGCTGATTTGGGCACAGGCGCGTTTCAACTCATATTTTTATCATCTCGTCGTAGGACGCCACCAGTGATAATCAATGTTGATGCAGTGGTAATCAAGGTTAATGGAACAACGGAAAACAGTCCAATTACTTGCCACGAGGGATATGAGAATCTTGTTTGCTGCAGAGACACCATGTTGTTCAATCTCAGCAGAGCAGTGATATGGTCACATACATCCCATCCATCCAAGAAGAGCATCCGGACGAACCGGTTTTTGAAGTCCGGTACTAGTCTCGGTGTTTTTGAAGACAGCGGGAGATTATCAGAACCCACGTGCTTAGCTTCCAGAATCCCAAATATATATAACGAGATTAAGAAAACTAGGTCGCAATCCTGGTGATCCATTTAGTGGACAAAAAATCTCGAGTCAGATTAGGAAGCAGGAACACACCTCGCCCGTTTATATATATGACTGGTGGTCAATGAGCTATAATCCCCTCTGAATGACTTCCTCGGTGTAAGCGATGTATGGTCTACGTGACAAGATGTCGGTCGAGTACTTGCGGGTGCCTACGTCGAATAAGTTCACGATTACCTTACGGTGGATTCATGGTAGCGTGTAGCACAAACTTAGACCGCATCAGTACAACCCATCAAAGTATGCCACGATCAACACGCTTCTTTGCTCGCATATGTGTATTGGTCGGAAGAGATAGAGGTAGTGCTTGTTAGAGGAGATCGATCAATGCGCTCATGTCCTACTGGCGTCTTGGCACAGGTATTCTCCTGGATAGCACCACAGTCCATCACGGACTTGCTCATCATTTGATCTGTGGCACAGCGATCTGTAATGGCTCAGAGAACTTGAACAAATTAAGAAGACCAGTGATTCCGCAGTGGTTACGGTCTCACAGCGATTCGGTGGGAGGGGCAGACGAATGATGCACACAGATTGGACAATGGGCGAAGTTATATATAGGCGCGTATGATCTACTCATACTGAGTAGAAAATAGCAGATACGTCGGTATCACGTCCAACACGTGTTCAAGCTAAGCCAGGATGTTCTGTTAGTACTACAAGTCTACGACGTGTTTCGGGTAGCTTAGTCATCATTCAATGTCTTTTCCGTTTCTCCTTCGGAGGTCATTTTCTACAAGCATCAGACGCTCCTACAGGACTAAGAATATTCCTGAGGATATAGTCGCGAAGGCCCTCACAACACAACCAACAAGATGCGATCGTTCCGAGGATATTCAAAGCATTGAGGACATCAAGCCCGAAGCTGAACTCCAAAGTATCTCGACTTCGAAAGCTGTTCGCAAACCCAAGACACGGAAAGCTAACATACCACTCCCGATCAACAGGTTTGATCTGCCCCCGCGTTCGAAATGGCGAAACTACTTTCCCACTAGCGGCATGGCATTCAAAAGTCGTATTTCCATCGCTAATCCCGAGACGGCGGCACTAGTTGCAGAGTCATTCGTTCCTAGCGGCTCGAGGGATAAAGTTATTATAGAAGCGTATCCCGGTGAGGGTATCGATATTTAAATTTCAGTCTTTGAGTACTTACAGAGCACACAAAGGTCCTGGTGCATTAACTCGCGCTTTAATGCAGTTGCCGAAAGAACGAATCCGAAAAATCATTGTGCTTGAGGACGTAGAACAGTATCTCAACTTCCTGAATGTGCGAAATGACCTTTACAGAGTTTGGTCATGCTGATAGTCTTTGACAGCCGCTGCAGGAAGCGGACCCTAGAGTACAAGTTTTGCCAATGAACGGCTTTTCGTGGGACACGTATCATCAGCTAGACGTCCAAGGCTTCCTGGACGACGTGGAGAATATTCCATGGAATCAGTCAAATCCATATCTACATTTTATCTCGCACCTTCCTATGGATGTCCTGGGCGAGCAGCTCTTAGCACAATTACTACGATGTGCACCAGAACAGTCATGGCTGTTCAAACACGGTCGCATTCCAATGAGTTATCTAATGCACGACTGGGTATGGGATGTAAGTGGTCTCATTCCACAGACTAGCTATCCCTATCTGACACAAGTGATAGCGTATCTCTGCGTCTACTGAGGATCCGGCTCGATGCAAGCTAAGCGTCATCGCACAAGCCGTTTCTGAGTTTAGTCATGCCGTTGAGCCACGGCTGCTGGTGCCGTATAATGACCATTTCTACCCTGATGCTACAAACCCTGCATATTCCTCAAAGACTGAAAACAGGCGCAGAGGTACGCCATTCGTAGCAGGTACATTCAGACCGTTGGAGCATCAGGTACTTGCCATGTTTCCTGCACATTTAAATCACTGACATCATGCGCAGATCATTCGGTCAGGCATGCTGGACAAATGGGATTACTGCCTACGGAAACTCTTTGTGCTGAAGTCGACTCCTCTCAAGAACGCTGTTGGGTATGCTCACGAGTCCACTTTTAGTCGTGAAATTTTATCGATCTTCCTCTAGTCATCTAGCACCTGGATCTGACGTTCTAAAGTCTTACCTCACGGGTGATGATGTTCCACTCCATCAGAGGACTGACATGAAAAAGATCATCAAGAAAATGAGTGTAGAGGATTGGGCTGCTGTCGTCGGCGCCTTCGACCGGTGGCCCTTTGCACCTGAGGTAGATTTCAGTATCTTGACCTCGGCACTGGCTAATGCATACTTTCACTGCAGGAACTCTTGATCACGGATTCTTTCAGCAGAGACGACCGCATATAACGTTTAGTATGATATTACTCTTCTAATGGATGCATCAGTCGACGAGGGGTCACGATGGCGGGACTGTATCTTATCCCTAAGAACCCGTCATGTGCGCATATACCCTTGCTCGGATAGCGCATTCGTGCATGTCAGACCCTCTCCTTACTGTTTCCGTGTCACAGAAGGAGCCAATTTGGCAATTCGATATATTTGCCTTTCACAGATGTTTATACCGCCTGATCTGTCTGGACAATAGCAGTAGATATATCATCAATGTACTGGGTGACGAACGCGAGCTAAGTATCCAGACTAAGGTGCAGTGACAGATCGATCGTCCACATCTCGACAAAAAACCTAACTTTGCAAATCGTGGTGGATTTGTTGGGACGAACAACCAGTGACTAAACTCAGGTCGAGCACTGATATCACAAGTTGAAACTTTCAAAGCCAAACTATGAACATTCAAGATTTGAATCTGACGGCACTGTACTTACAAGCTACTATACATATCACAAAGCAAGAAGATATATGTAAGCCAAGATTAAAATATTCAGATTGAGGTGCGGGCGACAACCTAGTTCTTCTCTGTCAGAGACCACATATAGTAAATACCTATACTTCGATACGGCGCCCAAGACGCGGTTAAATCTTCCATTTCTTTCGAAGTAAGGAACGCTCCTCTTCAGAGAGCCTTGATGAGAAATTGTCCACAAAAGAAAAATCCAAGTGACATACTTGATCTTCTTTCTTTCTAGTCTTGATTTCAAATCCGCAACGCTCAGACCTTCGGGAAGGGGTTCTGTGTTCATCGCGTCTGCCTCGAGAGTCTTGTCAATCGAGGGAGTAAACGGTTCAGGAAGCGATTTAATTAAAGCGGGAGTCTGTGATTGTGACTCAGACAATGTCGGCAACACCTCATTATTCGGTTCTACATCTCCTGTCAGTTGAGAACTAGGGGTTGTTTTCGGTGCAGGAGTTGTAGACGGTGGTCCCATCGCACTGGCACTTGCCCCTTTTGTTTTGTCATCGTTGGATTCGTCACCGCTCAGTTTATGCGGTGAAAGTGTAAATGGGTGCTTAGACGAGTGGCGCGAGAGAAACCAGCGCAACATTCCTCGCTGGATACCGAGGTCACCTACTGGGAGGATGTTTGGACGACGGAGGGAGAAGATTGCGAACATGTCAACTGCACTGGAATTATGAGATATTCTTGGATAAAAAGTAATATAACACTCACCAGTCCACTTGGTGACAAGAAGCGAGATGTTAATGAAGGACAAATATTGTTATTTAAACTACATACCCGTCCAATCCCTCGCACTTCTATAAGCATTTCAGCAAGGGTTTTATCATCTGCAGCAAGTAATTTTTCTGTTGAAAGCCTTCCATCTGCAAATCGCGCAGCAAGGTCTTTTACTGACAGGAAATTATAGCTTAGACTCGGTTGATGGGATTCACAGCGAAATCGACAATGACACTGACCATACTCGGCTTTGCGTGTACTGAGGCCAGCAGACTTGAGTGTTATGATATCCGTATTGGCAACCTGATAAGGGGTAGGGAAGAAAGATGTTGGAGATTTTGATGCACTTCATAATGAAACCATCAACACCACGCAATGACTGATGCAGGCAGGCGTAGCATGCTTTTGGCATATAATTAGACTCACGAATAATCTGCTGCTTTTTCGGGCAATGAGGGGTCATACAACCGAATAAACCTATGGGTGATCGATCGGGCTGCCAGCCATGAAATTTGTTGAGCGCTACGAAATGCACACTCAATTTAGTGTCTTCACTTATGCAGGAGATATTTCTCACAGAATTGATTCTACAAGCGCCCTACAGATACATTAGCATTCCATATCACTCAGTGAAAAATACCGCGCTCACCGGAACGGATGGACCTGTTCAAGGGTCTCAAAAGGTTTACATTTGAGCTTTGTGAATATATCTTCGAAGCGGTGGTCAGCGCGAATAAGATGCGCTTTAGCCTCCTCAAACGAAAATGTCAAGACTGCGGGAACCAAACTTTTCTCCTCGGACTCGTTCTGCAAGGGAGGTGGCGGAGGCGGAATGAACGCATCCGTCGATGTGAGCAGGTGTCTCAGCACTTTTATCGGAAGACTTTGTTTTCTTAGTACGAGGTGTCTTCTTGGCTGCTGGGGATTCCTCAGCGGCTTTTCGCTTGCTGGATTTGCCCACTGCAGAGGGTGATACCATTGTTGTTGTCTTGTTGCTTCCTCCCACTGGTGTTGATGCAACTGACCGAGTAGCTGATCGTGTTACGGGCATGATAAATCTAAACGTAGAGCGTGCAGAAAATCGAAGTCTAGAGAATGCAAATCTCATGCACTAGTGATAATTGCAAGAGGCTGGTTAGTGACAAAGTTCAAACCAGTTTGCTGAACCTTCTACGCAAATATTAATACGTGACTCAGCGTCGCCGATCGCGTCGCGTCACGGCACCAGACCTACTTCGCGTTTCCTTTTCAGGCACGGTCACTTCAGTTGCCGGCACAGCTGGCAGGCCCCGCAGTCTTCCAGTTCCGATAGCTTTATCGTAGCTGGCCCCTCTTATATCCATACCAACCTCCAAATCATAACTTTTCACTGAACAATGCAGAGTGGGTACACCAAATTCAATAAATGTCCATCCTGATGTTCATATCTATCATCAGAATACATCGTCTCTCTTGAGCCTGGCGCAAACTACGATGCTACCAAGGAAGATATCGAGAAACGGGGTGGGCTTCTCAAGTCATCATACCATCTTCAGACCTTTGACAAACCCTCAACAGGTGGAACTGTCGTCGATGAATCGGCGCGAATTCTTGGGGTTTGGTTGATTGGGCTCTAAGATTTCTCCAGTGGCTGACACACTTCTCTCGTGTAGATGATGACCGTCCAGATGTCTGACGAAAGCGCTTCGTCACTGAAATCATTCAATGACCATATTATCTCAGTCGGTGCGCGCTCTCTGCATTAGTCACAGGACGGGATGGTGCTCACTGTTGCTGTTTGTCTCAGAACCTGACCAAACAGTTTCGACCCAGGCAAGCGCCTAATAGCATCAACATAGACAACATACTGGGAGATGCACGGTGATGATTTGGTGTAGGATATGAATGAGTGGAGACAGACCTGTACAAGTCATTCGAGGATGTGGGACGACTACTATGTAGAACGACTGCAGTCGTTTTGATCTGATAAGTTTCCCTGAGCGATCTAAGCGACCTCTCGAAATTCCAATAATAGCGTCCAACCTGAGCTGAGGCATTACTTAATGCATAAATTGCGGGGATGGTAAAATAAGTTCTGCCGTGGGGAGCGATGAGCGAACGAATGGCAGATAGGTACGCAGTTAACGAATGTGTGATGTATGGAAGGGTATAGCAAGTCCAGACGATTGTCGGTCAAAAACAGAGAATTAGGCGAAGGCAAGTATCGAGCAAAAGGACCAACTTCAAAGACAGCAGATTAAGAAAATCGTGACAGGTCGTGACGAGAAAGATAACGAAAATGACTAAAGAGCAATGGAATCAGCATCCCTGGGTACATCTGCAGAAGGCTTGTGGACTGGGAGGTCGATGGAAGTTGTACCTTCGTTCGACGCAGGGGAGCTGACTTTGAGCTCTGGTAGAACAGGAGGGTCACTTGATATCCCGTGTCGTGCCCCTTCTTCGCCAGTTTCGCTAGAGTACGTAGACGAGGCGCGCGGTACATCAACAGAAGGCTTAGGCGTAGCAGCAATTGTAGCAGGCCTCGACGCAGTGGGCGCAAGGTTTGCCCCTGGGGCAACTACAATAGTTGCAGGAGGCGGGTCAGGGAAATCCCATGAACGAGGAACCATCGCTGCTGGCATGATCCTGAAATACACACAATCAGTAGTTGAGTTTGTCCTAGATACCAAAAACCTACCAGGTAGCGCAGCAGACAACTCCTTTACCCTTATCGGCTGCCTTGATCATATGCCACTCGGTTTGCACGAACTGAGCGATATAGCGAACGAACGGCAATACCTCACGGACTCCGGGGCTGACGATCGACAATGCAGTCAGCAAATTGAGCAAGGCAGTACCAGGAGAGGCGACTGCACCGAGGTGCTCAATTGTGGGAGGCGGCATGCAGACTTCAAAACCCCACCAGTCTAACAACAATCGATTAGAACTTGAACGATACTCCATGAAATGAAAACACGCACACGTCAGAACAGAAAGACGATCTGTAGGCACGACAACACCCTTGTGATCCGGCAGAATTGCCTTGCTTGTTGCAAAACCAAGCGCAAGTAACTGCGGGGTTATTTGCTGGAGGCCATCAATGATAGTTTCTGCGCTGGGAACGGCACCTGCCAGTAATCCCGGCGATGATGCTGGCGCACCGAAACCCATGTCCGAGGCAGTGAGAAGGTCGACGAGGTGCACGTTGACCAACGCGTTAGATACTGCAGTTGCTGTTGCAGTAGCAACCGAACCAAGCTGTACAAAGTGTTGCTCGTGGATTTCTTTGTCGATCGAGTCAAGACACACTGCATGGATTGGCCCAGTATTAGTGGACCTTGTATCTGCTGATGATGCAGACATTGCGTGCAGGTGATCAATGATCTTGCTGGCGGATTTTGGCTCGAGAAGCTGCGCTTTGACGCGCGCTAGGTCAGATTTAGAGAGTGGCTTTGACCTCTTTGTTCTGCCATCCACCATTTCATGATCCCCCACGATGACGGAACGAACCATGACTGCGGTGTCTCTGGCACGCCTATCAGAAGTCTTGGACTGCAGCGCACGAATCGTGAATGCCTTGCTAGCACGTGATTTCTTCTCTTTTTCATGCGCCTTGGATAGCGTGTGAGGCTGTGGGTGAATAGGTTCGGAGTGCCGGGAAGGCTTGCGCTCCGGCTGATTAAGTTTTGACTCGGAGCGCAAGAAGGAAAATGAACGGAATGAGAAACGATGAGGGTCCTTCCCGGTCTTAGCACTAGGATAAGGATTTGCACCCAGCACGCCTGGGGTCGCGTTACCCACGGATTCAGCAGCGGGACCTTGCCCTGGGCTAGGAGGTACTAAAAGCGACTGCGCAGATGACTGTGGCAAGTTCGCAGACGTGGGCTGCACAGGCGTGAACGACCGGCTGACTACTTGAGGAGTACCCGGATGAGAGGGTACTCCATAGGCATCTGTGTGGGAGGATTTCGAAGCAGATGAATGCAAGGAAGAGGATGAGTTGGCTGAATGAATGGAAGCAACGTCTGCGGCAGGAGATGCATCTGGCACCAGAGCCGCGGGGGCAACTTCAAGATCCGCCTTCTCGACCTTGGCTGGCTCTGCAGCAGTCGCGACCGAAACACGAACACCAGCGGACTTGAGGAAGGTCAACATTGCAATGAAGTCGCGCTGCAAGCGAAGGAAGAAGAGGGAGAAAAAAAACTCAACGAAAAATCGAGCCGAGAGTAAGAGTAAGACCCTAGGTCACGTAACTTAAGTAGCTGAACGGAGCATGGCCAAGCTTCTGCGTGAGAATGGGGGGCGAGGCTTGAATAACCTTGCTCGCTCATAATAGGACTCAGTGATTGCACAGGACGGCACTTGGGCAGTGACCGGCCTCCATGTGGCAGGAAACAATGGCCATGACAAGCTTGAGAAGTCCATGCGGGGGAAGTTCTCAGGATGAACGTATTCCCACATCAAGAACACGGATCGACAGACGAGTAGCGCGTAAATAGAAACTCGACCTCTCAAAGGGGGGCCAACATCCAAAACAGAGCATTTGCATTAATATTGCCTGATTGTCTGCCTTTTCCAGTACAGGATGCTGCAAGTATAACCGAACAGCCTTCAGAACAGTATTTTCAGTTGCCTCCATTCCTTCTATGCCATCACTAGAATGAGATTCGGAAGACCATAATCTATGCTGTAGTTTGTGGTGCGTGGCTACCCTGTTTGGAGCCTTGAGACTCCAACTCAACACCTCCTGTGACGTTTCTCAATTGTCATGTCGAATGCGCTGTACAGTAGGTCGGGTCTTTGACAAATTTCTTGTTCATTTCGTCAACTCAGGTGGCCTGAAGAGGTGCGCTTGGCTTTATATTCGGAAACCCGCGTTGTATGCTGTTTAGTTCGTGGTACGAAGGTAGTAACAGGGGAAGTTGTTCGGTACCTAGTGACAATGAGCAATGAACATTCCCCCGACTTCCAGGAGGAGGGTCTTTGTCGAATGGATACGTCTAATCTTTCTGCTTTTCTGCGTTTTGTCGATCGATCACATTCTTGGGTTCTTGTCTAAATCGTTGGTGCCATTCTTGCGTTCATCCTCGTCCGAAAAGTGCCAGCTGATGTCTCGCTGAAGCCTCATCCATGGACTTTCCTTCGGTGGTTGGCTCTTTCAGTGCGACTTGACAGCTAAAGACGGGGGGCTTACATCATTTTTCTCACTGTCAGACTTACACTGTCCTCAGCTTGCGTGCATTATTCTGGCCTCCAGCCCCATTAAACGTTTTCGGGCAGTCTGTCGGGAATTTAGGTTGACACGTACACACCTCAGGGATATATCTTGTGTTTCTGAGACGACCCTCGCGAGGGATGAAGGTGAATTCCTTTTCATAGACAGACTGTCACATAAAAAAGAGGTTTCGGCACAACGACTGTGCTTAGTTAATATGGACCTCCAATGATCTATACACCATAAAAATGATGCCAGCAAGTTTCGAACCAACTCCATGAGAAACAGATTTTAAATCTGTTGGGCAACCACTTGGCGAAGACCAGTTAGAAGAACTTCTGATGAAATCGTCCACGAGTGAATTTCGAAGCGTGTTCTCCGAAAGAAAAAACCTTTCGTTTAGCAGGTTTCAAACCTGCACAGCCAAGAGAAACAGATTTTGATTCTGTTGTTGCAACCACTCGGCTAGGACCAGTTAAGATGAGCCGCTGAGGAAACCATCCACGAGTGAATGTCAAGGTGTGTTCTAATAGAAAAAAAACCCTGCTGTTAGCAGGTTTCGAACCTGTGCAGTGCAAGAGAAACAGATTTCAATTCTGTGGTGGTAACCATTTTGGCCAGGACAAAGTTAAAACAAACCTGCGAGGAACTGTGCATGAGCGAATGTCAAGGTGCGTTCCGAGAGAGAAAAAACTGTCATCGACAAGTTTCGAGCTTGCACAGTCCAAGAGACACAGATTTTTATTCTGTTGTTGTGACCACTTGGCTAAGACCAGTTACAACGAGCCTCTGAAAAAACCGTGTATAAGTCAATGTCAAGGTGTGTTCTGATAAACAAAAACCTTGTCATTGGCCGGACGCTTCCAAAGTTATCCACTGTGAGTGGCTACAATGTCAAGGTGTGTCGGCGGGTTTCGAACCCACACTACCCAAGAGAGCAGATTTCTAATCTGTTCTGGTGCCAGTTGGCGATGGCCGCTTGAAATAGACCTTGAAGGATCCATCCACGAGTGAATGCTCAACTGGTAAAAGGAAAATATTGTTGAAGAAGTTTCGAACCGGCAACAGATTTTCAGAACGTCCTGTCATGTTCACCACTTGGTTAAGACTGGTCAATGACATGGATACTACGAGTCGAAGAACATTATGCATTGACGGTAAAATCGCATAGGATTAGCAGTCAGTTACTGACGCAAAATGAAATAAAAGGGCTAGTTTGCGTTTAACTTAATGAACACGAAACATATGCGAGTCAGGAGCTGGCGCCGGCGCCGTTACGATTTATGATTGGCTGAACTAGGGGGTTATATCTACTTGCTGAAGTAAGCATTCCGACCGTGGGAACCAAATTCACTGTTGTCGCTGTTCGTTCCGCATCGTCGGAGTCAGCATCGAACTCAACTTTTCTCCTCTGACCGTCATGTCGCTCGGCATTTTAAGGGCTCCAGGTGAATACATGTGTTATGCTATTACTCAATATAATTCATAAGCCTCTCGTGCAGTTACCAGTGCCTATAAGGTAGCACTCAGACCCGCTCTCAGGATTTATGGTATGTTCCATCAATTAATTCATCTTGAACCCTTTCTAAGTTAGTCTTTCTAATATAGCTGCTCGCTCTGTGCACACATCGAAGTCTGCGCAAGCCCCCGAAACTATACCCACTTCGGTCTCCTCTGCTTCTGAGCCGATCACCACATTAGCAATGCATGGCTCAAATCAACTCAGCCTTGAGCAACCCCAGAACAAGGCTGGTGAGTATGCCTCATGTACTTCCCACTGGGTAGGCCTAATTGGATTGTAGAATACGTCCTATCAACATTAGACAAGGTTGTCAACTGGGCACGTCAGGGTTCGATATGGCCCATGACTTTCGGTCTTGCATGTTGCGCTGTCGAAATGATGCACATGGCTGCTGCTCGCTATGACCAGGATCGTCTCGGTGTCGTTTTCCGTGCCTCTCCGCGTCAATCTGACGTTATGATTGTCGCTGGTACCCTCACAAACAAAATGGCTCCTGCTCTCCGTAAAGTCTATGACCAAATGCCCGAGCCAAGATGGGTTGTATCCATGGGATCTTGCGCAAATGGCGGTGGCTACTACCACTACTCATACGCTGTTGTCCGTGGTTGCGATCGTAGGCATTCTTTCATTCTGGTCCAACGGCAGCCCAGTTAATATTTGTCTCGTAGGCATTGTGCCCGTGGATATCTACGTCCCTGGGTGCCCACCAACTGCTGAAGCATTGCTTTATGGTATGTTGCAACTTCAGCGCAAAATGAGAAGAAACAGGAAGAGTGTGCTTTGGTGAGTTGTACGCTTATTTGTCATGGATCATGCTAATGGCTGCATTCCAGGTACCGCAAATGAGATGATCTGTACGAGCCTGGTTTGGCGACAGCGTACATAAACTAGCACTTTCGTTGACACGTTTCGTATATCACTCATGGCTGGCGTGCATCATTTCCTTTCCTTATCCACAATCTTGTGAAGGAGACCCCGTAGTATGCGGGGGTACCTTCAGCACACTTCATTTCATGCAAGGATGTCAGAGTATCGAGTCGTGATGAACGTAAAATAAAGCACTGCGCTTTGTTTATCCGACGCACACCTTCTGAAATGCTGTCTCTTCGTCACCCACGAAGAATTTGACCATGTCCTTCAGCTTCTGCTGGACGCAGGTTATGTTAATCATATTCTGCAGGGGCGACATCCACCACGGTGATATTTGCATGGGGTGCACAACTGCGATCAAGCCTTTGCGCATACACAAGTGCGCAACTTCGCACGTGGATGCTCTACTCACTCCCACCTCACCTCATTGGCTGTCTGATGCACCCTGGTTGGGAGGCGGCGCCACTGTGACGGTGTCATGGCCAACACGAAGTGCACCTTACCCCTTAATGAATGTGAAATGGCCGACTTCTCTCGCCTGCATAATTAAAAAAGCGCGCCGCACTACTGGCAGCATGCTACGATTGCAAATTGTGGGCTATGAGTATATGAGTGTTTAAACGTTTACTTATCTCACCCGGCCCGTCAGATAACAGATCTTCCATCCCGTTATCAAGCGCTCATCAGCAAGTTCCCTATCGACCAATACATCATCGATCGAAATTGTTAGACTCAGATCAGTGATCAACGAGTGCTAGTGGTGGATGGTATCCGGCCGCAGCGTAAATTATGTGGGTGTAGTCTCAAACCGGTTCTTTAATTTGTCAGCTTACCTCCATCTGCAGCATGCACCTTTTACACACTACAACCAGGAAATTAGAGGAATTTATTAATCCTCCAGACTATGCGATACTCTCGCATCGATGGCGCGAGGAAGAAGTCTTATTTGCAGATATCCATCAGGAGCATGCGAAAGGCATGAAAGGCTATGCCAAAGTAGAGGGATGCTGTGAACAGGCACGACGTGATGGGTATCAGTACGTCTGGATTGATACCTGCTGCATCGACAAAAGCAGCAGCGCAGCGCTTGCGGAAGCAATCAACTCTATGTTTACGTGGTATGAAGACGCCCAGGTATGCTACGTCTACCTGGATGACGTTGCCGACAATGGAGACCCGGACATCGAATCCGCGTTTGCAAAAAGCGAATGGTTCACCAGGGGATGGACTCTACAAGAGCTCATTGCGCCTACGAGCTTGTTCTTCTATGACAGCCGCTGGAGGGAGATTGGAAGCAAGAACAGCTTAGCAGGGCTTCTTTCGTCCATTACGAGAGTGCATGCCGACGTATTGACTCGCATAAATGCCAGGTCAGACAAGTTGATGACCACTAGAGTATCCTTCAGCGTCGCAACGAAGATGGCATGGGCTGCTGGGAGAAAGACAACCAGACCAGAAGATAGAGCCTACTCCCTCATGGGAATATTTAAGGTCCACATGCCTGTTATCTACGGAGAAGGGGAGAAAAAGGCTTTCTTCAGACTGCAACTGGAGATTATGCGTACTTCGCATGACCAGAGCATTTTTGCATGGAGCAATCCTGCCGCAGGTGGTCACAAAAGAGGGACTTGGCCCTTCGCCCTATACCCTGATTACTTTGCCAAGTCAGGCGATATTGAAGACGTGCCCTCCGACCAATGGATACGTTACAGTAAAAAATTCATGGGCACAGATGTCCCCAGGCTTGACTTCGCCGCCACCAACGACGGCTTGGATATAAGTCTTCCCTTACGACCTCTTGCGCATGAATCGAACGAGTTCATCGCTCTCTTGAGCTGTCGACGTCGCGTGAGTGACGGAGAGCACCATATCGTCGGTATTCGTTTACGGCGCTCTGTGGTCAATGCCGAACGTTACGAAAGGATAGATGATCATACCCTCGAGGACATCGTCGACACTCGTGAGGAATTTAAAGTCAAACGAATACACATTTCGTACCCGTTACTATCGGATTCATCCGAGGCTTTTTTCTTCAGTACCTCAACGTCGCTCTTCATTCAAAATGTCGGGGTAGAAGAGCACGGCTTCTCCGTGATCAATATGGAGACGGCCCCCTCATGTGACCTGCAGATGCACGATAGTAATTTTGTCCTGCTGATGAGAAGACCATCACTATCACCGAAACCCCTACAAGATATCAAAGGTTCACATCATCTACTCCGAACTATGGATTCCTCGTGGTTAGCATCGTTCACCTACCACAACTCAATGACGAAAGAACAGTTCGTCGTCACTGTAGGGGTATCTTGGATACAAGACGGGGGCCCGTGGCTCCGAATCACCTCAGAGAAGCCTCCTCCCAATCAACTCAGTCGGCTCAAGATCGACTGGACTTCTTATCTGCTTAAAGCAGGCAGGAAAGTGACAGCGTCCGTGAAAAACGGTGGTCATGCTTCTGCTGGAAAGAAGCGATCGATAATGTTCGACCGGTATTCAGTCAACATCACGGTCTATGGTGACCAATGACTCGAAAGCTGGGGGGAGGTTTAGATGATTGGCAAGGTATGGTTACTCGTGCGAATCTCAGCACTAGTGACGGACGAGCAGCGGGTTGTGAAGCAGTGAATCTAAGATCACCATTGAGGGTGGTTTTTAGTATGTAGGTCCTTAAACCTCATGTACTCGCATAGAAGACTCTTAAGGGTTCCTACGTACTTATAGTTGGTATGATGCTAGTAGCTGTATGTCATTCGACCAGCCCAAACGTCACAATAGCAGTGGTATTGGGCAGTTCGAAATTAGCTGCTCGCAAGGCGAAGTGCAATAAATCATTGCTTTGGTGTCAAATTGCAAGATCTGTCGGTCGACACCACTGTACCAGTCGGTGATTTGGATATTCACCAGTATAAAGTAAAATACTGTGCAAAATTACAGCTTTAGTATGGCGTCCTTCGGACGAGAAAACAGGCTATACGGCGCAGGGGAAAGATATTTCTATCGCGCGTGGTGAAATGTGATAATCGAGAGAATAGCGTTTCAGGAGTTAAACTGCGATGCACATCAGTTAGCTTTCTGAGAGGCGCGCAGTGAGTAAGACACGAACAGCGGTAAGATACGATTCGGCTACCGTGCGCGCGCGCGCATTAAGGCTGAGTTTCATCTCGCTTATTTCCCTGTCTACTTCCTCCATAAATCTAGTTACCGGGGGATGAGGGAACGATGTAGAAGCATTCGGATGCCACGCACTGTATGATGAAATCGACGACCTTGTGTTTCAACATGGTCTCTGAATGGACGTTCGTAATAAGGAACGATATGTCGTATCCCTGTGCGAGAATTAGAGTACGACAGCCGCTCATATTCGAGCAGTTCACTCACGAGGACGGGCTTCCTGCGCAGCACAACAAAGCTCTCCGCTCTCTGCATCAAGAAACGCGTGAACTTGTGACATAAGATACGCTCGATTTCATCGGCCTGCTTAATCTTAATACTCATCCGTATCGAGTTCACGGATGGCTCGATCAGGACGCGTTCATTCTCATTGCGTGATATGGTCAGTGGGTTCAGGAGAACCTCCTTGGAGCCCCTGCAACCGATCGCCATGAGTACACGCAATGATGACACAGAACATACGGTTATACCTAACTTCTACTTCTGGCTTGTTGTGTCGTTCAACGACCTAGGCCATTGTGAGCTTGTGAATGTGTCAGATAGCATTTTATCATGATTACTTGTGACGAGAAGTTCTCAAGCGTCAGAGCCGCTGTTAAGGTTGATTTGACAGCTGAGAGATACGGCCTGAGCGTGTTCGACTACGGTCCAAGGGCCTTGTCAGTAGCATCGACCATATGTTCTGATAATCGACCTACCATCGAGTCTTGAAGCTTGAGGAGGAATCTAGAGACTGCGGAGTCTGAATTAATGTACAAGTACATAATAACCAATTCGGAAAGAGCGCGTCTCTTTCAGGAAACGCGTCCTCGTCAAAAATTTTGAGCTTTGTCTCGTCTTAAGAACAATCACTACCACTAATGACTGCCGTCGCTGTTTGGCAAGTTTGTTTATGTTTTAACCCTTACTATATCTCATTTTTTTTTGTAGGAGCATCGTGTTGACGCCAGGCCAGAAGGAGACAATCGTCCCTCAGGCAGACCTGCAAATCAAGAACGCCGCTCTCGGAGAAGAATTATCTGATGAGTCTGGCAGAACGACCGTCAAGTTAACTTACATAAACCCTGCAAAAATTGATGACGAAGAGGAGGATGAAGTCGACCAAGAGTCTCCAGAAGATGAGATAACCACTGTTCTCTGTTCGCTAACTGCTGGCAAGGTCAGTGGCATGACACGTTTTTCGTTATCTTCGTCCGTAGTTAACGTGCCATTATTGGATAGATTGAGCAGTCAGCATGCGACCTCATCCTGGAGAGCGATGAGGAATATATTTTTGAGCTCATCGGGAAAAAGTAAGCAGTATCCAAGCTATGATTGGCCAATATAACTCATGCATGTTCCCCATCCAGCACCGTCTACCTCTATGGAAACTACATTGGTAAGCCTCAAGTTCTCTTGCACCTATCAGACTTCAATAATACGTGGTATAGACCAGAATGCCAACCAACCACCTTACGATTCTGACATGGACTCTAACATGAGTGACGAGGAGGCCTATAACCTGGATGATGTCAGCTCGGACGTCGAGGTGCATCCTGATGAGCTTCAAGGTCTCGAGGGTGATGTTGAGTGAGTAGACCACCATCAGTTGTTCTACGTCATGTATCTAACCGCGCTAGGCGCTTCGAGGAATTGTCGGACCTTGCTGAGGACGAACCAAAGGCAGAAGAGTCCAAGTCATCGAAACGTCCTCATGATGACACCATGGACACCGATGAGCAACCTGCCGAGAAGGTCTCCAAAAAAAAGAAGGCGAAGAAGCAGAAGGGTGAAGACGGCAAGGCAATCCCTGTTGCCGTTGAGGAAAAGGTAGTCGAGCCCAAGGGCGAGAAGGAAGAAGAGAAGAAAGCCGAGAAGAAAGAGAAGAAAAAGCAAAAGACTACTGAGAAGAAAGGTGGTTCTTACAAAGAGCTCGCTGGTGGGGTCAAGATTCGAGATGTGAAAACTGGTGATGGCAAGACCGCCAAGAATGGCGCCAAAGTTTCCATGCGTTACATTGGAAAATTGCAGAACGGAACGGTCTTTGATCAGAATGTGAAGGGCAAACCCGTAAGCAGGCATTAGGTTTCTTGCTTATCGAGCATGTGTTCACTGTGCTACAGTTCACTTTCAAGCTCGGAGCAGCTGATGTAATCAAAGGTTAGCTGCTTTGGTTCGTGGCCTTGTCTTCATCATTAACGTCATGTTAGGTTGGGACGTCGGAGTCGCCGGTATGCAAATTGGTGGGGAACGTGAGATTATTGTACCACCAGCAATGGGGTATGGCGCGCGGAAGATGTCTGACATCCCTGCCAACTCCACTCTGATCTTTGGTGAGTAGTTCCTCTATGCAATGAAGGTCCGGTGGCTCATTAAATTATAGAGGTGAAATGTCTGGAGATTAAGTAAAACGGTGTCGCACATTCTAGTATACGGTAGTATACTTGTGGTTGGTGTGGTATATCTGTTAACCGCGGTTATGACTTGCACCGCTTTGTGATCCGCGGATCCGGACACGAACTCATGATTTTGCAGTCCAATGGTGTTTGTCTGTCCAAGACCAACGCCAATTGGGAAAAATGACTTGGAACTCCACCCGTCACCCTAAGCCCATGGCACCCACAAATGGGTTTGTAGGATGGAGATAAAGAGCGCAAATGTCTATCCGCATTCTTCTAGCAGTTTGTCATCCGTCTGGTTCCGTCCCACTGTATCGGGCACAACCCAACAAGACCGGGCAACTGGAGTAACCCCGAGTCGTGGGATGCCGGCATGATATAACGATACGAAATATATGATGGACATCGTCTACCGAGATGCACTCGATAACCTCTAAGGTGGCGCAGCTATGTTAATCTGCACAAAAAAAAGTGAACCCCGCAAGATCTCGACTCGTCAGGATGATGATCTACAATGCTGCATAGCGCATGTTCAAAGACACAAATGGCCTGGAAAATTGCCGGATAGGTTGAACCCCAACGCTTAGGTTACAACTGACTCAATTTTGAAGCCCGATATGCTTCCTGGCCACCCTGGCTGAGAGGAGTGGAATGACGCTGCGGCTAGTGATTGAGACCTACGTACACATTAAGGGTGTTGACGTGATTGGGAACGTTCATGCCGCATGCGGTTAATAGGTTGCGTTGGAAAAGGGAAGAAACAAGCATAAAACTAGCCTGCAGTTCCCCAAAGCGCTGTCTCCTGGAGTGGTACATATGATCCGTGTCGCTACGAGGTGTTGAGTGCGCAGAGATCCGGGACGTAAGCATGTCGATCATGATGCTGTTCCTCGGACTCCTCACAGTACTGTGCATAGTTGGTGTACAGCACTGCAAATTCGTGTCTGCTTGGCAGGTGATGGTACTGAACCCTCGAGTCTACACGAGTGAAAATTTCTTGGACGATCAAGCTGCATCGACGCAGGTGGCAGGAAGCTTTTCGAATCATATGTGGTGACAGAATGACAATTCCGGAGGGTGATATAACGCAGAGACTGTTGTTTATAGAACGGTCTCCGTGAGTTGAAGCTGTATAGAAGGCATGTGGGTATTAGACCACTTACCAGAAACCGCTCATGCCGAGGTTTTCAGCGGGCGGAAGTCGCGAGGCTTTGGGCGGCGAGCTGCAACCTTTTTAAACATTGTATAGAAAGAGGGTTGGCGATAGCAGTTATTGTCGTCGCCGATCAGCGCCCGAATTTTTCTCTTCCATTACCGTCGTAGAGTCATACAATTGGACATAAATTCCAGGTAATCCTGCCGTTCAAGTGGTGATCGCCTAGCTGTGGCAGCGGTAACGAAAGGTAGCTATTACTGTACCGTGGCCCTCGGTGACCATGAAAGTCCTGCACACAACGCCGATATAGTGTTTAAAGAACGCCCAGAGTATTAATGCTTCCGTATGGTTAGACTTCGATCCTGCCTGGGGATTACAACATGAGAAGCAAAAATAATATTCTGAGATGAGAAATGGTGTGTTTGTTGTACAAGAATCACCTCTGACAGCGGGTAGCTGATCAATGTCCGCCAGTAGTACAAGAACTAGTTGGCTGTGAACTCCGCCGGAGCAAACCTTGTCACGGATCATCGATGGAGCACATGACTGTTGCCAGGATCCCTTTTTCACTTGTTGGCTCGATGAGTAGTAGCCAGGGTACGGAGTTCTCGCCACATATTTTGAGATAGATCAGAATGTGATCGGGGTCGATGTGGTATGTACAGTGTCAGGATACTACCGGCGGTGGTTCGAATGGCAGCACCTAAGGAGAACCCCAAAATTCATATGCACCTGGCAGCCAAGTTATTGGAGTGACACAATCGATAGCGGAAAGGACCTATGGGAAAGATCTCAGATAAGAAAGACAAAAAAGTTGTCGACTGTCGGACTGGGCCATGTCAATATCTGTTTTGTTGGCTAAATTCGAAAAAGTCCTTAAACTAGCCCAAAGAAACTCACACAAATTCACAGAAGGAGAAAGGAGACTGCCTGATCTTGCAACAGCATGTTGGACACGTTCCTATACAGGCTGAGAATTCCGAGAAGATGGTTATCATGCGTGCCAGATGGGCGACCTCGCACATCACTGGGCAACAGTGACGATTCGGGATGATGATCGCGGATAAAGCTATAACTTGATCAAAAATTGTGAGCACTCAAGTCTCAGATGTCACAAGCCTCGAGGTCCTTTTGACTCTCACCGTTTGCGATTTATTTGTTCATCAAATCGATTCATAATAACCTGATGGAATCCACTTCCCCGTGCTTCGACAAGCAGAAGTGACATTCCCCTGCGCAAGCCAAGCCACAATCCGCGGTCTATAAATCAGACACAAGTTCGAGACAGTGAGCTGTGCCCTCTTGCCCAACCTTACTGTTTCATCTTCCATGTGTCTCTAGAATCCGTACTTTGGATCCTTCCTTGTGGATCCGAAACGAGTCCCTTCTTCACTGTTACGAAGTGGAACGATTAGTGGGACCTCCCTCCCGCTGCGTCCGCGCCCTTAGCCATGGCCAAGGCTAGAACTCGGGATACCCACCCTGCGTGTATTACTTGCACTTCGTGCGATGTATATATGTGCTCGTCCATGGTCAGGGGCGCTTCTTTCCCATCTGTACTGCAGGCATTTGCCCCGCATACAAAGGATACTGCCCCAGTACATACCATGGGAATGGAAGATGCCCAGGACCATGGTACAGTGGATAGCAGCATCGTCACAGTGATCGTACCGGCCACGCGAACCATCCTGATGGGCTATGGACGTTCGCAGTACATCGTGCATGTATCAGTGGGGTTCCTCGTTGTGGTGACGACGAGTTTGCCTACAACCAGTAAGACGAATTACCGATTAGCGAGCGGAACTTCAGCGTAATTAGAAGGTGCGTAACTCTGAGCATGCTTTCGAACGAGCTAATAGCACAGCAGGTTCAGGTTCATCGATTGTTCCGATAGTACGATTGGTTCCAGTTGGTGCCATGGCAGTCAAATGAAGCCATGAAATTAATGACGGACTTGGTTAAGAAAGTTCCCATTTTACTTCAATGTGGCCGCTGCCGTCAGCAGCCGCCGGGAAATTGATGCATCACAACAGAATAGAGTATTCTGTACACACTACCAGCCCAATATCTTTGTTCTGTCCAAGTCATTCGCGCCTAGAACATGATCATACCTATCTGAAATCTCGGATGGCGACTCAATGACACATAAAGGGAAGGAGAGGACAAGATTGCCTGGGAACAGTGACCGGAGCAATGGTGAGAAGGTTCCGTACGTCGGTTCTACTACTAGTAGCAGGTATCCTTTAATCTGAAAGACAATCACTCCAGCTTTGACTGATGCCACATCGTCTACAAGGCGTGCGGACCAAGGGCAGCTCCGGTCGGTTACATTTGACCGTGTAGTAGTCATTGGGCGAAATTCAAGGCTTTTAATGTTTTTCCCCCAGAGTTTACACCAACCATACATTTCATGCGTCGCTCTCCTGGTGCAAATGTTTGGCGGATCTGACTGGTATCTGTCACGATGGACCAACTTTCATGCACATGGCTTCAAGGTATGCATGCCAAGCGCGCATAACATACTGGAAGAAATTTTCGACATATGGGTTTCAGTTCATTCAACTAACGCAAAACTCACCCAGATCGGCATCTGTGCAAGGACACGCAATTGCAGCTGAAAAACAATCAGAAGACCGTTGATGATACATAATTAGGCACGTCCCCCCCTGCCATTATATGCATACTGGAGTAAATGTCCTAAATCTTGGAGGTGTTAGCGGCGTTGAGCCACCATTGACGTCGATAAGTAATGGATCCCGCCGCACATGGATAACAGGTTCGACATGGTAGTCACTGATTGTGCATGACAAAAGCCCTGGCGGCGATGGTAATTGCTGACTGAAGGTCCCGGAGGCGATGAGATAGTCAGTAACCCACTGCATAGTGCTAAAATTGCATATTTCTTGCCATATCATCTGGTCTCCTGCCTCCTGGCAGTCACTGATAAGGAAGAATGACCAGAGAAACCCAGCAACTCCGCGGCAGAAATCCCACACCATTAAATAAGCCCGCTGTCACGGAGACAGTGAGTTCTGACCAGTGATCCCGGCTGCCCCAAGCATCAAATTCAAGTCGGTGGTACTCGGACAGGGTTTGATACCTCCATTTCTACTACTTCAAGAATAGCTGATCCGTCTCCTTGTGTACAAGTTATTGAACCAGAACCAGTCATCGTTGCGATCAGAGCTAATTTCATATCCAGATAGGATGATTTACTACATGCAAAGCTAGGATGGTCCCGGATGGATGCGAATGTGTATGTATAGAACTAAACATAATCGTGCATCAGAACGTTAGTCCACAAGTAACTCTTCCTCCTTTCATCCACTCGACCGAGTGCAAGGAAATCGCGAGGCATATATCTCACGATTTCTCCATGCGTATATGCCTCGTACATCGCTACTTGTACTCCGTGCTTGATATCCCGGACGAAAGAACTCGAGAAGGGTCTAAAGAAAGCAAACACGTCATAAATTAGCTTCCAAGTCTCTTAAACAGACAATTTACCCCACCCTGACTACCCGACTCCTTATTGATATCTGCTTGGGGGTAGGGCGACCTCGCGGGAGTAGCGTCAGACACGTAGATCGCTCAAAGGATGCCACTAGCATCAATTTATCTTGCCTGTATATCGGATGTTGCTTGTGGTCGGATGGACGAATTAATTTGCAGTATTCGGAAGCACAAACTTGTGGAAGTATCGCGGGCTTCTAAGGTCAGAAGTCCAGGCCACCCACGATCGTATGCTGCGAGCCATCAATTGCGGAAGGGTCCGTGTAGAAGCGCACTTATACGCTTTCTTTGGCAAGTTCGAGACAGCCAAAAACAAATTGGCGATATGGGGGATAAAAATTAGAGATCGATGGCCTAAAACACATCGGAGGTCAAGTAAGAGCTTCGGGGTTTCTGAGTAAACGAGATAATACTCCGCGAGCACACAAAAACACAAAACAGAAACAAATACCTTCTAGGTCTCGTTGAGTCGAGAATAGATGCTAGACCAGCGTTGCGAAACTAAACATGGGAGGCGTTCACCACCGGAACAAAGGCTCCATTTCCGTCGACTTCCAGCCGATCTACAAGGCCTGGTGCAAACTTGTTTGAACTCGTGTTACGCAGGGTCAAACACCAACACCCCATCACCAAGTGCACGAAACTTCTAGAGGACACGGAGGAAGGTGGCCTTCGGTGATAATCTACGAATGGGTCAATCACTGTGGAAATCCACACGGATAAGAAGAACGCAACACATTTTTGATGCTGCTTACCCCCACAAGATAAGTGACTCTGCTCTAAATAGCGGCAGTCGAGGCCCAGCATCCCTTCTGATCAGCAAGCACGTTCCGCTGGATCGTTGCTTTGTTTAGTGCTGTACACTTTTCTCCGGTAGGAGAACAAACTCCCCAAAACTAAGGTTGCACGGCATCTTTGGAGTCATTCCATTTGTTGGATGACAGAAGACACGAGCATTCCTACCCTCTTTCGTTCGGTATCAGGGAGCAGAGGGGTGTTTCCAGGTGCACGCGCATGGGTATGGTCGTGAGTGGCTAGCTTAGATTAGATGAAACTTGCTCCTATAAAAGCAGGACGAGCCCTCCGTGTCCTTGGATGTCGCAGCCCACTCTTTGGTAAAGTGATATCCTGTGCTATGGTCAGACTCCCTTCCCTCCCATATGTATTCTTGTGCTTAAGCCTCTTTCTTTATGGCTGCAGCGAGCTTTACATACCATGGGAATGGAAGGGGGTTTGGACCAGTGTTTAGGGTATCCACCAGCCCCAGTCCTCATATCTTCTACAAAGTCAAGTTACGTTGAAGACACTAATTATGATCACGCACAGCATAAATTATAACTTCGGGATGGTTGTCTGTATGAATCGACCATGCGGCACGATGGCTGTAATTGTTTTGGGGAGCCGTGCTCAGAAGGATGGGGCAGTAAAGCCTTGACGAACTGCGCAGATGAAGTGGTGCGTCTGCGCTACATTGTACCGCTTCGAGTGCGCGGGGTCTTTCGCAGTAAGTTCGGTTTGAGTTTCTATCAGCGATACAGCATCACGTATTATTTGATTAAAGGCACCATACCCATACCCAGTTTACTGGAGCGCGCCATAGGTTCTCAAGATCGTATATTAGCAAATTGCTTCCCGCCTATGGGGTGCGTATCCTCCCGAGTTTTGCAGAAGTTGTTGTCGGTTGTAGAGTATGGGATTTACATTCTAAATTTGCCATGTCTCGCACGCTAGCCTGTCCAATTCATCGATCAGAGTCGTCTTCGTATCTGAATCCTTGAACGCTCGCCTCAGCACTGCGGCTACTCCACCTAGGTTGTCGGTCTACGGGTACCAGATCAAGGTCCGAACACAATAGTCCTTCGATCGGTTAACAAGAAAGTCGGGTTCGACTAGTGAATCAGGCGCGCTTGAAGAGCGCCGAGCTGCAATTGGTGACAAGAGACGATGGGAAATCATGGTGCTTTGGCTTGTAAAATCAATAATCTATTGCATCACGTCACGAATTTTGTTGGTCATCCTAAAGTCCTGACAGCCTGAATGGAAAACCTACTCCACCCATCCATCCGCGCTACATGGGCTAGAACTGGCTTGAAGAGAAGTATATGTCATTCAAAACAGAACAGATCAAAGCCCTGATGCGGCCGGCTGACGGTCAATCTTGCGAAATATCTAGGCTTTTTCAACTGACTGGTCCGTGGCAGGAGCACCAAGGCAGTGTGAGATGCGCGTGCGTGCATGAACATGAGGAAATTGAGCATGTCATGATTCACGATCCTCCATCCGCGATAGCCTAGACGAGTCGTATATCCATGAACCGTCATATGGGCTATCGAACTGGCTCAAAATTTTGCCATCAAACGTCATTCAGAAAAATTAACCACGAGGCGCGGAACCGCAATTCGATCGAGGATCTTGAAGAACCAGATACCCTTACCCTCGTGATTCCGCTCAAGAAATCATTCAATTCAAATAAAGTCTTGGTTGCAATGAAGATTAACATTTTGGGGTATTAAGACCTCGAGGACATACAACGAGAAGCCTAGATTTCAGACTTCATATGAACACGGAGTTAAAAAGTACTATCAGACACTGAGCAGCTATGAACTGTCGCTGCTGCACGAGTTAGGCGGTCATGCAGGTTTCGAGTGCCCTCGAGGTTTCTTGAACGCTCGAACGTTCATGTTGCGAAGTAAGTTGGGTGGACGTTATTAGAGTACACGGTCAAGGTTGTACCGACGTATTGCACATACACTGACTATCTTGATTTCACTGCATGCCTCGATCGTCCTATGTTTCGCGCACTCGTTGTATATCACGAGAAAGAGACTCTCCAAAACAGCAGCTGTGATTATGGTTGACAGCAAAATTGGAGCAAACTCCGCGAGGGCGCTCGCGGAGTCGCCACCCCAAAACGCATCGATCTGATTAGTAGCCCCAAAACGTCATAAAACATTGATTCAATCAGTATTAAGTACAAAGGCAACGCTGTGACAAAAATACGAGAGATCCAAAGAAGATGCGGCTTGAGATAGTCCGGCGGCCTATCAGGCCCACCGTCCTGGGACTACAGGGTGCGATGACGAAAGCCCCCCATCAACCGCAATGTTCTGTCCATTGACATAACTCGATTCATCTTTAGCAGGGTACAGATCAGATCTGGATCGCTTTTCACGGAGGGAAGTGTTCTTACCTGAAGCCAAAAACAAGGCCATGTGAGCAATTTCTGTAAGACGTGGTAAACTGAGTGCACATGATCACAGCACGAGGTCCATACCTTGGGCGACGCCGAAGCGGCCCATAGGGTTCAATTGACCAATCTTGCTCTCCCTGCCTCGTTGACGAGCAGAATCAAACATGTCCTTCGTCATATTGGTCTCGATCAGGCCCGGGCAGATTGTGTTTACGCGAACGTCAGTCTTCTGAAGTTGATATACGCTTGTTTTCGCGATCGAGTTCACACTGTGATCCGAAATGAGTTTCTCTCTGCTGAGAACGATGATCGAAACATTACGCCGCTTTGCTTGCACTATCTAATTGTAGGCTCAGCCATAGTAGGTCGAGGATGGGGAGGAGCGGGACTCACAGTCAATGGTCCCTGCCCCGGACCGCAGCCCTGCCACTGTGGTGTTTTATCAGAAACATATGTAGTGAGGCGAAGGGGATGAAGAAATGTACCAGATGCAGTCAAAATAATACTTCCTCCACTAATATCTTTCCCTCTCGACGAATCAGTCTTCATCATCGCGTCGGAACCGTACCTGACGGCAAGGAAGCACCTGTTAATTTATCGTTTCTGGTCAAACTAAGCATTATAGCAAATGATACGGAAAACTGACGACAATGCATTGATTCGCATGCTTTCCATGAAAGCTTCTGCGGTCAAATCGGGAAGCGCCTTGTTACTTGCGAAACCAGCCTGTTGGGCGTGTTTGAGCGTAAGATGAAGTTGTATCTGTTGTATCTGACACATACGTTGGCAAAGAATACATCCAAACGACCTTCATCTTGTAGTGCTCGTTCACAGACAGCTGCTATGGCAGTCTCATTTGCTGCGTCGGCTTGAATTGTGGTTACCTGTGATATGTTTAGTCATTAGACGCATAGGAACGTCAGGACCCTGCCTTCACGTCCGGATATGAGTTCTCAATCGCTGACTTGAGTTCAGGCAGGTTCTCTGGCGAGAAATCGAGCAAGTATAGATGAGTTGCTCCTGCAAATATGGAATTAGAAATTGTGACGGGCGTTGCTTCTAGAAGGCAATAGTCCACGAACCTTCATGTGCGAACAAGAACGCAGAAGCACGGCTGGTGCAAATCACAAGTCAATTTCATTGCACGAGTCAACGACTGAGCATTCACCCTATGCCATGCAATGATCCCACACCGGTAATAACGCAAGTTTTACCTTTGAGTCGCTGCCCGCGCGGAGAGTTCGAAAGGTGCGATTGGATTTGCCCAATGCGGACAAGAGTGCGCTGATAATGTTCTTCTGCGCTGGGTTGCCTCCCTTGAGCAGCGTTCGGATGAGAAGGCATGTCGAGTTGGGTGAGACTTGCTGGAGTTCGCTCTTGAGTCATATAACTTTGGCGCGCGTTTCACCGAGCTCTTATTGTAACCGAAAACCAGTAATAATATTCGTAGGAACTGTAATTAGAAGGCGAAGACAAATACGCAGAAAATTCGGTATGGACAAGTAAAATCGGACGCACGACGCCATCTAAGTAAAAGGGTCAAGATATACGGCTCTGCAAAAAATCCACCAATACCACTACGCTCAGGTCAAACTAGTTTACTCTTGTCCAAAGAACATCAACCAGTGATGCAGTCAAGGGAGACTCTTGACAAACAATATAAGGGTCTAAAGCGGCTAATCGCGATACACATTATTGGAATAGTAAGGCCAGACACCCTCTTGAGGTGGGTAGCCAGGGTCTCGGTAGGCTTCTCTACGTAGTTGCGTGTAATCTGCAGCATTTTGTCCCGTCATCTCCTGATGAAAAGGCTGGTATTCAATCTCTGGTCCATAAGGGTGATGTACTGGAGATGAGCCGAAGGAATTGGCTGGAGAAGAACTTCCTCCAGACAATGGAGAATCTTGATGATCCGTTGTATCCGGAGTCCTGAAGTTGTTGTAGTATGTGGCAGGATAACCAGGGAACTGTGGTGAGTCGTCGCTACCACTCGAGGTGCGAGGGCGTTTGAAAGCGGTGGGGTGAGAATACACGGAGGTATCAGGGGGTGGTTGGTCGTCAACTTCGTCAGACACCCAACCGGGGCATTCGTTGGTAGATGAAATAGGTGTAGTCTGCGACACCGGTGTCTGTGGAGGCTCCTGTCGCCCTGTTGGTATCATTCTCTGAGAAGGATTGAAGGTCAAAGCGGGGGTTTCCGGGACCACTGCCCTCCTGCGCTTGCGCGGAGGTGGAGAAGGCTTCTTCTCCCGATCTGAAAAAGACAGGGGTTTCTGCGTGAACAACGGTTTTAGCTCCGCCTTCTGATTTCAGATGTTAGCCTTCATCGAAGGAAACGATGTACGTCGATGAGACGTACTGATTCTGGACGAATCGCGGTCGGCTGAAGAGCATGACTTCCCGGAGGAGTCGATGAAGGTGATGAATCCGAAGACGACGAAGCCTTTTGAGTGCGCTGCATGTCCTATAGAATAGAGAAAAGTCACTCTGTGAACAAGAAGCTCAGCTGTAAGACCTGCAGCTGGCTGAAGGTTTTGGTTTTCTGAGAAAAATGCATTTTCAGCTGAGGATATATATCAGTTCGTCTGGTGGAGCATCATGATCAGTATTGAGACTTAGCCACGTTTGCTGATAAAAACGCGACTGCCTTATGCCAGGCTTGCGTAGCGCAGAAACAATGAGCGCAAGCTTGAGTGAAATGAGTTGTGCGGTTCATTGAACGAATTTCAACGCAAAGATAGCTTTGGTACTCCGCCATCCGAGCTCGTTTACCAACTGCCAAATCTGCTCGACTTTACCGGACTCGCGTATTTCCTTCCATTGCTCCTTCTATCATGTCCTCCTCAATAGAATTGATCAATCCAAAGGCAGAGAGCGTCAGACGCGCTGCCGCCTTGCAGGTAAGTTGCATGTCCTGGCTTTTTGCTGTTCTAATTTCATGCATCGCTTTACTAGGTCAACACCACCGGCGCGATGGGTCTTGCTAACGTAGTGAAGGGTAATCTCGGTAAGTATCATTATCACTTCTTGAGCGACCGCTTTGTTCCGATCGGACTCCACTTCAGGTCCAAGAGGTACTCTAAAAATGCTTGTGGACGGCTCTGGTCAGATCAAAATGACCAAGGATGGTAAAGTGTTGCTATCCGAGATGCAAATACAAAACCCAACAGCCGCTATGATCGCCCGAACTGCGGTCGCTCAAGATGATCAAGTTGGTGACGGAACTACTTCAGTAGTTTTACTGGTTGGAGAGCTACTTAAGCAAGCCGATCGTTACATATCTGAAGGCGTACACCCAACCGTCATAGGAGAAGGATTCGATCTCGCGAAGAAAGAGGCTTTAGTGGTTGGTTTCCGCATTCGCATGTATTTACGCTTCTGATGGACGCGTCTAGTTCCTTGACACGTTCAAACTGCCATCCAAATTGGATAGGCCAACTCTGATCAACGTCGCACACACTTCGCTTGCCACTAAGCTGCACGCCTCGTTAGCGAAGCAACTCGCTGCAGATGTGGTAGATGCTGTGCTCACCATCAGGCCACCAGCACCCCTCAAAGGCACGCCTTTCATGTAAACAAAAGGGTCCTCTTGCTAAAAGTTCCTACAGAAGCAAAGGATCAGTATCGCGACCCAATAGATCTGCACATGGTGGAAATTATGAAGATGCAACACCGCACAGCGTCCGAAACTCAGCTCGTGCGTGGCCTGGTCATGGATCACGGTGCCAGACACCCGGACATGCCCAAACGCGTCGAGAATGCATTCATTCTGACGTTGAATGTCAGCTTAGAGTACGAAAAGACGTACGTCCTTCAGCACTGCATTCCCAACTCTAAACTCACAAAAGCTTAGAGAGGTTAATTCTGGCTTCTTCTATTCGTCTGCCGAGCAACGTGAAAAGCTCATCGAATCTGAGCGGCGTTTTGTAGACGCCAAAGTGAAGAAGATCGTAGAACTCAAGAATCTCGTATGCGATCAAGCTGTTGGCGGCAGTGAAAAGCCGAAAAACTTTGTCGTTATCAATCAAAAAGGCATCGATCCACTTAGTCTTGATATCCTTGCAAAGAATGGCATTTTCGCCTTACGTCGTGCTAAGCGACGCAATATGGAACGGTAATGTCTTCAGCGCTACGTAAAGATATTACTCTGATTGCGGTCGTATCTTAGCCTGCAGCTCATTTGCGGAGGTGTTGCGCAAAATTCCGTAGACGATCTAACCCCAGATATCCTCGGTTGGGCGGGTCTAGTTTATGAGCACACTCTAGGCGAAGAGAAGTACACCTTCGTGGAAGATGTCAAGCAACCCAAGAGCGTCACGCTCCTTATCAAGGGTCCAAATGCCCACACGATCCAACAAATCCAGGATGCTTTACGGGACGGTCTTCGCGCCGTCAAAAATGCACTTGAGGACGAGGTTCTCATTCCCGGTGCGGGAGCCTTTGAGGTTGCATGCGCAGGTCATTTGAGTGGTCCTGTAAAGAAAGCTGCCAAGGGCCGCGTTAAAATGGGCGTGCAAGCGTATGCAGATGCACTATTGATCATTCCAAAGACTCTTGCGCAGAACGGAGGCTTTGACGTCCAAGATGTAGTGGTGGCACTGCAGGTTCGTGATATCATTCCGCTTGTATTTAATTTGCTTATGTTGATCGAAATAGGACGAACAAGCGGAGGGAAACACGGTTGGTATCGATTTGCAATCAGGGGAGCCGTTTGATCCGACTGTGGAAGGCATCTGGGACAACTACAGGGTAAAGAGGCAGATGTTACACTCATGGTAAGTGGATATCCTTTTCAATTGGAAGAATGATTGCTGAGAACAAAAATCTCAGTTCTGTGATCGCAGTGAACCTCCTTTCTACGGACGAAATCTTGCGGGCTGGTCGGAGTTCATTGAAGCCAGATGGGCAGTCGTGAAGAGGTGCTATGAATTGTGGGTACAACGTGCCTCACTGTATCGTTAGAATACGCACTCGATACGTGGTGACAAAGAATGTGTATGTATGTGTGGGGCGTATGGACGAGAATTACAAAATGCTACCGTAGTTGATACAAAAGTCACGAGCTAACCGATTTCGAAGGTGGACAGAACCACATAGTTTAGTTTAATATTAAGTTTAACTGTGTCCACATAACTCAGACTCCGCCCTGGCAATTAGTGAAGCTGTTGAGTGAGAACAGTCAGACTCCCAACCTGCATCAATAAAACGAGTGGGAGAGGATGGTTCGTCGTCTGCATGAAATGAAGCGGATTTGCGCAAATAATGAGACATGGGTGTTCCACGAGCGTTCTTCCAGGGTACTGGGGCAGGAAGTTTAGCCGTATATGTGACACGGAGATGAGAGAATTGCTCCTCATTTACAACGCCAGTATGAGCCTCCTTGCTTTCAGAAAGAAGCCCTTCGACAACTCGATCGTCGTCAGAATTGGCCGAGTCAAGTGTACCGTCATCCGGAAAAGAAGTGCGGCGGTGCACATCTGAGATCGGAAACTGCTCGCTCAGCTGTAAATTATTCATGTGCAATTCTAAGTATAAGTAGATGTACGTACGTCGTCAAATGATGATGCATAGGACCCGGCACGAGGAATTGCACCACCTTCTATATACATATTCTCCGACATGGACGAAACGCGAACGCTTGATCGTGAACCAACAGTGGGAGTCGCATGCAGCCCATCTGCACTAGGAACTTTCGTGGAACCGTCTTCACCACAGAAGGAAGCCTTTGGGTTCAGCCGCTCGCTGCGGCGAGTTCCTGGACCAGAGTCAAGGGGGGATTTGGACATCGAGGACCAACGACGTCTGGCAAAATTGACTGGAGATGGTCGGAAGGTCAGAACGCTATTGTATACAGGCCCACGCCAGCCAGCTCGCTGGGCTAATTTTTCCGCCACTGTATGCTCAAGCTGCGAAGGACCAGCTATGGGTAATGGCGTCTGATCATCAGGCGTGACGGGACCAATACTATCACTTTCCAGCGTTGGAAGAGAGGGGCCACTATCTTCTTCATCCTGAGATTCATCATCAGGGCACGGTGCCCACTTCCGCCGAGCGTAATTTGTCGGATTGGGATGATACAGAAGACTACTACCCACCCCTTTGAACTTATAAGCCGAGGGCCCGGAGTGTATAGAGGGGCTGTATTCCAATGCTTCATCATTTCTTTCGAATGCACCGGGGCAATGTCGGGGCTTCTTCGTTAGCGGTGCTGAGCCTTCAGGTGGGAATGATGCCGCTCGCTTGCCTAGTAGGAAGGGTCTCTGGATCATTCGCTTGATCCCAGTCCTGTGAGCCTGCTTCTTCGTCGTCCATCTCATCTTCTTCATGCCTGCCAGCGAGCCACTGCGTGACCTTAATATTTCTGCGGAAAAGCCTCTCTGTGCGTGTCAGGTTCTGAAAATGACCAAACTTCTTGCGGACAAATCTTCCGTTCGTCGTGGCTTTCTTGCCAAAACGGCCGTTCGAGTCTCGAGGTTGTGATTGCACCGCCAAAGCCTTTGGCCTGGTGTGACTGCGTGATGAAGAGGGGGAATGATCGCTATTTTTGACGCTTGGAGATGGGGGAGCAGAAAGCTTGATCACGGGTGCAGGCGGAGTCAATGGAGGCTTAGGAGGTGAGGAAGGCTGAGATCGGAGAGGCGCCTCAGAAACAGGATATTTACGGGGTCGACCTCTTTTCCGTTTCGGTAGCTCTTCTTCAGGAAGAGGGTACTTGCGTGGTCGTCCCCTTTTTCTCTTCGGTAGCCCGAAAAGCTCCTTCGCTTTGGGCATCTCTCCGCTGGGTCCGTCATCAGCTTTGCGCTTCTTCAGAGGACGCTCATCGACGGGGGGCACATGCTTGCGTTCCACGGCAGGGGTAGTCTTCTGAGGGGGGCGCCGCGAGGAACTGGCTTCGACGTCATCGCGAGGTGGAGCAACAATAGCTTGACTTGGAAGGCGAGCCGGCCATGGCTGACCATATATGGCGACGTGACGCATACATCTAATGAAAAGAAGTCCATCAGTACAAATAGATCATCGGATATCAGCGGGATCACCTTGGACACTCTTGCCTTTGTTTGGACTTCTTGCCCTTCCGCGGGGAGTCTAGATTCAGACCCCACACCACTTTGGAATCCACGGAAATCACAGGCAAGACATTCGAGCACGTCACGCACGTTGGAAGCGGACGTCCATCTGAACCACGAGGAATCTCGCGCTTCGGGGGCCCAACTAGATCTGATTTTTCCCCGACTACAGAAGGGCGCGCTCTGAGAACTCTTGCTTCAGGCTCCTCCTTGACTTGGGTCTTGTCCGCTTCCTTTCCTTTGCTCCTACTAGGCGTGACAGAAACGCTATCCCGAAAATTTTGACCTCTAAGACGGGATGAAAGGTTGTGCAAAGTATCATGGGGGGCGGGAGTAGAATGCTTGCTGGATGATTCCTGTGTCTGTCGGCGAGTGAAAATGACGGACTTTGCCTGCGCTTTCCCCTTATTGGAAGACGCTGATCCTTCGGCGCTCAACGATGTCATACGTGATGGCTGGACATCCGGATCAGGCGTGGCGACTATGGCATCTATGACCGGAAAATGACGAGAGGACGAGGAAACTGCTACCAAGTGGGAAGCTTCCCCGCCTAACTCCATATCCACTTCATCATCCCCAGAAGCATCAGGGCCGTTCGCAAGTGGTTTGTCACCCTCCTTATCTTCATCATCGCTCTCCTCAGAATCAGAATCTTCCTCCTGAATGATGGCGTAAACACCACGTCGCGTTCTGCGTTCGTTGACATCAGTAACTGTCGCGGCATGCACCTCAGCATCGTCATCTGATGCTTCGGCATCTTGTTCACCGCCCGAATCCACATCGCCATCGGAATGATCTGGAGCGTAGCCTCCTCTCCCGTTCTTCTCGCAAGTTTCACAGAGGCAGTGTCGATTCTTGCCTCCGACTGTGGCGTATGTGAGCCATGGAGACAGACCGGATAACGGATACGCACAGTAGCCATCACCGTAATGCGCAGTAATCTCATCGCCGATAGAGATAGCCCGGAGAGTGCGAAATGTAATGTACTTGCCTTCACGAAAAAGCTCACAATTGTTGTCGCAATCATGCTGCACAAGTCAACGTCAATGTGAATAACCAACGGAAGCAAAAAGGCATAGACCCGTCAGAAACTTACGTTCACAAATCGGGCGGGCCCCAAAAATAGATGGTTCTTCTTCATTTGTCGTGAATGGATAACACTAAAGTCCCTCCTGATGTCGATATTTCTCAGGTCGGTGCGCTTGAGTTCCTTGTCTTCTTCCTTCGAAAGATGTGCCATCGATCCCTTCAGCTCAATGATTACCACACCAGGGGCTAAGGGGCGTGTAGCGAGGATGCATAACTCTGACTTTCCTGTCCTGTGAGAGTATCTAGACGTGTGAGCAATTTCTATGCACCCTGCAGGGTTGTAGAGCTCAAAGTATCGCGAGGCGTGGCTGTGGTAAAATGGAGTTTCAGGAGCAGGACATTGATACGAAACCTGATTGCACACACGTGGCGAAAGCATTAATCTGCTTCTGCGTGTAGGGCTTGAGGTAGTAACGAACAGAAGGCAGACTAAATAATGATCGTCCCTGAATGTCTGGTAAACATATACAATGCAGAGAAATTAGACGAACGCGAGGAGGTCGTCCACGGCTTGTCGGACAGCATTCTGAGCACCGAGCTTACTTGCAACCAACTACGACACGATGATGTATGACACCATACGCGCGTCCAGGGAATAATTAGTTGCGTGCAGACGAAGCGAGCTAAGGGTATACTCACGCGTCTAACGATTTGCATGAGATCCTCGGCATTGGTCTTTGGGAGTCTTCGAGATGGATCCATCTTATGAACGAGCAATGGGACTGCGCCTGTTCCAAGCTTCTCGACTAGTAGATGGCTAAGGAAGTCATCATCCTTGGAAAGGTCACCCATGTTCATGATTTTGGTAGGACGCCATATGAGAACTGTCCCTCTGGCTCGTGTGGAAGAGCCATTGACGGTCGCTGTCGCGGACGCTGGCGCCATTGAACGGTAAATTTACGCGTTCGGGACTCGAAAAGAAAAAAAGCACAGACTAGACGAGGACAGCAATGACGCGAACGGAAGGGAAAAGGAACAAGGCGAAAGCACTGTTGCTGGCGCGATGATTACGGCACTAAACTCATTTTGATTATGTCAGCTGGAACCCACACTTGCTCGCGAACAATATGTTTTAGGTCAGAACGTGGTTATCTTTCCAGAAGCACATGTATGAAGAGGGGCATGGATTGCGATTGGACAGAGCATACGATAAGATGGCATGGTTGTCATACACTATAGCACTAAGGATTTCCCATATTTTCGCCATGTCCTCGTGATCTTATGTATGCTCAGAGACAAATCAACAGGCAAATCGCTAGGGTCATGAAGAAGATAGTATTTATGCGTTGTGCGCGTGCTTCTGTTTACCTGACCGGAGCTTCCTGACGTAGAACTATTTGTGAAGATGAGTAAGCAATGCAGAGTTATTTCGAGCGGCAAGACAAACCTCCAGCTCCTTGCCCTCCAGGACGTAGCCGTCACTACGACCGGATTGTCCAGGTCTGCTTGAAATGCAAGCATAGAGACGGCCAGCAGCGAACTGAGACTCGAGAAGGGGGTCAATTTTAGCATCTGAGACGGGCAATGAGTTATACAACACGAAAGACAAAACGGCATTCTTACCCTGTTTTCTCTCAGCGATGATACGTTGAAGATGGTTAGATTTTTTTCCCTCCTCCGTGGTGGCAGCACTCTTTGCAGCAGCACCCTTCTTGCTAATAGGTTGGGCGTACTATTATTGCATAAATTAGGAGGGTAAAAGGATAGACTTCGGGTAGATACGCACGTGGGACTCATACCACTGCCTGAAAGGGGTAGCGTCGATCTGAATGATGGCGCCCTTCACCAAGGTATTGGTGCGGACAAGCTCGTTGTTTGATGCGTTATAGACCTAAATTAGGTATCAGTCATGCATGTAGTATATTATATTAAACTGCATGCGTATCAAAGGTACTTACAACACTGATAAGCCTAGTCTTTCTTGTGACATGCTCAGATGCCCATGCGAAGTTACCAGTATCGAGACGGAGGGCACGGTACTTGGTGTTACCGCCACGAACGCGCACAGTATGAACACGCTTTGCGCCAAGCTTAGTGCTGGCAGGCTGACGACCGAGCTCAAATTTTCTCTTCTTGCGATAGTAGGCGCGCTGGGCACCAGTTGCCGAACGTTTGTGCCGGGACGAACGAGAAATACCTGCATAAATAATAGTTTGATATCATCAGAATGGAACAAAGACATTTGTGTGTTAGTATATCGGAAGAGCAGCACTGACCCATGTCGGATAGCCTTGAGGATGGGAGTCGTGTAGTTGAGTCGAGGTTTTGATGATAGTACTGAAAATCAAGGTTTAAGTTTTCGCACTCAGATCGGTAAACGCCGAACTTGAATTTGGCTTTGCTTGCACCAAGCTTGCACGCGTTGTACTGCTACCCGCTACCAACTACACCAGTAATAGGCTACTTAGCTAGTCCACCATGCATTTGCGATTATGATATGGCATGTCCGGACACGAGCTTCCCGTGGCGTTGATCCACCCCTCCAGCGCGAATGTGATGTGATCTCTGCCACCTTTTCTACATATCTGAATGGCACTCTATCAAATTGGAGGGCGTACTAGATATTCTACCAGCGGGCCCGGTTAGCAGTTAGTCGCATATTCAGCTGGGTGCGTGCCGTAATATAGTCGACTGATCCGTACATTTCAGTAGGCGTCGCTTATTTCAGCTGGTGGGTGCTACTAGTACTTCCCTCTGCATTCATCTAAATTGTTTGTCATGGAACCGATATTCTCGTGATGCGTGAATACAATTGAGATGCTGGGCATACGCTGCCTTTGCTACTAGGCTAACATGCGTCGCTCGCACGCCCCGTGCCCATGTCCAACTCGTTCACAGGGTAAGTATTTTGCGGATCTCCAATATGAAACAACGTTCATCAACGGGCATGTGCAATGAGCCTCCTTTTGCCCATCGCCCAATCCGTCATTTCTATGTAAACCAAAGCAATCATAGGCTCGTAGGACGGCTGAATGACGCATGCTGTGCGCTTATCTCGAGGCCTCATTGACCAGGCGTGTCCATCTTGGCGTGTATATCTATGTGCTCTTCCGTGTGTATGGTCCTCGTTTTCCCTCTCGTTGTTCTGTGTCCGCTTTTATATGGCTTTATTCGAGACAGCCAGCTTCCGACGATTTCGTCGCCACAAGGCTATTCGACCGAATGAACGATCTGCGTTGGCTAAAAGCACTCAAAGTGACCTTAGCCGACTAGTCCGCACTTCGGATCCTGCAGTAAGGAAGGTGAAACCCTGTCCTATCTTTCTAATCCTGCTTGTATCCCGACGCATGATCATTTCACTAGGCATTTGATGTAGAAATGCAGTCATTCTCCAAACTGCATGCCCGTTATCTCGCGGAAAAGGAGAACCGAGAGCAACTGTAAGCTCTGCAGCGTTATTTTCCTCACCCCTTTTAGTGGAATTAATGCAGTGACAATAAGTGACTGGAATCGCATTAAATCGCCCAACGACAAGCAGGTCATTCCTTACAGTCACCTTCCACAGATTACCGGTCCAGAAGCCCTGTCTAAGTTGGCTGTTCTAAAGGTCAATGGGGGTCTCGGGACTTCTATGGGTATGATTCTTTAATTTCCCCCACAGCCATGCTTACGTATTTTGAAGGCATCAGTGGTGCGAAAAGTGCCCTTGAGGTCAAGGACGGAATGACTTTCTTGGACCTCATCGTGCAACAGGTCGAGTACTTGAATAAAACACACAAGGTCGACGTACCGCTCATCCTCATGACATCCTTCAATACGCATGATGACACATTACGTATCATTAAAAAATATGTGTCCCAACGCATCAGCATAACTACATTCAATCAGTCGCGGTATCCCAGGATATGGAAGGAGACGTTGCAGCCTTGTCCCAAGCATGCATTAGACGACAAGAAACACTGGTATCCTCCAGGTCATGGTGATTTGTACGAGTCACTGGTACATACTGGCGTGCTCGATCGTCTTCTTGCTGAAGGCAAGGAGTATTTGTTTATCTCGAACTCCGACAATCTTGGGGCTGTGTAAGTCTTCACATCGATGACGAGTCAAATGAGTAGCTCAACGTTTTTTGCAGAGTCGACCAACGCATTCTCCAGCATATGATTGATAGCGATGCCGAATTCTTAATGGAGGTCACTGATAAGACCAAGGCAGACGTTAAGGTTTGATCGATATCTAAAGCTCCTTGCACTAGTTGTTGATGCTTCATTCACAGGGCGGCACTTTGATCGAGTACGATTCTTCCATGAGACTTCTGGAAATTGCCCAAGTACCTCCAGACCACGTTGACGACTTCAAATCAGGTAGTATACATCGTCCTTGACTTATCATTCAGCTAATCATGCGCAAGTCCGAAAATTCAAGATTTTCAACACGAATAACCTATGGATCAATCTCAAAGGTATTCATTAGGGATCTGTGTAACGATTGTATTGATGGCCTATTTTCCAGCATTGAAGCGGATCATGAATGGAGGTGGCATGGACTTGGATATCATCGTCAACCCAAAGATGACTGACAACGGTCAAGCAGTGATCCAGGTTTGTTGTCCGCTTAGAACGCGAAACATAATTTCTGACTGCTAGCAGCTCGAGACCGCTGCAGGTGCAGCTATCAAACACTTCAACAATGCCCACGGCATCAACGTTCCCCGTTCACGCTTCCTGCCCGTGAAATCCTGCTCTGATCTGTTGCTCATCAGGAGCGATATATACTCATTGCAAAATGGCCGCCTGGATATGAGCGAGAGCAGGATGTTCGGCAGTGTCCCGGTCATCAAGTTGGGTGACCACTTCAAGAAGGTTGGAGCATCCTTGGAGCTGCGATCGTTGTTTTTCTGATGGGCGCGATGCATGGTCAGATAACTGAATTTCAGCCACGATTCAAGAAGATCCCTAATATCATCGACTTGGATCATCTCACGGTAACGGGCGACGTTCATTTTGGTCGAGGGGTCACGCTCCGTGGTACTGTGATAGGTAGGCACCCCTATTTTCTCTGCATCTGTTGAATGTGGCTAGAATTTATGTCATAGTGGTGGCGAACGAAGGTCAGAGGATTGACATTCCAGATGGTTGTGTGCTAGAGAACCGTAAGCACAGTCAAATTGCTTCGTGATGGCATAGGCTGATGACACTTTGCAGGTTTAGTTTCTGGGAATCTCAATATGACGGTGAGGCCATTCAAGTCTCCGCACTTTAACCTGGCTTACTGATTATTTCTTGTGTAGGAACTTTGATCCATTATTTCATAAGCTACATTGTACGTTGTAAAGTTGCTCATCATTCATGTATGATTATCAGTGCCATTCATAACCACCATTGGGCTTGTTTTGACATTCAATAGTATCAGTACTCCGAAGAAAACACCAGTCAGATTGCTGCAAAAGTAAAAGTAGTCGGGTGAATGCTAATACTATCATGGAACCAAAGCTATCGAGAGCTCATTGTCCACAATAGAAAGACAGTACAAAGACATGATGAACAACAAGATCATGCGAGTGTGAAAAGAGCAAGCAGAAAAACAGTAAGATAAAAAGGAATATGCTATCTATGTATTTGTCCGTGCGTCGTCGTAAGGCTTCTTTCTGAGTAAATTACAACTCCTGCATAATAAAAGAACCATCAGCAGCGACTCAGGAAGTCTAGTTTATCACTCACGATCATGTTCAAGTTTCCAGACAGCAACCCTGCGAGTGAACGGAGATGTGAGATCGGGAGGAATGGAAAGCAGAAAGACATACTGTTCTCAAGAATACAGCCATCAGGGATATCAATGCGCTGACCCTCATTGGCAACAACTACGAGGTTTTGTCAGCGACTCTTATCAGATCAGCCTAATTAGACTTACTGATTACAGTACCGCGAAGTGTCACATTTCGACCGAAATTTACATCGCCTGTGACAGTCAAGTGATCGAGCTCAATAATCTTGGGAATCTTCTTGAAGCGTTTCTGGAACTGCTGGATCTTCTTGAAGTGGTCGCCGAGCTTGATCACAGGCGTGGTCTCGAACATTCGGCTCTCGTTAAGGACAAGCTGTCCGTGTTGCAGCGAATAAATGTCACTTTTGATCAAAAGCAAATCGGAACATGATTTGACCGGCAAGAAGCGCGATCGTGGGACGTTGATACCATGGCCGTTCTTGAAATGCTTAATGGCGGCACCGGCGGCGGTCTCGAGCTGGATGACTGATTGGCCATCTTCGTTCGTCTTCGGATTAATGATGATCTCGAGTTCCATGCCCTCAGTCTCCATGATGCGTTTGAGCGCTGAGAAGGAATTAATAGTGTGCGAAAATGAATGACTAAACGCCGGTACCTGGGAGGTTGATCCACAAGTTGTTAGTGTTGAAGATCTTGAACTTGCGCACTAGATATCATTAGAAGTGAAAGACAGGTGCAAGCTCATGAACCAACCAGACTTGAAGTCCTCAACATGCTCTGATGGAACTTGCGCGATCTCAAGAAGGCGGATTGATCCCTCGTAGTCAATGAGAGTACCACCCTGCTGGAGAATGAGGGACTCATAACTGTAGTAATCTAGGTACGTACCTTGATGTCGGCCTTCGTCTTATCAGTGACTTCCATCAAGAATTCTGCTTGGGAGTCGATCATGTGCTGAAGGATCTTCTCATCGACACTAGAACCAAGTATCAGTTAAAGACGGCGCAACGCGGACACTCCTTTGGTACTGACACTGCGCCCAAGTTGTCCGAGTTAGATACAAAAAGGTACTCTTTGCCCTCAGCAATCAACTGGTCCAATACACCGGAGTACAGCAACGCATTGTACAAGTCACCATGGCCGGGAGGATACCAGTGCGTCTTATCATCGTCGGCACGCTTTGGGCAGGGAAGTAAGCTCTCTTTGAAGATCCGGGGGTACCGCGACTGATTGAATGTCGTGATGCGGAGTTGTTGATTTGCGTACTTCTTAATGATACGCAAGGTGTCCTCGTGGGTGTTGAAAGAAGTCATGAGGATGAGCGGAACATCGACCCGGTTGCTCGTGTTGAGGTGCTCAATCTGACGCACGGTGAGGTCGAGGAATGTCATGTCGTCCTTGACTTCCAGCGCGCTCTTGGCACCAGTCATGCCTATTGACCATCAAAATGACGCGATCGAGCCACAACGTGGAACATACCCATGGAAGTACCAAGACCACCATTGACTTTGAGCACGGCAAGCTTGTTAAGGTTACTGTGGTCATGAGGCTGAGATAGACTGTCATAGGCTACAATCTGGTCATCGGCGGGGGACTTGATGCGATCCCAGTCACTGATAAGACGCGATTGTTTGAAAATGATATCATTTGCAAAAATAGGAAATAACGCACAGATCCACGCTTTTTGCACGTTCTGAAAGATAGCGAGTGAAAAGATAGAAGAATGATTGCATTTCGGTGTCAAATGCCTGCTGACCATCAAACATCGCGAACACGTGTAGGGTATGTGGAGCGCACCTTCTTGGCATGTTCATCGCAGGTGCTCACCAAATGGCTGATCTCGTTACGCATTGACTTGGCTGCAACACCGGTGGTGGCTGTTTTGAAGTCGATATGACTGCTGCCTTTAACGCGAGCGTTGAGATTGTCACGAGGAGTCAAAGTGGCCATGGTTCTAGCGAGATGCCATAAGATATGCATGGGACGCGAAATAAGCGAACATACTTTGAACTTGGGATATGTATTGGCTTGGTGGTGGTTGTAGACAAGTAGCAAGGTTCTGTCTGAGAACGTATGAGGGGGCTCCTTGGTCTGTGGTGTCGTTTATAGAGTTCTGAACTGAGATCAAGATTGTTGTGGAGACCGGGCACGGACAAGTCCGATCCGAGAACGTTCAGTTCTTCTGGTATGAGCTCACACAACGATTTTCTTTGGCTAGTTCGTCGTTCGTTGAACTCCCTAGTAGCAGAATATTTGGCTAACGGCGATGAAGGCGTTGGAGGCGAAGTTGAATTAGGGATAAAAGATCTCGGTTGTAGACCAAGTAATTTCAGCGGACGGTAGAGGTCGTTATATGAAGTTGAGGACGAACGTGCTTGCATAAAATCGATAAAGGGACCCCGCTTCTCGCCGCAAAATGGACTCGCCCAAGTTGTTGCGTTCGAATGGGCAACGTTTGACTCTTTCTGATCCTGGCTTTTATAACGAATCTAACCAACTTTTCAGATTGCTTTTACATATCGGGGCCAAACTCTATGGCACCTGTCGGATCCATCAGATCTCTCCTCTACTTTCTCCGGTGATACGTATGTATGCCTTATCCATCCAGGCAGTGCGCAACACGCATCATACGCCAGCGCTAAACCCGTTCGTTGACACCAACGGGCTCCCAACCCGAGCTCATCCGAACGCTTATCTTTACAGGTCAATACTTTGCTATATTCGTGCGATTATGTGTCAAGATTTTCTTTGCCAGACAAGCGCATACGACGAACGCACATACAACTTGGAAAATGATTTCGACGTGCAGTCGAGGCTAAGCGCTGTGAGGAACAGTTTCACCTGTCAAAAGCTGTGAGGTCTAGACTAGGTCAGACTCCCTGACCTCAATTCTCACAACGCCAGTGTATATGCATGATCATCACTTGAGAGGATCTTGGCTTGCGAAAGCCGACCTGAATCCTGTCGTGTCAATTCGGGCATGAGACTCCTCCTCTACCGCCCACGTCGGAGTAAATGTCGTGGGTACACGCTTTTGAACGCGGACTTCAATACCGAGTTCTCAGATCCCAAGGATCGTCCCTTCATTTACAGTGTATACGCCATCTTAATACTCATCAATAACACTCGGGGTGCCTTGTCGGGACCTCCTCTGCCTGTTTTCGTAGATTTCTCGTGCCGCGACCTTTCAACCCTTGTTGTATTTCCGTGCCTTAGTATGCAAGCCAAGGCAACCATGGCCCATTTTTAGGTTGACCAGCCTGCCATCACAAACCGCCGTTCCTGCGCTAGTTCAGGCGATCTTGGACAAGGCATTGACTGTGAGTGCCTTGAAGACGCATCATTTTGGTCGCAGGACTTTGTCAGGTACATAACTATCTTTGGGGTGCGCATGTTCCGTCAATCAAAACGGGAAGTCTGGGCTGATTGCCGCATCCTGTCCCTTTCATGCATGCTCGTCATATCCACGCTTGTCAGTTCGGAGATTACGGTATCATTTGCATTTTCTAGAATGAAATTTGCCTTTAAATATTAGCACTGCGAAATTAGACCGACAGCATAATAGTAGTCAGATCAGTCGCTGAAGTTCTACACCTAGGTTGTGAACCACGTTTCGCGATCCTCTACCAGGGCATCACGTGTGTCGTACACCATGCCGCAATGCAAAACACCAGAAGAGGAGGCCACGCCACGTCCGCCACATCACTGAGAAAACCACGAAGGAGTCCCACCTCATGCACTCCGCGGTTTGCCATTGAGCACGGCAGGGACAACGATATGCGTCTTCGCCGCCCTAGAAGATAGAAGGCCCATGAATTGGAAGAAGACGAGGATCTGCCGCGGAGTTTGCTGGAGGGCGCCGGCTCTGTAGATTTAGTCACAGGAAGAAGTAGCATTGGATCTTCGTCGGTATCTTCCGTGACACTTTGCTCGAGCGAACGTCGATATAGCTCATCGTTACTTGTACGACAGAAGCTGTGGCTGGGTCGAAGAGAGAACTCGGGCTGGCGTTGTGCCTGTTTGTTGCCCCCGGGGAGAGTTCGGTAAACATTAAGCGCGAGGAGGCTAAGCACTGAGAATAAAATGAAAGGGAGGTAGACATTGAGATAGATACCGAGCTGGTCCGGGAGGAAACAAGGTGTATCTAGAAGCGAAGGCGGTGAATTTGGCAATTGGGTCAGGGTTTCACTTGCAGGGACAGTTGAAATCAACGAGAGAAGTTGAAATCCTGGTCGACGTATCCCCATTGCCATTGAAAACGACTTCACTGTAATTTCTCGGGCTGCGGTCGACCCAGAAGCGGATGGAAAAGGCAAGGGGTGTGAATATTCACAGTAGTCGTGATCATCACCACTGAATATGTAACTATGTTCAGTAATGAGTTTGCGGAAGGAACAGGGGGACAACGAACCTCAATATAAGGGATGGTCCGAGTAAGCGAAGTAGAAATTGCGATGCTTCATTAGAAAGGGTGTTCTGATACCCAAGGCCATGCCCCTGGCGGATAGTGCCCCGTTCCCGCAGCGGACCGCAGCCTGCATCGAGGGGCCGAGCAAGAGGGATGTGCGTGAAGAGTACAACTGGACTGGCGTGCTCATGCGCAGCAAACCGCTTCACGAAGTCCACGGATCCTCCTGCTACTGCAGGCCAGTTGTCATACGAATATCCTCGGTCTGCGCGGACAACATCTTCTTCCACCAAGGCGACTGCATCGATGAACAGAACAGTATGGTTTCCAATCGTAGTCTTGTGATTCCATGGTCCAAAGTGGGAGGTGTACCTCATTCTAGCTTCAAGAGAAAAGGAAACATCTTCTCCGAGCCTGGAGGTCCAAAAAAATTACAAGAGTGCTCTAAGCACGGAGGATTCATGACCCACCCTAGGTCATGATTCCCAGGAAGAAAAAATGTCGGCATGGACAAATCCTTCAACTTGAAGATATTGAAGAATCGCGCAGCATATGCATTGTACCTGTGAGTAAACAAGCAACCTCAGTCGCAAGCTGAAATTCCGCCGCTTGAATGCAGGGATGAATTATGAAAAACGTACTCGCTATTCGACATGGTCGCGCGGCCATTGTCCATGAGATCACCCAAGAAAACAACGGCGTGAGGTTGCACTCTATTTATCGTTGAATGCCAACTCCTCCGGAGGTTGAGATCGATGATGAACTGGCCCAAGGCTTTCATCAGGGAGTTACGCATGGGATACGAGCGGTGGTCAACGATTTGAGGATCTGCTACCACTAATACGCGTGCAATACGAGCGTTGGGTGCGTCGGGCTGGCAACTGACGCATAAGCATTAAGTTGAGACTATATGGCATTACTTCACCTGATAGATATCGGGCCACTGACAATCATGTAAGACATGGTCGAACGTGTAAACTTCATGCCAAAGGACGACGATTATCCAAGCTGCCCGAAGGCCGTTCACAATCATGATATGTGATGGCGGCCATAGCTTCAAGTTACGTAGATAACTTGACATGGCGAGTGATGGATTGAAGCTAGCAGGCGAGCTCGCTGCTCTGGCACCAGTGAGAGCGGTCAGTCGTACCCGTCTTTCTTCGTTATTATATGGCTTCGGATCCACTTGACACGAATCCGCCCGCACCTGTGATACTCTGACGCGTACGGGTGTGGGTAGGCCTTCAGAGTGCCATCTATCTGTGGATTGCCCAGGCCCACTCATGTCACACCCTAACATTGACACCAGGAGAATAATAGCTCGAGTTGTACAACCAATTGAAGGTATAATTTTGCGTGAGCCGCAGTTACGGTCAGTGCCGAACGATTCACCACTGGTCTGCATAAAGAAGACTAAATAACCTACTACGTCTAGTAATACCAGTGGGCTACATAGTTACAATCATCGGGCATTGAGCAGTGTCGTTGCGGACCGTGGGTGAGTACTATGATCATATTATTATCTACAGCTCTACAGCGAGGTATTTGCAGAACGTTCCCGACATCAATATAGCTTGAGCCCTGTGTGGGCTAGCGATAGCGCTGGAGCCGTGAACTTCAAACTTGTCGTGGGTATTCCCTACCACTAGCTCCGTTGTTTGCACTTTCAAACCTATTGAGAGGAACTGAGTGATATTTTCATAGATAACGTATAACGTGATAGCGCGAGACTCGACTCACCGAATTGTCTAACTTCAGTAATGAATAGTAGGGTACCGGTGGGGGAGCAGACAAGTCATAGAATGATACAGTGTGATCTCACAGAATAGTATCAGGTAACCTCTCGTTTCCTCGGAAAACAACATGGCCGAGGTCTCGAGCAAAGTGAGGCGCAAGACGGCGCCCGCGCGGCCTCTTCTGTCTATCCTGTGCTGACCGCGAAGCACTTCCGGTTGCAGCACCTGGAGCTGGTTGGTTCGTCGTGGTGGATTTGGATTCAGGTTCATTTGTATCCAGTACTGGAGGCGCAGGTATTCGCCGTGATGTTCTGCAAGAGTTACAAGTGTGGATAACAAGGTGTCCGTGCGATTTGGAATCTGGATGTCACGGCGACTTGATGAGCACGTATAAAAACGATGTTACTCGACACGTACTCTTCACCCGCACGGTCGAGGAGGCGCCAGGTATTAACACGATACGACATCCCTTACATATAACGCGTTTGACTGTTGGATCACTGCCTTCTATGAGCTCTACGATGTAAAGTGCGACATGAATATGCTCACATCTTGACAGTCGTCTTCTGCCCGACGATTTTCATCGTGTCTATGTAGCTCCTAGACAGGTCCGCAGTAGACACGACCCTCTTTTGCCGTTCTTTCGGCGGGTCTTGCGTGTCATCTGTCTCGCAAGTGCTAAACAGAACCTGCGAGGAGGGGCCAGCTGTCATGCCATTGAGGAGAACACTGGCTTGGTAGAGGAAGTTAAGACGTTGGATGATATCACGATTGGCAACCCTGCTTGGGTTGGGGATATCGTCTTTGTTCTGTTTGCCCATCTGACCTTGATAGTAGTACTGTGCTGGTTGTAATAGTGGAACCTTGATGATCTACTTCGACCGGTTATTAGCCTAGGGCCGAGTGTTTGCTGTCACTTCGATATAAATAAAATAATGCGAAGGTCATCAACCGACCTTAGCTCAGTTGGAAGAGCGCGAGACTGTAATGGATAAACAATTCATCTTGAGGTCGCCTGTTCGAGCCAGGCAGGTCGGACTACTTTGTTATCGGTTTCTTTTGTTACCCATCGCTTGAGCTTCAAGGGCGCCGAAAGTTATTTTGCCAAACGTACTACGGGAACAAATCCACGACGATCAACGTTTACGGCATCGTGTAGACCGAGGGGTCCATTAAATTTTGCGTCTTCATCTCCTTCCAACCCTCCGAATCGCAGTGGCATTCGTGTGGACGTCAACACGTCGCTAAACTCATAGTAAAGCTATATGGCAATAAGAAATGCAGAGCGAGAGTCTCAGTATGACCTGATAGACCTCCTACGGGTCGTGATCATCACGTACCACGCCGGAGACAGGAATAAGTTTTCAAAGGTACATCCCCAAACCACTTCTGTCACGGTATGGGATCGCGTTCAACTCAATTATTACTTATTTGCAGAAAACTCTCTCACCGAAATTATGAACATGTTACGAACAAAACTGCAGCTGCCGCCAAATTCGACGATCACGTTAAAGCAGCGGCGCAGCCGTTATCCTGACACGTTCATTGATTTGGATGATGGTAAAATGCATTATTTCTGCGGTACATAAATGACTTATTATCTGACCGCCGATTCATTCCAGAGGGTGATTTCGATGCATTCAGCGTGCATGCGAGAATCGTGAAGTCGGTTGATGTGAAGGTGGATATCTCAGTGAGCACCGTGGTTTGAATTTAGTTGGCTTGTGTTGACCCATTCCAGCAACCTCCTGCGACAAATGGAGCCGCGTCTTCCACCCGTGCGGCGAACGCTTTACAAGCTTCAAAGATGAGTGTGATTGGGCATAAACGCAAACCCGCGAATGACCAGCCTCCGATAAATGGTAACGAGACTGCGGCACCTGAGCTAACGATTAAGAAACGGAAAACAGATCAACACGCAGTGATAGTTGATGCTCGTAAGCGTACGGACATTGCGCGAACTCTTGATGCCGGACGGCCTGTTCTGCTTAGCCCGGCAACATCCTCATCGAAGTCCTCTGGCAAGCGAGAAGTCTCGGTCGCGAAGCTGACTGATGCTGAGCGCGCGACCGGGTCGGTGGCGTTCCATGCAATGATGGCGGAGGAGGCACGGATGGAGAGGGAGAAGAATAAGCGGGATTTCTAAGAGTGTGGTTAGACCTGAGGTGGAGCTCTGAGACGATGACAAGGGGAGAGGAAGGTTATGGATGAGCGTGCGGTAATTTTTGTGGCAAAACCAGGCACTCGCGATCGTTCGAGAGAAAGTGCCAGCACCAGCACTATGAGCAAATATCAAAAATAAAAAATTGACACAGATAACTTCAACAGATAGGATTGGAACCAAACAATAGAGGGAGTCCACAAATGGATTTTGAGGCTGATCTGGGTGCCGTGCAGCGTGTAGAAGGTTGATTTGTGCATATATTTCGAGTCCTGAAATTCAATTATTGAACTAGGTAGTATGCATTAACTTTTGAAGCAATTTGGATCATAATCATCGGTATAGATGTCTCCAGGTACTAAGTATTGTCAATAAACAGCTGCCGCGCATGGATAACTTGGTCATTTCCGAGTACTTACAACGACACAAAGCAGTATTCTGCGTGATACCCATTTCTGAGATCTGATGACTGGGCCGTGAGTAATTCAGCTGCAATCCTACTTCAACTGAGACTTCGTCAACGTGAGGCCAATCGGGTCAACGGCCCAAAAATTAGCCTACGTAGAACAGCCGACAGGGGTGTCGGAGGCGCCAATGACAAAGAGACCGGCGGGATAGCTTGGTGATATCCCTACCGAGATGTAATACGAACGCTGCAATCATGATGAGAGGCAATTATAAAATCGCGAACAAAGTTCTTGCACACGAGTCAAAATGCATGTACAAATTCTCACACTGTGCACTTGATTGGTTCTGGTAGGGATTTTAGTTAGTACATGTTCTTACAAGCATGAAGCGTCGACAGCTCTGTGGATCGTTCTCCCTGCTCATGAACCACGGGACAAAATGACCGGGGAGAGATCGGTTTTGAGATATATATCTCGGGGCACGAATAATGAATTCGCCTCTAGTGGCCATCGAGCGTTGGCGACGAAGGATGATGAACAAGAAAAGTTCACTTGGGTCTGGTTCAGTCCTATGGTGCGAGCAAAACGTGGATATATCAGCGAATACCCAAACGATTACAACATTTCTATCGAGATGGTCAATGATGCTCTGAGTGCTCATCGTGGTGGCCATGGCCGTGGCCCTCCCATGGATGCCGGAGGCCCTGCAAAATAGTGTGTTAGAGACAAGGAGTAGCATTCAGAGGAGAGAATGGGTAAATACAAGAAGCTTAGGTCCGTCCTCACTGATAAGAAGTTAGTATACGGTTGTAGATACATAGTGTTGGACCTTACCGAGCCCGATATAAAATGAAGAACCACATAGTGGCTCCAAGTGCCTTTGCAAGGAATTGGTATCTGAACCCGGGAAGATGAGGGTTAAAACCTGAAGCTACAAACACATAGTGAGCGCAACAATAAGAACGACCTGAGCGTCACATACGATGACTTCCACCAGCCATAATGAATGTTCCGGGTTGAGGGTGGTATTTGCATTTGTTTGTGGATTGCTCATCCTGAAAAGCTCGACGCCTATCAACACCCACATCTCCAAGCTACGCACTGTCGCGTCGCTCGTTAATCCTGCTGCAATGGAAGTGGACGGCGGAAAACGAAAGCGAGAGGAGGATCAGTTACCGAGCATTACTTATCTCGTCGGAGATAGGTCTTTTGATAGACTTTTCAAGGGTACCCCCTCCTTAACTAACTATATCTGGCTTTATGCTCATCTCAGTATGTACAGAACAATCTCTCGAAGAAATTCAGAACGTTGTACGGCGAAAACTGCAGCTACCGTCAAACTCGACGGTCAAGCTAAAGCAGCTGCGTGGCAGCAAGGTTATTGATTTGGATGATGGTAAACGCGCCAGCTCTGGGGTGTGGCACCTCTTTTCTGACTCTTGATTTACTTCAGATGATGATTTCGATGCGTTCTCCGCGCGCGCAAGATTAATGAAGTTGGTTGATGTAGCAGTGGAGATCTCAGTAAGCCCAGCGGTTCGCGTGTAGTTAGCTCGTGTTTACCTGTTCCAGCAGACCTCTCCTGCACAAGAGGCTATACCTTCCGCCAGCACGAGGGAAGCGTCAAAGACTTCCGAGACTGGCATGGCGAAGAAGAAACGCAAAGCCAATAATGACCAGCCTCCTAAAGATGCTAATTCGACTGTGGCACCCGAACCAAAGACTAAGAAACAGAAGACAGAACAGCCTGCAGTGACCAAGCATACGGAGACTGCGCCAACTTCCAAGGTCGCCTCTAACGACAGTTTTGTTAGAGAATTCATTGAGAGACTTGGGAGAAAGGAGCCCGCCCCAGTCAGTGCTCCAGCAGAATCCCCACCGAAGCCCTCTGCGAAGCTCTCTGTCTTGATCAGCACCAAAGCGCCCGTCCCCACTGATGGAGAACCGTCGAAGAAGAAACCAAAAGTTGCGAAGGCTGGTATAGTCAAGGATGATGCAGAGAAGCCGCCAAAGAAGACCAAGAAGGCGAAGGAGACCGAACAGGCCAAGGGGACCTCGAGCCTACCAGTATCAGATGATCATGTAGCCCCGGCTCCTTCTGGTCCCTCAGAACCGCCAAAGAAATCATTGGGGACGAAGAAGATTACCACACAATCATCGGCTCTTCAGTCTGGTAGGTACATGTTTCCTCTCCATATTTCTGGATATTGAAGATCGTATCCCAAAGCTGAGGGCGAGAAATCCGTGAACGGTGTAGTTGGCGGCGCAGCTGCCTCTAAAAGTACGCAGGAATTGCATATATTGATTAAACACGTCTTGATTGACTGCCTTCAGAAAAGAAGCAGAGCAAAGTGAAGGGTAGAGAAGTTGAAAGTGAAAGTGAAGCGGCTCCAAGCGAACCAGCTCCTGAGACATCTGGTTCGTTCGAGAGCCATCAGGAGTTCCTTGTCACCAATGATTTTACTGCAGCTTCGACGAAAGGCCGCAAGAAAGTTGCAAACGCGGGAGCTTCAGAAGCTCCAGCCCCGAAAGAAAGTGCGTGGTATCATACGTTGATCCCGCGCTTTCTAATGTCCCACAGAGAAGACTAAGCAAAGAAAACAATAAAAGCCAAGGCTTTTGATGCAGATGGTGCGTGACTCGTTCTGACAGCAGTCACCGTCTGACCAATGCTAGATCAATAGCTGACCGACCTGCCAATCCAATAAATATTCAGGATATTGTGAATTCAATAGCACGTGTCTCGAAGGCAAACGGTTAAACAGAATAATACCAATACTGTGGTGAATTCGGTTAACGCTTCCCAGCCGTCCACTTCACTGGGCCTCTCTGTAATTACGACCACGAAAAGTGGTGTGTCATCTAGTCCGCTTTGTCATGCTTGCTCTGGTTCCTTTCATCCCCTGTATCGGTGCCCAACGGTGCTGGCAGGCCAGGAAGCGATACAGAATAGAATTGAGAATTGAGGAAAGCAGGGGCAAAGAAGCATCGACTCACTATCAAGGATTTGGAGTCGCTGTTAAAGTCTCCTATTGCTGCAGTGCCTTCCGCAAAACGCGATGCAGCAGATACCACGAAGCCATCACGGAAGCCTTTGGAGACTGACGACGAGTCTGAAGGGGAAGCTACGAAAGCAGATAAGGAGTCTCAACCTTCTTGGACGCCCCTTGTGCCAAGTCACTCGCTACTTTCAGAGGTGACTGTGGAGAGCCGCAACGAAGGAAGCAGTTCGGAGGAAGAAGACGAGATTGCTCAGGAGCCAGAACGAAAGGAGCCAGAGCAGGAGGAACCAGAACAAGAGGAGCATGAGCCTGAACTTGGTCAGGCTTCGCTCGAAGACGTTGATTTGGACGCCATCATGCGAGGTCCGGGGCCAATCAAACTTCGCAAATTGATCGATACCTTGGAGTCGAAAGAAGAAGAAGAATCAGATACCGAGGACGAAGGCGGTGATATTGGGCCTCTGGAAGTTGAAGACGATGGCGAGAATGAGCGGAAGTACCGTCGATTATCGCGGCGCTGGGTGAATTCATCTGAAGAGGAAGGGGACGAAGACGACGAGAGCGAGCAGCACTCGACGCCCCGGCTAAAACAAAACATTTCCGAGCCGTTGGCTTCAACTGCCGCGCCGAAACCTTCTGTGGGTCCTGATGAGACGTCTAACGCTACAAACCCAGCTGGAAGCAAGAAAGATGGTGTGCAAGGAGATGCTTTTGACACGGATGTCACCCGTGTTTCTGTGTCAAAGGTTCAGGATGGCGACAAAGACTCGACCAAAGATGCTGGTAAAGCACCTGAGGTTGTAGGCCTGGACAAAGCATCAGATACGTCGCCCGCCCGCGGTACTACGCTCTCTCGTAACAAGCCGACAAGGCCAACACTAACGATGACCCCATTGAACCAGCCGACGATCTGATGGATTTCCAGCATGTGATAACATCTGATAATGACCCTATCGAAATTACGACACCGCCGACTCAGAAAACTGCAAAACTACTTTCTCCAGTCGCCCACTCGACTCCAAAGTCTGGCCTAGCAAAAAGGATGAAGAATCGACACGGGCAACTTCCCAGCCCGTTGCAATTTCCTGTACGTGCTGATGAATCCAAGGTGAATGGATCCCAGAGAGCAGGCACTGAGAGGAAGAAGAACGCTGCCACTCGGGCAGGCAATGACAAACCTTTGATTCGCAACGGTAATGGAGCAACACGAGCAGACCTCCTTCGCATCTCTTCGCAACCAGTCAAAAGGAGCACAAACTCGAACGGTCATGGCGCTACACCATCTCATTCGCAACCTTTGCCGAAAGCTCCAGCTTCTCTTGCTAAATGGTCTGTCCTTCGTGAACCTTCGCCGTCCATGTTGATGGACGAACTTGACAGTTCTCTCATTGGGCAGGGTGGCATGCTTGGCAAACTTGCTGGCAAAGCACCTGATCAAAACAGCGCGGGAGAACATTCTGATGATGATTCAGCAGACAAAGCCGGCAGGTCACTTTTCACGTTGCCGGCGAGTCAAGTACCCTTTCCACACTCGCAGTATAATGCATCTATCCAGAAACGCATGGAGATAGTTCCGGACTCGGAGTCTGAATCCGAGGCGGAGGCCGGAGGCAAGAAGAAGACGACGAATGCTAAAACCAGCAGATCGATACCACCCTACCGTAGACTCACGGATATTGCGAGTCAAGCATCGCTTTTCTCCCAGAGTACTCCGGTTGCACCTCATTCGAGTACCCTAACTAATGGTATGGGAGGGCGGGCGGATGATGACGATGACGACGACGACGACGATTCGTCATCCGAATCTGATGACGAGGGCCAGTCACACATCCCACAAGGGAAAAGGGCAGGGAATCTACGCTCGAAAAAGACGAAGGGACTTTTGGCGTCTATGGTTTACTGAATCACGTCTGATCTACGGCTCAGTCCTGGTCGATCCGTTGCATTTGCCTTGCATATCACTCATCTACATACGTAAACTGATAGAACCCGTTTCTCTTCTCTGTACAGTTGATCAAGCAAGAGCATCGTAGGAACTATACAGACTCGTCATCACCGGATCGTTGTCTTGAGTGACGAGCGGTGAGAATGTAGAAACGTTAATATCCTATCACTCGGTCCACATGGTTGTGTGAGGTTGGACCTGATCCATCATTGATGCTGCTCGGATTTAGGAATGATGTCGATGAGAATTCCGAAATCCACGGCTAAGGATCCCTGTGTCAACAAGAGCATGATCCTCTCATGCCATTGATCTTAGACGTGGCTTTGAATACCAAGTCGCCTAGTTTATAAATCGAACCCGGGGTCAGCTGCGGGGCATCATGTTGGCGTAGAAACTTGTCAAACTCTCAGACTTTCAAATATGAGTTAGACCTTTAGGGGGTATGACCGACAAATTAGGCAATCGATGATCACGCGTTTTGAGGCAAACAATGACAACGATTAGCCCAGGTGACTATATAAACACCGTTGTATTTCCACTGTATTGATTTTTTTTTTCTACAGTTCCCTCTGACAGCCAGCAATCTCCAGCTGCAAATTCTCCTTTTGAGCTTTCAAGCTCGTCTATGATCTTCACACAGAACACACGCGACGAGTAAGTCTGTTGCTTTTAAGCCCGATCGATGCTGACGATTTCAATCTTCAGCTATCTCGGCGATCTCGTATTCTCCCTCATTGGATTCTGATCAATAAATCATGTTTGCTCGATCCATCATTCGTCTACCAACGACTCTCTCCCGGGGTTTTGCAACACACACAGGCCCCCTCTCAGCGTTACCAGCAGCCTTGCATCTTAAAACAGGCCAGTCCTTCCATGGTCGTTCGTTTGGCTCTCCCAAGAGTGTCTTCGGCGAGACTGTCTTCTCGACGTCTATCACCTCTTGTATGTCGAAACATTGATAATATAATACGCGACCTTCTCATCACCTCATCACCTAGACACTGAGTCCATGACTGACCCTTCTTACCGTGGTCAAATTCTCGTGTTCACCACACCTCTCATTGGCAACTACGGTATTCCATCTAACAAGGCACCAATTGATTCCCAGGATGTTGGTGTGGTCTTAGAGTCTCAGGGCATCCAATGCAGCGCTATTGTAGTAGCTGATGTCGCAGAAAAATTTTCTCATCATTCCGCGGTGGAATCACTGGCATCATGGTGTCGCCGCTCAGATATTCCTGCCATCACCGGTGTAGACACACGTGCAATTACGCGTCTCCTTCGTGACCAAGGAACTACCCTCGGTCGCCTTGCCATTGGTGCTGATGCTTCCGCTCCGGCACCTGCCTCCGAGCAATATTGGGACCCCTCCATTGAGAACCTTGTCGACCAGGTGTCGACAAAGCATCCCTACCAGCTCAACCCTACTGGAGACATCAAGATCGCAGTTCTTGATTTCGGTGCTAAGGCCAACATCCTGCGTTCCCTCGTTCGCCGGAACGCTGCAGTCACAGTACTGCCATGGAACTACGATTTTAACTCCATTCGCGACAAGTTTGATGGTCTATTCCTGACTAATGGCCCCGGAAACCCAGGCCAATGCATGGAAGCCGTTTCGATACTTTGCAAGACACTTCAGGAGTGGAACAAGCCAGTGTTTGGAATCTGTATGGGGCATCAGATTATTGGTATGGCCGCCGGCCTTGAGGCATACCGCATGACATTCGGCAACCGCGGGCACAACCAGCCTGTTCTCGCTCTTGCATCTTCAGGTTCCATCAAAGCTGGAAGGGTTTATGTCACCAGGTTTGCATTCTTCAGTTATTATGAGTCATGGACCATGCTAAATGGCGTCATCAGTCAAAACCATCAATATGCTCTTAAGCTGTCCGACCCCTTCCCGCAAGGCTGGGAACCATTCTTCATCAACTGTAACGACTCTTCCGTGGAGGGCATCAAATCCACTCCTGAGTCTGGAAAAAGGGTGTGGGGTGTTCAGTTCCATCCTGAGAGCGCTGGCGGCCCCCTCGACACAATTGAGGTCTGCTATTATTAGTCGCCTAGCTCAGCAGTTGCTAATTTGATCGTGCAGATGTTCACCGACTTCCTCGATGAATGCCGTGTGTGCAAAGTAGAGAATGTCAAGACGCCTGCGGGTACTACTATCGATGCTGCCAGTTTCATGATGGAACAGCCTGCCCGTGTCCGAGTTGCTGCTTGATTGATCACGTTGTTCTACTGTTCTCATTGCATACGTGACTATATGTGTACGATTGGTGTACGATACTTGTTTCTTCCGGTGGTCGATGGTTTCTTTCTGTACTTGTCTCCAAAAGCTTTTCCTAGAATCGTTAGCTTTGCATTTGTAATTGTGCTTGGAAACTTGCAATTGCCTAACTGGGTGTTCATGGATCCCCTTCTGGCCACCGCATGCACGCAATCTTCTTGGATAAATCGATAATCATTAATCATCGACCATGAATTTCCTTGACACTTATGGACTGACTGGGATGGGTGCGAACACGCCGCCCGTGGATGCTCACCCAGAACAGAGCCTCAACGAAGAAGTTTCTCAGGTCATCGGCCAGCTCGGAAAGTTCTGGGGAGGGTTCAGGAAGCAGGCACGTTCACATACGCTCTATGATTGCGACAATTGAAACTAATGCTAAATATCTAATAGAGCGAAACTGCGTTCGCGACTGCGCGCAGGGATTTCGGCGAGGTAGTCACACAAGCGCAGAAAGAGCTTGGCAAACTCGCTATATCAACCGAAACCCCTGCCGATGCCCACGCTGATGATGAGGCCGAGGACAGGGAAAGCGAGAGCGAGTGCACTACAGCTCCTGAGACGCCTACCGCAGAATCGCACAGCGCAGGAGGCTCACTTTCGACTTCACAATCACTCTTTGCGCGCCTCCAATCTTCGCTTCCCCCTAATATTGTCTCGACTGTCCAAGCTCAGCTTCCTGAAAGTCTTAAACACCCACAGAACATCGATCTGTCGCAGCTGCGGACGACGCTAACTACCGAATTTCAGCGCGTCCAGGGGGTGACGCGTGCTCAGGCGGAGGAATATGTTCACAAGAGCGAACAGCTGCTGCGGGAAGCTATGAAGGAAGCTAGTGAAGCCCTGCGAGACGCGGTGAAGGTAATTCCACCAGAGGAGAGCGGAGGATATTCAAATCAAGGTTTGGTTTGGGATGGAAGTGACGTATGGATGCTACCTATGGAAGGAGGGGATTTGAAAGGGAAAGGCAAGGAGACGGATTCGGGCGCTTCGTCAGGGCAGCAGAGTGAAGATGCTCGTCAGGCTGTTGCGACGCGCGCGCAAGTGCTGTTGAAGCAGCTGAAGAGTAATCCCGAGATTATCAAGCTTGATCCCGAGGCTGATGCGGCGAGCGAGACGTTCCATGCTTGGGTATCTGAGGCGCAGAGCAAGGATGAACACCCTGGTACTAAATTCTGGTCAGAACGCATTGCAAGGACGCTATCTCATCCAGATGATGGCCAAACGCTGCAGGAGACGTTCGATGCACTAGGTACGTTGACTACTATGATCCTCGTTGTCGATACTTATCGCTGCCTCAGTACCTTCCATTCTTTCTGACGACGAATTCTGGACACGATACTTCTTCCGCGTGTATCAGATCGAACAAGAAGAAATGAGACGCAAGGCTCTTATCCACGGTACATGACTTTTTATCTTTTGCACTGAAGCATTTTGTTGATTTATACCTTCACAGGAGCAAACCAGACCGAAGAAGATTTCAGCTGGGAAGATGACGAGGAGGAATCCGTCGCCCCTGAATCTAAATCCTTCGGAGCGCTCGAGTCGTCAACGATATCACAACGTACGCTGGCACCGAAAGCGGCAGACACGAGCGACGTCCAATCGCTCCCAAATTCTTCGCAATTCAATACTCCTATGACTATGAGTCCTAGGGACAGTGAGGACAGTTATGATGTTATTTCTGGTAACGCCAGTGCTGCAGGAGATGCACAGGAACATGTACAGAAGAATGAAGAGGAGGAAGAGGAGAGTGACTGGGAGTGAGATTTTTATGTTCTTGTTGTAGTTGTATATAGTTTGGACCAGCCTATAAGGATGACCCGCCGGTTGCACAGCAGATCATGATGTTGAGTGCTATTTACGTTCAACATCTCAGCCAAGCGAACCCTTCTAAAAACATCTCTCCTTGATCTCTCCCAAAACCGAATCTTGGTTTTGCCTTCCACTTGCTAATTCCTCAAGTTGCAAGTGATGCGGAATGAGCTTTATCCATGAAAGGCGCACCAGGAATTCACGTCTTCTTTCACGAAACACCATCATCAACCTCCTTCGCTTCTTCTGGGTCGTTCTCGTCATTTGGTGCGAGTTCGGGGTCTTTTTTTACAGTTTATCGGATTGCAAGTGGCCAGACAAGGAGTTGAAGGAAGTGAGCTCGTCTAACTGAATCGTGCTGTCCTCGTAATGACATGCTGTCAAGGCTGGATCAACCGAAAAGCCAACCCGAGTCCTCTTGATCTCTGACCCCCAACTCTCGAACCCGAGGCGTTCAGGGATTTCATGGCTTGGCTATGATGCATCCTCTACTAGATACTTACGCAAAGGCTGGAGCGTCGTAACTCGTCTGCATCCTCACGCAGTCGTATGGCTAGGCGACGTGCTTGCCTCTGGACGCTACATCACGAATGAAGACGAGTACGTGTCACTATTGCATCCACCTGTCTATATGCGCTTAACGTTCCTGATAGATACGAAAATTACGTAGATGAATTTAAGAGGATGTTCTCCACCGACGAATCCGTGCCGAACTATTTCGTTCCAGGGAATAGAGATGTTGGGTACGTGCTTAACTTTTGACGCGGTCACTCGGGAATTTAGTGGTTCTGCCAGTCTCGGAGAATCTTCTGCTTTCTCAAAGAATGCGCGAAAGTACTTTACTGAGTACTTTGGACCTGTGAACCAGGAGATCGATCTGGCTGGCCATAGGCTGATTTTCATCGACGCCCCTGGATTAGTTGATGAGGATTACCGCCGCCATGGGATGGGGAAGCAGTACGAGACTTGGACACCTGCTGTGGGTGGTCCAATCGAGTTCATTGCCTCCGTTACCATCAAGGGTGGGCGCTGTTTTGCAATTTCTGGATGTATTTTACTAATGTCGGAATTATTAGTATCATCTAGCCCTATCATCTTATTCAGCCATATCCCACTGTCTCGATCAGCAAGTACATTGTGCGGGCCACTTCGCGAAAAAGGCTCTATACGAGCTAGCGCAGGCCATGGGTATCAGAACATGCTTGGTAAAGAAACCACTAGATTTGTTCTGCATATGCTTCGACCAGCAGTGGTCTTCAGGTACGTGTATAAAGATACATCAGCCGCCCATTCCCGTGTTTAAATTACACACCCCTATACAGCGGTGACAATCGAGATTACTGCGACATGACCCACCGCCTCCCCGCGACAGATGCTAATGTACTGGCAAAGACCTCCGTCCGGGAAGTGACCGTAAAATCATTTTCTCCATCCAGGCACATCCGACGTCCGGGCTTCCAGCTCCTCTCCCTCATCCCTCCAGACTCTGCGGTATCACACCATGGCTCTACGTTCGCAGATGCTGCTTGCCTTCTGCCCGATACCTTCCGCATCTTCAATTCGATATACCTTCCCGCTCTCGTACTCACCGCCATCGTGCTCCTATACCTCGATATCTCACCCGACCGACATCGTCACCGTTTCTCCTCTCTCTCACCTATCTCTGCAACCAGGAGCAGTTCCCCGCCGCCAGGCCCAGAATCTGCAATCTGGGCAAACTGGTCCCCGCGGAGGTCAAGCGGCCCAACGAGTCCGGCAGTAACACTCCCGCCCTCAGTTACAGCACGTGTCCCTAGCGCAAAGGAGATTTTCACATTTCGTGCCTTATCATCAGCCCCTGGATCACCACATGATTCTCCGCTCCTGAGTCCTATTCCACTTTTCCACGCCGGGCATGACGACGAGATGAACCCCGCACATTATCCTTCGCAGCATCACAGCGACCATGTCTGGCCTTCAGGAGAGGACGTTCACGAAGCGCCATCGTTCCTCCCCTCACCGAGCGCACGTCGATCAGAGAGGAAATGGTCGTCATGGAGCTGGAGCTTCGTGTTCAGAGGGAGGCGGCGGCGGATAACGATTGCGCCGCCGACATGGGAGGAGATGAAAAAGTTTTATGCGTCTGACAACAGCGACAGTATGAGCAGAGGCAAGCGGAGGGGGATGTTGTGGAGGTTAGGGGGTGATAGCGCGAGTGTTGCGCTACCCGCTTTTGTTACGTGGGCTTTGATTGGCTGGCTGTTCTTTTGAGACGGTAGTGTTTGCAATTGACTATCTACTTACATGGATTTCGCACCGTATAATGAATGGCGTAGTGTACGTTGCATCGCAGTACTCGGTGTGCACGCTTTGACATGATTATGACGCGGTTTGGATCACGTCGACATTGCACATTACAGTATACTACAAGCGGACTGGGTGGCGAAGTACATCCATAGTGCTAATAGCATCCCGTTAGTATACTAATACAACAAAGTCACGATGTAACCTGCGACTCCCAACACTGCAAATAAAGTAAGCCAGCTGATAATCTTGAAATGAAACAGGACATACAATATCCGGTGAACTTTTCAAACGGTGAATGGAAGTACACGCTGGTAGTAGAGATTGCGAACAACCAGATCGCTACGAGCACGATATTGAACGCAACTGCACAAGCATGCGCAAGTGACCATGTCCTGGCACGCAGAGAGACTCTGATCTGGTCCACCAAGAAGAGAACGGACATGGTAAGGAGGAAGACATGGCCCGAGACATCATGTCCCTTCCTCAGGCGCGGGAGCACCGGCAACCTATCATCCGGCACCCATAACGACGACTCGGCAAAGGATCCAACAAACAAGGACGGATGCGTCTCTCGTGATATGGCCGTCCGCGTGAAACAGTATTCATACGGGACGGTGAACACGGTGCCGACTGGAGGGTGACCGTGCACTCGCCCCCCGAAGCTGCTGTGAGCCTTTCAAGGAGGGCAGGGCCAAAGAACCAGCTTGTGAACACGAGCCATACGGCTGTTTCTACTCCCCACTTGACTACTCTGTGCACTGTCCGCTTGTGCGGTGGGCTGGTCAGCCAGAGGGTAAGGAAGGCGGCGGAAGTCCAGCCCCATGCACGTTTGATGAAATATAAGTTTAGGATGTTGGATTTGTTTGCAAAGTAGTGCGTTGCATGTAGATGGTGAGGGAGTTGTGTGAGGATGGGATTGGAGGTGTCGAGATAAGTGTCGTATGTGACGGAGTAGAGCGTTCCGAAAAGGAGGATCGCTGTTATTCCTCCGAATGCTAGATAACACACATCAACTGACATTTCGTAGAATGATACAAGATCTGGCTCTAGTAGACTGGAGAGGTTAAAAAGATTGCACACAGTAAACGTGGCATTAACTTATAACTGCAGGCATGCATCGACAGCATCATGCATGCGTAAGTACTTCGGTTCAAGGGACCAAAAAAAAAACAATGCACGTGCTCACTACTCGGACGCGTGCAGCAGTCGGGCGTATTTCAGGAGAATACACCAGAACGGAGCAGAACAATCAGCGCTCAGCATTCACGACGACTATCACCGACACCCCCAGGCATTAACCCCACGTTCCTCCTAGAGCTAACACTGTAGGCAGTTGCGCCACACGGAAGCCAGAGCAGGAGACGAAGGTGGACAATTCGATCATGCAGTCGTAGTAGTGACCAGTTGGATGCTTGGCATCTGAGCATACGACGGACATATATAATACAAATGTCCAGGCCTATAGGGATAAATAATTGTTTCTGAATCAACATACTGTCAAATTTAGCGTGAATGAAACCAATTCAGAGGTCCCCGTTCTTCCACAACAATGCGACTACAATATTTCTAGCATCTTGACGCCCATCATGTCATGAACAGCAGTCGTGCTCTTGACTTTTGCGCTGATACTATGATCCGACGCGATTCTCTTGTACTCCGAACCACGCTGCTGCGCAAGCAAAAGTGCGTTAAAAGGCCGTCCTAGGCAAGCAATCAACTTCAACGCTCGCGAACGGGAGTCCAAATCATCCTGTTCCTGTTCTTTCATGCCCTGTGCACCGTTTGCAAAGTCGGGCAGCCCGAAATCATGACGATTCCACGGACAGACTAGCAAGAATGCTTGCGGAGTGGGCCGTGTGGGCGAGAATTGAACCAGCTTGTCTTCTGTGGTTATCGATAGGTCTTGAAGCCCGTCCGCCTTGACTCTATATATGAATGACGTTCCCTGGTCTTCGTCGCGTTTCTGTTTGACTTCTGTGATAGCAAATGTGATGCAAGGCAGATGCAGTCTGGAGTTCGCGAAACGCGGGACACTGAGGCTGTCAAGAAGGGTATACAGTTTCAAAGCTGACTCCATAGCCACAGTCTCTTGCAGCTTGGAGACAGATTTCTGCATCTCCTTTGCGGATATAGATGGTCGTTTGTGTGGTGGAGTAGTGTACGAGGTAATTTCAGCTGGGAGACAGCTATTGAACTCGGATGGTTTTCCAACCCAGTCCAGGGCAGTGATGTCGCACGACCGAGCGACGATTTCCTGCAAGAGCCGACCGATCGCGCTTTGCTTCATCTCGCCGTAGAGTACAGGTAGTTGGACGCCGAAAATGCCAAACAATGAGTATGCAATGTCTTCTGGCACCGTGGTGATGCGGCGCGATGCCCATTGAAGTTTCTCTCGAGCACCTCTCATCCCGGGATTGAAGTTGACGAGTGCGCGTGCATTTATGCTTGTTGAACGCTCCAACTCTGCCATGATAATGGGTGACTTCTTGTGGTTGGGAGAGCGGTCATTGAGATATAAGTCCCAATCTTTGTGGTAGAAGAGAATGACGTCAGGAGCTAGGAACTCCTGAACAGTCCATCCTCGTGTGGTCCAGACACTGTTTTCCAGTGTGCCCAACTTCACGGAAGGCGAGACATCCGACAAGTAAACAATCGTAAGAGCTGAGTGGCGATACCAAACGAGCATGGAGTTGACTGATCGTTGGACCTCGGCAGTGTTCTTCTGATCGATACAGCACGTATCGCTCCATGCCCAACGATACCCCAGGCCATGAACCTTTTTGCAGAACATCTGCAGTTTCTCCATGCTGGCGACTCCCTTCAACTCGTACACGATCTTGCCTTGGATGTCGTGTAGTGTTGGCTCCTCTTTATCCCACCTATGTGATAACATAACCCAACCGAAGTACCTCACGACCGCCTTCTTGATGAGCTTTATTTGGAGGGGTTTATGCGTCATTGACGAATACAAAAGCTCGCTGTATTCTTTGCTTTCCATGAAGTCATTTCTCTGTGCATCTTGATTGCATAAACGCCCAGTGGACGTGTTGAGTAGACGAAGCGGTGCCTTTTCCAGGTGAGCATCAATGGCCCCTTTAATAGCGTGTTCTGCTTCAGTATACTGCTTACGTAGCGTTGGAGAAAGAGTTAGTTGACTGAATGGTGATGCAGGGGTTACTCAAGACTTGCCTTGTAGTTGGGGGTCGGGAGCATTTGTAAGGTCCAACTTGGAGAGCATGCTTTCAAACGTCTTGTTTGCTTTCTTATCCGAGTGTTGTACACCACGAAGTGCTGCATGCTTCAGTTCGGACCCGCGATGAGAGGATGGACTGAGTTTGATGACCTGTGTTGGTGAAATTAGCACAATTAACAGAAAACATGATAGACATCGTCTGCACTGTGTCGGCGTCAGCAAGGGCCTCCGAATAATGTTTTCGTGCCAAATAGGCTGAACTGTGGCATGTAAACAAGGAGTCGTGCGAGGAATCCAGCGTGATTGCAGCTGAATAAAGTTCAATAGCCATCTCGTAGTTGCTCGCAGCAAGGGCCTCATCTCCCTTTGCGACACATCGTGCGGTGCAGTCTTGCTTGAAGGCTTATCGATATTAAAATGAGTCTCGATGTTCAAGTTGTCCGGTATAATGACACATTCACCAGAAGACCATTCGAGGCAGCCGCTCTTCATATTGTCATCAATCATGCTCATCATATATTGAAAAGATTTGACTGCTTCGGTCACTCGATCGGCATGGAGGAGCGCGTCGCATTGCCGTTGATTGACAGTTTGCCACAAAGTGTCAAAGTCCCAGCCAAAAAGCTATTTGGCGCATGCCATGAGTAGAACTGTCCTCGATGGCTTTGTAAGGACATACCAGTGTGAATATCTTCCATCTAGGTTCTAAAAGTGTGGCGGGCAGGAACAAGTCCATTATAGTGGTAATGCTGGCTGCGAGGTCATCGGCAGCTTTGCTGTACAGCCCATTTTGGAAAGTAATCATTGCAAGCTGCACACGTAGATATGCCTGAGGAATGTATTTCAGAATAAGAAAATTCATCATGTCTGATAAAGCTCACATCGACCATGCTGCACCAAAGTGCATCGGAGTGTTGGTCAGCAGTGGCAAGACGTTGAACTCGCCGTAATGCCTCATTATGGCGACCGGCATTGAAAATCACAACAGCCTAGACAAAATCACATTGAAACCTTGGTGCGACAGGCAGACTATGAACGCAACAATGAGCATACCTTGATCAACAGTAAAAGATCAACGGTAACCGGATCATGATCCGAAAATGTGATAGTGAGGTCAAAAGCTTCCATCGCATCCCAGAGCTGCTCGTTGCCGCAGAGTGCAAGGCCCTTGGAAACATACCCCCATAATGAGGGCTGGATGGCAATTGACTGTGCAATATATCTGTCGTGAACAGACTAGTAACGGTAGTGGCAGAGGGTCTGACCTTGACTGCGTCTTGAAGTGCATTGTCCCATTCAAGATTCTGTGCTCTCACCACTGAGCGAATGGCATAGCATCAGGAAATCGTGAGTTTACTTAATCCTTACTTATTTTAACCTTTTCCCACTTATTTACAATGGATCTACTTTTTTTCTGAAATTTGACAACTGCTTTAAAATTGAGTATTACAATATGTCTGTTGGGCCTGAGAGACATCTTTCATTGCATAAGACTAACAATTAGTGACTAGTATGAAGCTTGAGTGACATATTAATGTTGATGATTTTCTTTCTTAAATGTTCTCTTGAGGTACCATCTTGCAAATTGAGAGTCCAATAATTTTATAGCACACATTTATGATGATTGCTAACAGATCCTGATAGTTCAGTTGGGACCAGGTGGTGATTTAAGCATAATAAGTAGATCCATTTGAAATAAGTGGGAAAAGTTCGAAATAAGTAAGGATTAAGTAAACTCATGATTTCCTGATGTAGGAATTGTCTTTGTTGCTGTCTTTGTCGATCTCTTGGGTCAGCAACTCTTCAGCAGTATGCAGGTCACCAGCAACAGATGCATTCCACACAGTCAGGAAGACTTGGATCTGTATCAAGGAAGCTCACATTGCATGATAGGGAGACATGTTGAAGGCAAAATCTTACCTTGATGTCATATAATGATTGTCTGTTGACTTTGGAGGTTTTGTCATGAATGGCCCCATATCTATCATCAGTGCAATCCACTGCTCTGCCTTTAGGGCAGTCAGGTTGTCCATCTGGCGACCTCACTGTATGTCCTGCAGAGGTGGTGGTGAGGATGTGCTGTCAAACTGTAGCTCAATTCCCTACTTTTCTGTCCATTCAATCTAACAGTGATACCAGAATGAAACTCATTAGTGTGGGTCTCAAGTTTGTTCCCATATTCGGAGTTGAGCAGTAGCCAGTTCAGTGGTTTGAGCCTGGGGCGGAGATCATGGCTGTCGCCAACTTTCTTGGGCTGTGGGGGGTTTGGTGGTTGGCGTGGACAGGGATTATTAATGTTACCATCTTTCTTGGGCCATGGGTCATTTGATAGTTGATGTCCAGAAGGAGGATTGTTGGGTCCTAGACAAGGCCCAGGATGAGGATCATGGTTGTTGCCAACTTTCTGGGGCTGTAGGGGATTTGGTGGTTGGCATGAACAGGGATCATTGTTGTTACCATCTTTCTTGGGCTGTGGGCCATTTGGTATTTTATGCCCAGGAGAAGGATCATTTGGTCCTAGATAAGGCCCAGGATGGTGATCATGGTTATTTCCAACTTTCTGGGGCTGTGGGGGGGTTGGTGGTTGGTGCAGATGGGGGTCATTACTATTGCTGTCTTTCTTGGGCTGTGGGTAGTTTGGTAATTGATGTCCAGGAGAAAGATAGTTGGTTCCTAGGTGAGGCTCGGGATGGGGATCATGGTTCTTACCAACTTTCTTGGGCTGTGGGGGGGTTGGGGATGAATGAAGATTATTATAGTTGCCATCTTTCTTGGGCTGGGGGCAGTTTGGTAGTTGATGTCCAGAAGGAGGATCATTTGGTCCTGAGTGAGGTCCAGAATGGGGATCATGATTCTTACCAACTTTTTTGGGCTGTGGGGGGTTTGGGAGTGAATAGAGATTATTATAGTTGCCAACTTTCTGGGGCCGCAGGTGATTTGATAGTTGATGTCCAGGAGGAGGATTGTTGGGCCCCAGGCGAGGCCTGGGATGATGATCATGGTTGTTGACAACTTTAGGCTGTGGAGGGTTTGGTGGTTGGCCATGATGGGTATCATCATTGTTGCCATCTTTCTTGGGTCTCAGGTGGTTTAGTATTTTACACCCAAGAGGAAGATCATTGTGTCCTAGGTGAGGCACAGGATGGGGATCATGGCTGTTGCGAACTTTCTGGGGCTGTGGGAGGTATGGTGGTTGGTGTGGACAGTAATCATCATTATTGCCATCTTTCTTTGGTGGTGGGCCATTTGGTAGTTGACATCTGGGAGGAGGATCATTAGGTCCTGGGTGGTTCAGTGCCAGTTGGTGTCTGGGGTGGGAATCATCATTATTGACATCTTCATTGAGCCATGAGTGGTTTGGTGCTTCTGAGTGTCTGGGATAGGGGTTGTCATTGTTGACATCTTTGCAATCATTCAAGATTTCAGTAGTATGCACATTTATGATGTTTGTGAATATCTATATGGAGGAAGCTCAAGTGGTGTGATAAGTACACATTGAAGGCAAGAGCTCACATTATATGACAGTTTCCCACTAGACCTAGAGCTGAAGCTAGAGTTATTTCCAGAGTTGTCATCACTGCCAAAGTCATCATCACCACCAGAGTCTTCGTTGACATTCAAGGCTCCATAGGTTTCATCAGCATCTGAAGTTCCATTGGCTTCATCAGCTTCATCAGCATCCTCATCTTCATCTTCATCATCAATATCAATATCAACATCTTCACCATTGTCTTCATCGTTAACATCAACATCATCTTCACCTTTGCCTTTGCCTTCATCGTCATCATCATCATCATCATCATCATCATCATCATCATCATCATCATCATCATCATCATCATCATCATCATCATTATCAACATCAACATCAACATCTTCACCTTCATCTTCACTGACTTCATCATCTTCATCTTGGTCAACTTCACCTTCGTCTTTATCTTGGTCAACATTTTCAATATTGTTTTCATCATCCTCGTCTTTATCAGTGTCTGCACTCCCATAAGGGTCTTCACTGCCATAAAGGCCTTCACCCCTGCTGTAAGTGTCTTCACCATTGTGAGCATCTTCGCTATCATAAGGATCTTCCCCTCCAGTAGCAGTGGCTTCACCCCATTGAGGGTCATCACCGCTGTAAAGGTCTTCACCTCCACTGTCAGGGTCTTCACCCCCGCTGTCAGAGTCTTCATCCTTGCTGTCAGGGTCTTCATCACCACTGTCAAGGCCTTCACCCCTACTGTCAGGGTCTTCACCACCACTGTCAAGGTCTTCATCCCTGCTGTAAGTGCCTTCACCTTTGCAAGCATCTTCACTATCATAAGGATCTTCCCCTCCAGCAGTGTCTTCACCCCATTGAGGGTTATCGCTCCCATAAGGGTCTTCATCCCTGCTGTCAGAGTTTTCACCTCTGCCATAAGTATCTTCACCTTCACAAACATCTTCACTATCATAAGGATCTTCCCCTCCAGCAGTGTCTTCACCCCATTGAGGGCTGTCACTCCCATAAGGGTCTTCATCCCCACTGTCAGGGTCTTCACCTCTGCTGTAAGCGTCTTCACCTTCATGAACATCTTCGCTATCATAAGGATCTTCCTCTCCAGCAGGGTCTTCACCCTATTGAGGGTCGTCACTCCCATAAGGGTCTTCATCACTGGAATATTGTGGCATCGTAGATCTTGTGTGCAGTGAGTAGCGCAGATTTTCTCCTTATAACCCTATTCATGCAGGTGCTTATCCATGGTTTCTTCTTTGGGCCCATAAAACATACCTTGCTGCTATAGCCCCTTAATCTCATGTCACTTCATTCATCAACTCTGCCCCACTCCAACTTGATGGTTTTTCTTGCCTTCATGTCACCATGCACCATGCTGCCACAGCTTGGATCTCTCATCATTTTTTCATCATTGCCTCCTCTCTTCATAAACACCTGTCAGATACCATTGATTCCTTCATCCTGTGCACTGCCGACCCACTCAGAAGGAGTTAGAACACATGTCTGGTACAATCACATACCATAATCAACTGGGTGTCTCTTTTGCTCAGTGTGTTTTTATCATGCTTTGCCATGGTATCCCAAAGACCCAAAACAATCATTAGGCACCATGATGCCACATAAGATATATGCTCCAGAGCATGTTGCTGATTTGCCCACTTGTCCATGCAATAATGAACCATACCTCTTAACAAATCATCACAGGCCTAATCAGCTGTGCCTGTATACATAGAAAGTTGAAGGTTCTGTGCGATATCAGGTGTACTGATTCATGCCAGCAAACATCTGCCTGATGAATGAATGAATATGATCAAAAGTCATTGGCTTGGCATCAAAAAAATAGATACTTATCAAGGGCAACCTCAGTGTCAAAATATCACATCACCAAAATAGCTGGGAAAGAAATTTCATGTGGGATGCAGTAAAGTGTCAGTAACATAATATGTAGATGGTCAGCACGAGAGCAAGTGCGAGTACAATGTTCTTACTTATGATCAAACACCAAAAACATCTCATAGCACTCAGAGCCCATCTCAATGCCAACAGGGCATCTGTCTGATATTCTTGCTTGGATTCTTTTAGTCAATAATGATTTTCACCAGGATCACAATTATGAGATGGCTCTGGGTGAGATCAAGGGTTGTGTGCCAGTTACGAAACTGGAATGGGTCCAATCACACAAAGAGGAGACAGATGTCACATATGCAGGCTGGCACATGCTCATATTACTCTGATTTGACAGAGACATAGCCTGAGCAGCTTCAGGGCAGTGTGAAGTCAGCCACATGAAAAGGGCTGCCTGGTTGCTTATTTGTCTTGATACTATGATAGATATTGAAATAGCAACAGTAGTATGGGCGAGGGCATGTATACTGGTGAGGGTTGGGTGACCTAACTCAGTAGTGTCTGTCATCAGGCTCTCACCACTGAAACCAGAATCTATGGCAGCCATCTGAGAGAGCATGGGATCCATGGAGATTGGTGTGGTCCCAAGGTCAGTGTCATACCACATGAAAAAGTCATAGCATCCAGGTTGTGACTGGCGGAAATACAGCAAGGTGTGCGCACATGTCTAAAAAACTAGTACAGACGAATTAATTAGTCAAGCAACATTCAAAGTGCGTGTATGAATAGATCACAATCTACCTAAGCACAGGTGGGCGCTAACCCATATGCTGACAGTCTGAGATACTGATGGGCTTCCAAGTCGCACTTAGCATCTTCCTCTCCCAACACACTAAACATTTGAGTCAGCACCAAAAGTCTCAACTGTAGAGCTTGACTACTTATACCTCAGACAGCAGACAACTTTCAAAAACATATCAAAATGACCATGGACTTGGATAGAGGATTATGGATGACCAGTCAGTATTGACACCACCACAAATACTACATGTTCCTGCCAAGGAAGATTTTGGCATAGGATGGCATATCAAGGATTAAATTGACATGCGAAGTGAACTAGGGCAAAATCCCACTGGTTGAAGTCGGAGCTGCTTATGATGCTGCAACTGCCGCCGCACGTTGTCGAGTTGACCATCTTTAAAAACACAACCACTCACTCATGATTGCACTCAATGATCTTCCATATTGTCCTCGAGTCACAGTTTGAAGGTACACATTTGCTGCTGTATCAACTTGAAGCACCACAGTACTAGTGCTGAGATGTAGTCTTGGCAGATATCATGATCGTCAGGCTGTACTGAGGTAGCATGGGGAAATTTGTTGACCTACTGCCACCCCTTGCCAAGCTTAAAGGGCGTCTAAGATATTGATCAGCGTCTCAGTTGTCTCATCCCTGGTAGGAAGCACTAACTTATCACATTGGCATGCAGCAACATCTCCATGGTCACTTCCGTCAACCTCTTTCATGCTCTTAGGAATCTACTGCTCCCTCATTCTGATTACTAGTAGTTCTATAATTTGCGCCAGGTGTTGACCTGAGGCTCGAATTTACAAAGTCTGTATATATATCTGAAGGGTGCGATCATTGTCCATCATCAAACCAACGCATACTACTTATGCAAGTACTTTAGATGATGCTATGCAGTGGAATGCGACGTGCGTGTGGGTTATGTTTTCAAATAAGGCCCGTGTTCATACTTGACGCCATAGCAAGAGCTCATTCGATAGACCCCAGAGTTGAGACATCATCATGTTCACTTGATAAATGTACTGACTACCTATCCCAGTTCTCCCCAGGTTGAAGCTCGGCAGCTATATATCCTTCGATCGCAGAATCACCTGTTTCGACAACTTTTAGAGACGGGGACAGATGGTGTCTCCGCCTCAACTTCACTTTGTCTTCATTGACATGTCCACTTGTCTTACATTCGTCCCAGAATCATCATGCCATCGAGTGGGCTGTGTAAAATAATCAGTATATGCGGTATTCACTATGTTAAATAAAGTAGCCTGGGTGCACGGGCTGGGGGAGGAAGAGAAAACTTGAAGGAACACCCGCTTCGAGAAAAAGAACCCCTATAATGGACTGTTGAAGGAACGACAGTACTAGTTATGTTAACCAAACAAGATATATCTATGGTACATTGCACAAGTTTCATGACTTGGTATGCTCCGCCGACTCGAAACATCAACGTCTATTGCGCTTACTTCTCCAAATCCTCATCGCCGACGCGTTTGTAATGCGCGCGATCTGCACGTTGCAAAAGGCCTTTGAAACGACGAAGTCCGTCACCACACCAAACAAACATCCCCACTCCAACTACGACCACCACAAATAAGATGGCCGCATATCTCAGACGTTCCGACGACCCAGAAAGATCCTCCACAACCTCAGGGGTGGCATCCACAGCTGGAGGGGGGGCTGACTTCGCAGGGCTCGTCTTCTCGTTAGATGCTGGCGAGGTGGGTGTAGAGCCGGGCAATTCAACATCGACTGGCGAAGTTACAGAATTTACGGGTATGGTGGTGATATCCTGTTGGCAAGCAACAATATTTTATTCGCATCAAGAGCTCAAGAGACACAAAGGCAGCTGAATCATAGCTCAGCGCGTAGGGGTACCTCTTTTCCTCCCTCATCCACAATCGGCTCAACTGGCAGCTAGAAACATGGGATGAATACGCCAAACACAGCACAAGTAAATAGAATAACAAACCTCTCCAGAGTCGTAGATGGTGACGTCCTCCAATGGACGATCGTTGCCGCCTTTAGGAACGTCCTCTGAATAGGAGGTGAGAACTTATGGTGATGTAGAGGTGATATAAAGCGAACCGATAGAGTATACAATGTCCATTCCTTCGAGGACTTTTCCGAAGACAACCTGATTTGACATAGCTTAGATAGTACGGTCATAAAAGTGACGTAGAACTCACGTGTTTACCGTCCAGCCAGCTGGTGACAACAGTGCAAATGAACTGGAAAACTACTCAGTAAAGCTCATTGAAAGCAATCATAGGCTAACGAATTGAGATCCTAGAGCGCCATGTTAGATGTCATGATCGATGAGAGAAGAACCTGCTTACCGTTGGTGTCCTTGCCTGCATTAGCCATGGAAAGAGTGCCGGGTCCGGTGTGCTTGAGCTTGCTAAAGTAGATGTTAGAGTTGAAGACGTGACCATGACCACAAAACACTGACAAGTTCTCATCCTTGAAGCGGTCGCCGTAAATGGACTGAAGAACCTCCATAAGTAACGTTCATACCAAGACGGGTCCTAGATTACCTTTCCACCGGTACCATCCCCACGAGCTAGTGAGACCATATCGAATTAGCTTCAGAACATATGAGTGATAGCACACATACTGAAATCACCGCCCTGGATCCTGAGAAAAGAAAACATCAAGCGAATGTCCACAAAACAGACAAGTAACCCACATGAAGTTCTTGATAACGCGGTGGAACTTGGAGCCCTTGTAACCGTAGCCAAGCTCATTACCATCCTTCCCGACACCAGTTGCGAGTGCGCGGAAGTTCTCGACTGTCTTGGGAACGGTCTGCGAGGAGTATTAGTCAACCGCATATCTGCCAGAATAAGTAAAGCAACGTACACCACCATAAAGACCAATGACAACTGTTTAACATTCGAGCCCCGTCAGATGTATGTCACAGGGCAGTCTCAACATATGACACAAACCTCGGCCTAGGTCCTTGTCGCCATGCCTAATGTCGAAGTAGACTTTGTGAGTGATTTTGGGACCCTTGGCAGCATCCGCAGACTGCGCACAGAAAATTGCAGCTATAGAAATCAAAATGAGCGCAAGAGAAACACGGCCGAACATTGTGCAGCAAAGTAGTGAATGTGTGAACGAAGACGTGTTCAAACCAATTTGACTTGAAGAAAGGTTATCAAATGTGGGAACGACATTCCCTTTTGGTTTATGCTTGTTTTGGCAAGCGAACCCTGTCTTGTCCATGGTCTAAGTTGTTTCTTCCGCACCACAACTTTTCGTACACCTCTCGTGTCTTCCCATACTGACATTCGCTCGCCCACCACCGCCTCCCTCGTCGTTCACCAAGTCGATCAGTTTACGGTTCACGTGAATCGTGTCATCTCGCTCCTCTTGGATGCCCATCCAATACTCCCTCCTGCAGCAAAACCGTCACTATGAAGCAACTGAAAGCGCTGTGCCATGAGCGTAGCTTGAATGCGTGAGGGAGAAAGGCAGGCCTGATCGAGCGCCTCACTGCTGTGGTACCTCCAAGGTATGTTGGGTGTGTTTTCCTCCTTATGGGCCCCTCTCTGTGGAGAGCTTTGAACCTCATGTTGTGTGCTTATGTTGATTTCCTCCGGGTGCCACCTCAAGAGCTCGCTCATGAAAGCCATGGCAATAATTGGTCGCGTCCGACGCTATCAGTTTCTATGACGACAGCCTATCTCTCGAACATCCATGTCGTGCGTTCACGCCGCGTATCTCTGACTTCAATAAAGCACTGATGATTCAAGCGCAGCGCCTCCATCTCGAGTATGTCCATGGCACGGTTTGATATTTTCTGGGCTGACTCGTGGGTGCAAAGACTTCGACATCACCGAAAACACGGATCCTCAACTCACACCTTTTTCCAAAGTACTCCGAACAAATCAAGAAATCAGTATGCACGCACCTCACAGTGTAAGTTGGTCTTTCGAGTGTCGTTCTTCATCACACGTGCATCAGCTCTGTGATGGCATGCGTCCAAAGCTGTTCATACTCTGGACAAGCAGTACGGGTCAGTGGCGGTTCTGCAGTTCATCTGAACAAGCCACAGTCCCACCAGGGCTCATCCTTTTTGTGCTGCTGCATTCTTCTGGGCTTCTGCTATGATACATTGCCCTTAGAAATACCGGTATTCTTTTTTCCTCGTGCGACCCATCTTTCGAACGAGAAGCATATATTCCATATCCGACATCTTCACATTGGACATAAAAACTCTAGCGTATTCAAAGGTCGCGGCTCGCGTCCTGCTAAATCTACAACGCAGCACGATGTTGGCGACGCAGAGCAACGGATACGAGATATTGCCCGTGCGCAGGGCTGGCTGTCGAAGAAGGGTGGCAAGATGATTAGCAGTGGGACCAGCGAATTTCAAAATTGCATCTGGTGCTGCCTTGGATTCACTTCTCCATAGCTATCGGTTGCAGTCCGACAGCAGGGCTCCCAGCTTCTCTTCCATAGCATAAACTCGAGACTAGCGACGTGGTACTTACTATGAAATGCTATTGTTCTACACCAAGAATGCGAGGATAAACGGGTCATTTAGTCCTTGTCAGGTCACAAAAGATGGGCAAATCACATCTACAGCCTCGTGCCTCGGCTGACTACTAGATCACCATTCGCTGGTGGAAAACTGTAAGAGCACTGGATTGATACAGAATGTAACAAAGCAAATGCGATACTTCTCTACATAGTCATCAAACTAAGTTACATGGTGATCCTGTCGTAGAACAAGGGAACAGGTATATAGAGCGTGTTACTACTGTCGAGATACGCACCTAGGTTCGTCACACCGTCACACGCCTGGCGAATCGAACCTATTTTTCGTGACGGTCACACCAATTTTGAGGCCGTCGAACCTAAATTGTGACAAGTGGTAAAAACGCAAAAAAAAAACATCTAATGCATCCAAAAGTCTTTGTACTGAGTGTTCGCAACACGTCTGCGCTTGCCACGGCCCTCAGCCTCAACCTCCGTAGACCCATCTCGTAGCTCTTCCACTGTTTATCGCTAAGCCGAAGGACATCTGCAAAGTTGAGAGATTTGACTGAAACAGACTGGAGGTCTTCATCATCTGATGCTTGCATACGCTGGACCACTACAGCAATCATGCTGTCCAACACACAACCATGAATTAGACATGATCCTAACAGTGGTCGGAGCTTGGTGCTCCTCAGATCTGTCTGAGCACCAAATCCCTTGAGAGGGGCATCCCATGGAAGGCTCTCTAAGACATCTAGAACCTCATCAATAATTTCCAACTCTTGTCCGTCAGTAGGAACAACATCAAATCTGTTGTAGACCCAGTCATCTGATGTGCACCAATCATGCTGATTCTCGAGTGCATGTGACATAGCGACCCAGTATGACACAACCCACATTGGAAGCAGGTCATTGGGGAACGAAGGATGGATCACTGATTTATCTCCATCTCAAAATGCACCTCTAGCACGATTGTAAAGGGATAAGGCTGTTCGAAATGGTGGAACAGGTCATGAAACAAAGTCATGTGGCAACTGGAGCAAAGGGGACTGTTTGGAAAAAACAATTCTAGCAGCTGAAGTGCTGTTTTCTAACACTAGTAGGCAGGTTGATAAGCAGTAATGCAGCGACGGAAAGGCTGCCCGAAGGAGCAATTGAGAACTGTGCAGGCACAGATAACACATCCTGGAACTTAGCCTCTGAGGCAACATGAAGGTCAGGCATGGTGTGGAAAACTTGGATGGGAAATGTTTCAGACCATGTCCATCTTGTGGACTGAGCTATGGCTCACTTGCCAAACATTGGAGGATCCACACTGACAAGACTTTACCATAACATAGCAAGAAGACATTGCCATATTGCCAGATGGAAGTCAAATTAGAGATGAAGCTCTTGAGGTGAGCATCTCCAGCTGTGGGTCATGAGGATCACTGTGGCCCCTTAGTGCTGCATGTATACAAGGGAATGTGTCTACCCCAACATTGGTTGTTGAACCTAAGTGCAGTGTGTCACACTGTCACACCCCCCTGCGAACCTTCAAACCTAACGTTCATTTGGTCACACCCAGATTGGGTCGAACCTAGGTGCGTATCTTGACAGTACTAGCTCAAGAAGCCAGGTAGAGCTCTGGTTAGATGGACATGGGTGCCAAAGCTTCTGTTGCCGCCCTTCACTGGGTTGCACATTGATGGGTTAAAACTGAGGATGAGAATTACGAGGGGTTTCATAAAATAGAAAAGAAAAACCGAATCTGGAACAAGGTGATATCAGCTTGTTGGCCATTTGTGTGTGAATTGAGAGATGCAGACCTTTGCAAGTTTCTGCCCTTTGCATAAAATATCAAGACAAGACCATAGACCCTTCAAACACCATTGCCATTCGAGCCAGGAAAGGAGGTGACAATTCCAGAAAGCATGTAATATATGAGTGAGAGTGTTATCCCATGGATTGGGGGCATGTGAGAGATGTACAGCCCAGTTGTGACAGGCGTACTTGAGAGCATCGGAAGATAATCGACTTTTTTGGTGCACATGATGTGCAAAAGTTGTGAAGGTGTTCATAGCATGAATTATCTCCCTGTCTAGCAGAAAAAGACTTTCTGGTAATGCAGGGGTGGAATGATAGTGGTGTCTTAATGCCAGGAACACCGGAAACATCAAGAAATCTGGGAAGGTCTTGAGCTGCTGGATTACTTGGAAAGCTGGCAGTAAAGGCACATCGCTGATAATGATATACTTGTTCATTGCTTCTGATGTCCTCATGAATTCTTCCATTGTCACCCGGATGGAGGCTGCAGGAGTGGACTACCACACTTGACCCTGAGGAGTCTGCAGCCAATTGTGCCCACACAGGGTCTTCAGCCAGTCACATCCTGAGTGGGTCTACAACCAGTCTTCCCCTCCACAAGACTTCAGCCAGTCTCATCCTGCCTCAGTCTGCAGCCAGTCTTGTCCTTCCTGGGTGTGCAGCCAGTCCCACCCTCCCTCCATCTGCAGCCATTCTCATCCTCCCTGGGTCCACAGCCAGTTTTCCCCTCCCTCCATCTGCAGCCAGTTTTCCCCTCCCTCTATCTGCAGCCAGTCTTGTCCTCCCTCCATCTGCAGCCAGTGTTCTCCTCCCTCCATCTGTAGTCAGTCTTGTCCTCCCCAGGTCCTTACCCAGTCTCATGCTTCCTGGGTCAGCAGCCAGTCTTCCCCTCCATCTGTTTGCAGCCAGTCTTATCCTCCCTTGGTCTGTGGCCAGTCTTCCCCTCCCTCTGTCTGCAGCCAGTCTTGTCCTGCCTGAGTCCACACCCAGTGGTCTCCTCCCTCCCTTCACAGCTAGTCTCATCCTCCTTGGGTCTGCAGCCAGTCTTGACCTCTCTCCATCCACAGCCAGTCTTCCCCACCATCTGTCCATAGCCAGTTTCATCCTCCCTATGTCTGCAGCCAGTCTTGTTTTCCCTAGGTCCACAGCCAGTCTCGACCTTCCCAGGTCTACAGCCACTCTCATCCTTCATGTATCTGTAGTCACTCTTGTCCTCCATGTGTCTGCAGCCATTCTCATCCTTCCTGGGTCCGTACCCAGTCTTGTCCTCCCTATGTCTGCAGTCAGTCTTGTCCTTCCTTGGTCTGCAGCCAGTCTCATCCTTCCAGGGTCTGCGCCCACTCTCATCCTCCCTCCATCTGTAGCCAGTGTTCCCCACCCTGAGTTTGCAACCACTTTTGTCCTTCCTTGGTCTACAGCCAGTCATTCCCTTCATGAGTCTTCAGCTAGTCTCGCCCACCCTGAGTCTGCAACCACTTTTGTCCTTCCTTGGTCTGCAGCCAGTCATTCCCTTCATAGGTCTACAGCCAGTCTCATCCACCCTGGGTCTGCAGCCAGCCTTGTCCTTTCCAGGTCCACAGCCAGACTTGTCCTTCCTGGGTCTGCACCCACTCTTGTCCTCCCTGGGTCTGCAGCCACTCTCTTCCTTCCCAGGTCCACAGCCAGTCTTGTCCTTCCTGGGTCTGCAGCTAGTCTTCCCCTCCCATGATCAGCAACCAGCCTTTCCCTCCTAATCTGCAGCAGTTCTTGTGCTTCCTGTGACTGCAGCCACTTTCATCCTTCCTGGGTCTTCAACTACTCTCATCCTCCCTGGATCTGCAGTCAGTCTTGTCCTCCCTCTGTCTGCAGCCAGTTTTCCCCTCCCTCCATCTGCAGCCAGTCTTGTACTCCTCTAGTCCACAGCTAGTCTTGTCCATCCTGGGTCTGTAGCCAGTCTTGTCCATCCTGAGTCCATAGCCACTCTCAATCCTTCCTGGGTCTGCAGCCAGGCTCATTCATCCTGGGTCCATAGCCACTCTCATCCTTCCTGGGTCTGCAGCCACTCTTGTTGTCTTGGGTCTGGTTCTTTCAGGGCTACCAGCCAGCCTCATCATCTCTGTATCCGCACCCAGCCTTATCCTTCCTGGGTCTGCAGCCAGTCTTGTCCTGCCTGTATTTGCAGCCAGTCTCATCCTTCCTGTGTCTGTAGCCAGTCTTGTCCTCCCTAGGTTTGCAGCCAGACACACCTGTCCACCATCCCTAGCCAAGATTCCAAATCTGAAGGGTGATCTCCTTGAAGCCACAGCAGACAGATGACAGCTGACAGTGGCTCTGGTGGCTGAATAAGGAATGCTAATGAGTCTTTCAACCTAAGTGAGTCCTTGTGTTGCATAGCTTTGCTTTGCTTCTTCAGTTCTGAGAGCACATTGGAGAGAGCCATGCTTTCTGGAATCTCTTTCATCATCAGGCAAAGAGAGGAATTAGCCAGTAGGGAGTGGGGTGATGGCATATCATGTTTGCATACTTGAGGGAGGTGTCATATCCACATATCTGGATCTCAGATCTGACCCTTATCTCATCTCAGATCCACATCTTATCTCCGATCCTATCTGCATCTTATCTCCCTCCAACATCTCGTCATTTAACCTGTCCACTCGTCTGGTCTGGTCCACAACTCATCCAAATCCACAACCAGTGCTTGTCTCCTTTCAGTAACCCCCTAACTCCAGTATTTTGGTTATCTGTATATCTGTCCTGCTCCCTTATCCGCTACCTATGTTTCATTTCCGTTTCATGATTTGTGATCCATTTCTACTTACCAATAGACTATCCACATGCTTCATACATAGCCTCGGACTCTGCTGATTGATCATTCTGTTAGATACCTATAGTATATAACCTCCTGTAACTTTCTGTAGTACCTCAGTTCGAATATCATCTTAGTTCTACTCATTCCTGTCCTCTGGACTTGAGTACCTCTACTCTCGTCACCCTCCAAGACTTAGGATTGATTCCTATAGTCTATCTGTATCCGCCTCTGTCTCCAACAGTCCATTACCATTAGTTTCTAGTCTGGACTCATCTGGATTAGCCTTACAATACTTATCCCTCATCCAGAAGTCACCCAGATCCATTACGCTACTCATCCGACCTTCCGGATGCGCTAGTCTTGCCTTCCTGAAATAAGGGGCAATACTTGGGTAAGGGGCACAGTGCACGAGCTGAGGCCGAAGCCCTTCAGATCCAGTTATCCTTTGAGTATGACCTTAACAGGAGGCTGCAGTTCAACTGTTCAGAAACATAGTCATGAATGGACAAGTGATAGATATTCACAGGGAGAGTGCTGTCTGTAGGGATATCCATGACAGGCCACAGCTGTATCAATGTTGTCTGCACATCCCTTCCCAAACCAGGGCCAAGAAGTGTTGAGATTTGCAAAATGGGAAGAGGGTCTGCGAGGGCAGCAACAATGGACAAGTGCATGTAAGCCCACTTGGGGTCGGCACACATGGACAGGATACAATTGTATAACTTGTACACCTCCATTCCTGGTAGTAGCAAGGTCGTTAGCTTGAGCATCAGCTGTAACCGATCATGGGGATCACTGTCTTCATTGTTGATAATGAACTTCATCATCATAGATGCCATGATGAAACATCTGCCTGCTTGGCTCGCCAGTTTCACAAGGTCATCCTTAGATGGCTGCAGGAAATCTGGATGGCGACTTTCTAGCTCTCCAAAGGAATGCTGCAAGAAAGTACAAATATCATTGTCAACATCTGCGCCATCTAATGAGATGATGCCACCCTCCCCAGAAGTTTTCACGGGTATCTCCCGCACCAATGGGCAGACCTCTTTGTTCTGAAAGACTTTAGAGATATGGGATTCCAAGTGACTTGTGAGCAGAATGTGGGTCACAGGAAGGTCAGGATCATGAAGAGCCTGTGCAAGGGAAAGGATGAGATCAGTAAGCTTGGGTTCAGATGTGCATTCATCAAGTGCATTGATAACAAATGACAAAGGTGGACATCCATGTAATCTCAGTCAAAGTTTCCAGAGGGGTTGGAGAAAGGGAGCCTCCATCTGGTCACAGAGAGGTGTGTCTGGGTCTAGTAGAGCAGGATTGTTGCAGATTGTTCTATTCACATCCTGCCTGATGCTTGGAAAATTGGTGGCAAGCTGGTAGACAAGCATTGCAAAGAAAAATCCAGCTGTGCAATGTTTGGCATGCTTGCGCAAGGAAAAGAATGTTCCCACTAGCCATTTTTCAACATTCATCTCCTCTGTTACTTTTAGACCTTTCATCCTCTCAGCTATGGTGAATGCGACAGCAGACTTTCTGACACCTGCCATGCCATGCAGCCAGATAAATTGATTATTCTTTGGGTCATCCAGGAATCCGTGGATGTATTTGAGAAGATCCACCTGGGTCCCTTGCAAACACTTCAGGTGGGGCTGATGTTCAGGGGAGTTATATTGAGCACCCTTGACAGCGACCTTGGACACCTTTGCCCAAGTTCCTTGAAGAACTGTCAAAGAGGTCAGAGAGCATGTGACAAATAAGAGATGGAAGTACTGATATTGATCATCACTCATTGATGAAAGTTGTGATATGTGGCAAGATGCAATGAACTCACTGAAAGTACTAGCTGGGTTCAAGGGTGTGGTTAGAAATAATCTGGGTGACAGTGATCTGGAGGGACAATGTATGAAGATTTGAATCAAAGCTTGTAAGTTGTGATAAGGTCACAGAATGATCCAGCTGTCAATTGATGGAGAGTGTGAAGTGTGATGCTGAAGATGAGATGGACAGATGTGTATTTCAATCTATTCTATGGTAAGTTCACTGGATGGTTGTGGAATGCAATTGAAGGACAAGAAGGTGTTCACCATCCAGTGCTTGCAGGAGGCTGCTGCTGTGCACACTGCTGTGACCAAACTACCATACAGGTAACTGTCAGTATTATGTTGGCTTACTTCTAATTTTTGTGGCTTGGATAATCACGACTGTATGCATAGGAGGTCCTCACATTCAAGTTGTGTCTTGCAGTCTGGATTGCTATAGCCTGTAGGGGTCTCTTTCATGGTGTTGATAAAATCTCATGTGGTTTACTTTGTGAGGTGAGCTCATAATGTGAATGGATTCTGCTTTTCTGACTGAAGTTCTTGCAACCTTGACGACAATGACATTACTAGTACTGTCTTGTTATGAGACGAGTGAGAGGGGCAAGGAGTCTATACAACAAGTACAATCTCAGTATCTTGAAAGAACTCTGTTAATGTCTTGTCTACCTATACAACAAGTACACTATGTTATCATTAGACTTTGTAGCATGTGGGTGACAATATTTAAGGCTTACATCTCAGTATCTTGAATGAACTGAGATGTTAGGGCGTCTCTACTGACGCTTTTAAGGTGAGTACTGTTATGACTCAGATATAAGAATGAAACATAGAAAATAATGTAGGGTGTGAGCTGACATCAATATGTCGCTCACCTTTGTCCATTTTGGCTTGTGCTCGTACCTCTCACTCACATCCCTTCTCTATCTTGGATCCTTCAATCTGGGTCCTCTCAGATCTCTCAGAGTCCAACATACTGTTGCTTGCTTGAATTCAAGGTGCTTTGACATCATTAAGCTTAAGCTAGTGTCATGCAATGTTGTTTGACCCCTCAGGCTGTTTCATTTCACAGCATTGTTGGACCACAAACTTTGATGACACCATTTAAATAATAATGACTTCCTGAGCCATGTATAGAATCTTATAGTAGTTCAGACTGCCTGACAGAAGCTGGGCAGACTCATGGCATTGCACCCAGAACACCTTGCGATGTTAACCTATTCTGGATTATCATGCTGCATTGTCACTTCCTCAAAGTCCAACTTATCAACACATCTGAAAGCCACTGCATCCCCCACATTCCATACAAACCATTCATTTTGCAAAACTATAAGAGCACTGTAGATTGATACACAATGTAACAAATGCAAATGTGAAGACTTCTCTATCATGGAACAAGTGAACAGTCATTTAGAATGTGACACTCAAGAAGCTGTGAAGAATTCTTGATATATGGACACAGGCATTGGAGTATCCTTCACTGGGTTGCACATTGATGGATTAAAACTGAGGATGAGATTTATGAGGGGTTTCATAAAATAGGAATGAAAAACCAAGCCTGGAACAAGGCAATATCAGCTTGATTAGGTCATTTGTGTGTGAATTGAGAAATGCAGACCTTTGCAAGCTTCTGCCCTTTGCATAAAATATCAAGACAAGACTATAGACCTTTCAAACACCATTGTTGTTCAAGCCAGGAAAGGAGGTGACGATTCCAGAAAGCATGGAATTTGTAGTTGAGCATGTCATCTTGTGAATTTGGAGCATATGAGAGATGGATAGTCCTAGTTTTGACAGGCATACTTGAGTGCATCAGAAGATGATCGACTTTTTTGCTGTGCTTTGTGTGCGAAAGTCATGAAGGTGTTCATAGCATGGATAATCTCCCTGTTTGGGGGACGATATGTTGACAATGCAGAGTTGGAATGATGCTGATGGCTTAACGCCAGGAATGCTGGTAACATTAGGAAATCTGGCAAGGTTTTGAACTGCTGGATAACTTGGAAAGGTAGTGAGAAAGGCAATTCTGGGATGATATTATACCTGCTAATGGCTTCCAATGTACTTAAGAATTCTTCCATAGCAACCCAGAAAGACACCGTGGGAGTGAATTGCCATGCTTGGCCATGGGATGTCAGCAGCCAGTCTTGTCCTCCCTGGGTCTGCAACCCTTCTTGGATCTGCAGCCAGTCTTGTCCTTGCTAGGTCTGCAACCAGTCATGTGCTGCCTGGGTTTGCAGCCAGTCTCATCCTACCTGAGTTGCCATCTTGCTGCTGTCTGCAGCCAGTCTTGTCCTTCCTGGGTCTGCACCTAGTCTTGTCCTCCCTGGGTCTGCAGTCAGTCTTGTCCTACCTGGATCTGAAGCCAGTCTCATCCTGCCCAAGTCCCTAGCTACTCTCATCCTCCTTGGGTCTGCAACCAGCCCAACCCTCCCTGGGTCTGTAGCCGGTCTCATACTGCCCAGGTCTTCAGCCAGTCTCACGCTCCCTGGGTCTGCAGCCAGTCTTGCACTGTATGAGTCTGCAGCCATTCCTGTGGTCCCTTGGTCTGCAGCCAGTGTCGTGGTACCTTGGCCTGCAACCAATTTAGCCCTCCTGAGGTCTGCAGCCAGTCTTGGCCTCCCTGGGTCTGCAGCCAATCTTGGCCTCCCAGTGTCTGCAGCCAGTCTCATGCAGTCTGGGTATATAACCAGTCTCATGCTTCCTGGATCAGCCACAAGTTTTTTGCTCCTTGGATAATTAGCCAGTCTCGTCCTGCCTGGATCTGCAGCTAGATTCATCCTCCCTCAGTCTGCAGCCAGCTTTGCCCACTCTCGCTCTTAAGCCAGTTTTGTCCTTCTTCAGTCTGCAACCAGTCTTGTCCTGCCTGAGTCTGCAGCCAGATTTGTCCTCCCTCAGTCTGCAGCCTACCTTTTCCCACTCTTACACTTAAGCCACCTTTGCCCTCCCTCAGTCTGCAGCCAGCTTGGCTCACTCTTGCTCTTAAGCCACTTTTGCCCTCCATCAGTCTGCAATCAGTCTTGTCCTGCCTGGGTCTGCAGCCAATCTCATCCTCCCAGCAGCAGCTAGTCTTGTCCTCCTTGGGTCCCCAGCTATTCTTTTCCTCCCTAGTTATGCAGCCAGCCTTGTGGCCCTGAGGTCTGTAGCTAGTCTAGCCCTCCCAATGTCTGCAGCCAACCTCATCCTTCCTGGGCCTGTAGCCATTTTCATCCTTTCTAGTCCTTTAGCCATTTTCGTCCTCCCTTGGTCTCCAGCTAGCCTTGTCCTTCCTAGGTCTCTAGCTATTCTCATCCCCACTTCCCCACTTCTCCACCCAGTCTTGCTCTCTCTAGCTCTCCATCCAGTCTTGTCCTCCCTGGGTCTGCAGCCAGTCTCATCCTCCCTGGGTCCTCAGCCAGTCTTATCCTCTCCAGGTACTTAGCCAGCCTTATCCTGCCCAGGCCCTCAGCCAACCTTGTTCTCCCTTGGTCTGTAGCCAGTCTCGTCCTCCCTAGATCTGCACCCAGGCCTTTGTGTCAGGGTCCCAGATCCAGGCCAGCCTTCCCTTGGTCAGCAGCCTGATTTTCCCTACATTGGTCCACAGTAAGTCATGCCCTTCTTGGGTGTGTGGCCACTCTGGCCTGCACTGGGCCCACAGCTAGAAACCTGGCACTTCCTTGGTCTCCAATGAGTCTGATGAGTCTGAAGTACTTGACACAGATTCTAATTCTGGTATCAAGGTTTCCTGCCAGGCCAATCCAGCCTTGGTTTGCAGCCAGTTTTGTCCTACCCAGGTCTCCTGCCACTCTGCTCCTTCTTGGGTGTCCAGCCAGTTATACCCTGCATCTGTCTGCAGCCATGCACTCCATCCACAGTCCCTAGCCAAGATTGTACATCTGACCTGCAATCATCCCAAAGCCATAACATGCTGATAAGAACAGACGCTGGCTCTGGTGCCCAAACAAGAAACCCTAATGTGTCTTTTAATTTTTTGGGGTCCTCAGGTTGCATGGCTTGGCTCTGCTTCTCCAATTCTGAGAGCACATCCAATAGAGTGGTGCTTTCTGGAATTTCTTCTATCATCAAGTGTAGAGAGGAATCAGCAAGTAAGGAATGGGCTAATGGCATATCCTGCACTCCAGGAAGGCTACAGTTTGAGGGGTCAGAAACATAGTCACAAACAGATGAGTGATAGATGTTCATAGGGGAGATTGGCATCAGTAGGAATATCCATGACAGACTGTAGCTGCACTGGTGTTGTCTCAGTATCACAGCCCTGACCAGGGCCAAGAAGTTTCAAGATCTGTGAAAGCGGCAGAAGATCTACAAGCGCAGCAACAATGGACAAGTGAAGGTATGCCTACTTGGGATCAGCACATGTGGAGAGGATACAATTGTATAACTTATACACCTCTGTTCCTGCTAGTAGCTCACTTGTCAGTTTGAGTATCAGCTGTAACTGATCATGGGGATCCTTGTATCCATCATCGACAATAAACTTTATCATCATAGATGCTACAATGAAATGTCTCCCAGCTCAGCTTGCCAGCTTCACAAGGTCAACCTCCGATGGCTGCAGGAAATTGGGATGACGATCTTCCAGTTCTCTGAAGGAATGCTGCAAGAAAGTACAGATGTCACTGTTAACATCTGCGCCATCTAAAGAGATGATGCCACCCTCCCCAGAAGTTCTCACTGGTATCTCACACACCAACAGGTGCACCTCTTCATTCTGCATGACTTTTCTAATATGGGATTCCAAGTGACTGGTGAGTAGAATGTGGGTCACAGGCAGATCAGGGTCACGGAGTGCCTGTGCAAGGGAAAGGATGAGATCAGTAAGCTTGGGTGCAGATGTGTATTCATCAAGGGCATTGACCACAAATGACAAAGGCAGACATCTGTGCAATCTGAGTCAAAGTTTCTGGAGGGGTAGGAGAAAGAGAGCTTCCATCTGGTTGTAGAGAGGCACATCTGAATCTAGCAGAGTGGGATTGTCTCAGATAATTCTGCACACATCCTGCATGATGCTTGGAAAATTGGTGACAAGTTGATAGATAAGTGTCACAAAGAAATATTCAGCTGTGTGACGTTTCATGTGCTTGTGCAAGAAAAAAAAGTTCCTCCTAGTCGCTTTTCAACATTTGTCTCCTCTGTCACTTTTAGACTTTTCATCCTCTCAGCTATGGTGAATGCAATGGCAGACTTTCCTGACTGCCAGCTGTGCCATGTAGCCAAATGAGTTGATTCTTCTGTGTATCATCCAGAAATCTGTGAATTTGTTTGAGAAGATCCACCCAAGTCCCTTGCAAACATTTCAGGTGGGGCAGACGCTCACAGGAGTTATATTGAGCACCCTTGACAGCAATGTTGGACAGCTTTGCCCAAATTCCTTCAAGAACTGTCAAAGAGGTCAGAAAGTATAGGAGATAAGAGATGGAAGTACTGACATTGATTGTCACCCATTGATGAAGGTTGTGATGAGTGAGATGCAATGAACCAACTGGAAGTACTAGCTGGCCCAAGGGTGTGGTTAGAAATAGTTGGACAATAGTTATCTGAAGGGATGACTTACGAAGATTTGAATCAAGGCTTGTAAGTTGTGACAAGACTTGGGTTGTGGAACAATCCACATCAGTAATGCTCAAAAACTAGAAATCAAGACAGGTATTTCTGTAGATTACTATAATTGTGATCAATTGCATTACTATTAATAGTGAGATTGGACTCTGCCGAGTATAAGCAGCAGACGAATAGAGTTTACTGAGTACTATTATCTTATACTAACAGCTTTCAATCAAATAGAGATGCATTGTGATACAAAACTGGTAGCTAACTTCAGTTTCAATACAGTAATGAGTGTGGACCCAAATGAGTACAAGTACATTGAGATCCATGTTTGGAAGAGCAATATTAATGCAACAAGCTCATCCTTGATCCTTTGGAAGGATGTTGGTAAGCATCAAGATGCTTGCATGTACCGCTCGACACAGTGCAATGGGTGTGGTGCAACTATCAAGTACAGCAATCTCAGTGTGTGTGTCTATGTCAATCCATTCTGAATCTACTCACCCAAGTGTGGATAGACTCACAACTCGGAGTGTCTTTCCAAGTCTGCAATGTGTAGTTTCTGCTTCGAAGAGTTCTCAAGGTCACAGTCTCAAGTGCATGCTGTTATCTATCTTGACTATGAAATTCTGTGCACACAGGCTAACAATGGCTGTTCCTGGACTGGTCCCCAGCATCAGCTTTCTGACAAACATGTTCTCTCCTGCCAATACAAAGCTATCAAAGGATTCTTCTCCATCAATAACACTCAACTATCATCACTAAACACAGAAAATGCCGCTCTCAGACAAAAAGTCTACACACTCGAATCCGTTGTACAGACAATGCGAAGAGACATCCAAACCTTCAAAAACGTCCTCAGTCCATGGTACCGGTTACACACCCAAACCCCACAAATTGCTTCCCCATCCATCAATGCCTTCGATCAACTCTTCTTGGCATCACCCAGTCCTTCTCCTTCCTCCAGAACCACTATCAATCAAGCTCAACCGTCTTCCCCCACAGATCACAGAGAACTGATGCCCCATAACGATATCAATGCACTCGCACCCTACTTCCCACTCCCACATGAGCACACATTCCAAGAATCCCATACTTATCCCCAATCACATTGATCATTCAGCGGGATTGTAGATCCACACTTGTCTCAACACATGCTGCCATTAATGCCCATTGCACCTCTTAATCTCAGTACCTCCCTCGAGGGCTCACTAAGTAGGTTATGCAACTCTACAGCTGCAGTATCCACATCCATCAATTCTTAGCACATTGAAACAATATAGTACTTAGTCTGAATGAAGAACTTGGCTCTCTCAAATACACTGTTCATGGCATATGACTGCAAGTATGTTATGCTTACAATCTTGTTATCTTGGTTCCTTCTATCTGTATTTCAATCTGCATCATGTGGCATTGTGTCATATCCCATATACCAGACATAGATCCCATCATATTCCCACGCTTTCCGGACCTATTTCCGGACCCTGTATCTAACTCATTCCTGGATCCCCTATCCTGTTCACCCTATGCACATTCCGTCCAGCAAGACATCCGGACTTTACCTCCTCTTGGATTCCGGACTACATCCACCACCTCACATATCTCAGTCCTGTTTCCATCCTGCCTTCCGGATCCCCAGATCTCCGGACCTCTGGATATTAACTGTACTATCTCCAGACCATTCCCACCCTCTGTCCAAGATCCTGTGCCTATCCCCATTTAGGCATCTCTGCCTTTCCAGTTCTTGGTTATCTCTGTTTCCATCTTGCTGATTGATCCTTGTACTAGTTTCATCTCCAAGTTCATTTAGTTATGTTCTGTCTTACTTACCAATGTGTTTCCACATGCTCGTACATAGCCTTACTCCTTTGCTTACTGATCCTCTCAGATAGCCTTTAGTATATAACCCCTGTACAACTACAGTAGAGTCCTCAGTCTGAATATCATCTTAGTTCCTGCTCTCTCACCTTAGACTTGCCCAATCTTCTTCCAGACTTCAGTCCATCTGAGTTTGTCCTTTTCCATAAGGCCTAGGGATGGATCCCCTAGGCTGGAATTCTGGACCTTCGGATTTGTCCCCTATGTCTCTGTCCCAAGTCTAGGGATTGTTTCCCTAGGCTGGAGTCTTGCCTTTCTGGCACTTACCCTCTTTCTGGACTTAGGTCCACTTCCTGTCCCTCTGACTCTACCTTAGGGTAGTCTACCTCCGTTTGCTTCTACATCGGACTTCATCCGACATAGCCCCTATTCCTTCCAGACCTCCAGACCTCCCATCTTCTGTACCTCCAGATGTCCTGTCCCTCGTACCTCTGGGCATCCTGTCCTTCAGACGTTCCACCCTCTGTACCTTCCACCCTCTGTACCTTCAGACATCCATCCCGTACCTCAGACCTCCTGTCCTCCATACTCTGGACCTCCAGACATCCTGTCCTCCTGTCCTCCAGACCTCCTATCCTTCCATCCTGTTTTCCTGTAGAAGTATTATCTTGCAGTGGGAACTCTCCTGAGCATTTCCTGCATCCCTCCAGAACTCTCCCATGCTCCTCCAGACATTTCCTGCACTCCTCTGGAAGTCCTCCCACACTCTCCACCAGAGTAGCCAGCCTCTGGAAGTCCTCCAGACTTTGTTGGACCATCATTGGACTTCCTCTGAAATGAAGGGCACATACTTGGGTAAGGGGCACAGCATACAAGCTGAGGCCAAGCCCCTCTGAGTCAATCTCTCTCCTTTGAGCATGGTTCTTAACACATTGCTCTGATGATTCTTTGGGCACAGCTTCACCATTTGATGATGCACAGGAATGCACAGGTGACAGGGAGAGGTGGAGAACCACCCTTAGCCCTACCTGGCAATCAGATTATCTTTCACCCTCCATTACTGATGATGGCACCTCTGATTCCTGGAATACCTGGTATGAAGCTCTGGCCAAGTCTTGCAGCTCATGGTCCTTCGATCTCTTGCTATCTTACTGTAATTAATTATAATATATCTACAACTTTCGTCCGATAGGTCATGCTTGAACCAAATATCGGTCTTTCTCTAAGATTGGGGCACAGGCTGAAGAATCAAATTCAAGTCTCAGCCAATCTTTGTTCCTACTTCTCAGTAATTGCAATCTCAAAACTAGCCATGATGACCATCAACCCTGCCCCTGTACATGACATGACCCTGATGATCCCCCAAGACATTATGCCAAAATGGCTGCAACTGAATTCACTAGACACAGTATTAAACCAAGTAGATTAATTTAAGTAGAGCCAGAAGTCCACATGATGGGATAAAGATGGTATTGGATGCATGAAAGAAGAAGGGATGGAACTAAGGAAATAGAGGTGAGATGAGACACTGACTGAGACAAAACAGTGAGCATGGCCAGATCACAATGAGCAGGGGGGAGTAGCTCACAAATGAGTGACAGAGTAATGGACAATGGACTGAGCAAGATGAAATGACTGGTTCGAAAAAAAGCCCTTGAGGCCACAACCAAATTAGTTTACAGCAACCATGAATAACAGCAGCAAGCAAAGACAACAGTAAATGTGAATTCCAGATGGACAAACAATGGGGATGCATGAGAGAGATGACAACCCAAGAAGCTCAACGGCTGCCTCAGCTATGTGTACTGAACAGTTCCTCACCATGCCCCACACTATTCACATGAGGCAGCACATGCAAGTTCATACCATCAGCAAATCCAATATTAGCAGATGGAGCAGAGCTCGATGAAAAACTGCTCCCTGCCACAACCCAGGTTGGGGTTATGAGGCTACCATGTTAGGAAACATGCTTTCCTATGGAGATGGCAAATTGTTTCCTGTGTGGGGGTATTGGTTGGATCCTGGGGTGAAATGGTATGCGTTGGACAGGGACATCATGTCTACAAGCATTGGGTATGAGGAATTGTGCTTGATATTGTTCTGGACACAATTGTGTGGACTCCTCAGATGGTGGGTATACTAGGCTTGTGGCTTGCTATGGGAGGCTCCGTAAGTCCTAGATAGGTATTGACGCTGGGTTCAGGTGAGAGCTGTGCAGAAACATGTCAGTGTCTCGTCAGTCAAGGTAAAACAACTAATTACATTACTGTATCTAAATGAAGCTTCACTCATTTGCAGACCCAAAGGGCTAGGGCCCTTGTCATATCCAAGGTGCAAACTTCTACTGGGCAAAACTGTGGAAGCAGAGGAAAGTACCTTGGTTTCTTTGTTGGTAGGCAAATGAAGACACAGCATTGAAGTGAGCCTGGCTGGACCACATGTTCAGACCAACATGCATGTCTTGAGGTTGGATGTGCTGTAACATCAAGGAATGAATATAATGATCAGAAAAGCACTAGAGTACCAAGACCATCTCTTGCCACTTGGATTGAAACAATCGACGCCAACACAGCTGTTAATGTCTGAATAAATCATGCTGGTCATGCTGGTGTTGCTCCCACAGATGTAGCAGTCAAGCCAAAGCAAGATGATCCAGTAAAACTGTATGACTCCTCTGTGTCCTGATCTGCCTTGTTGTGAGGAAACACCTATGCATGCATGTTTCCTGAGGGATTCTGCATCCAGTGAGACATGCAGAGGCGATGCAGATGTCAGAGCACCAAACTGGAAATTAGGCTTTGGCAGGGGTCCAGGAATAGGCAGCAGAAGTGCTCTGGAGCTCATTGTAAGGTGGTTGTCTGTGGCACACATGAGGACAGAAACAGTGGACAAACCTCTGGAACAACAGAGTGCAAGAAGGTGTAAAGGCGTGGGGCTCTGATGCCCTATGAGCCAAAGAAGGGCAGGGTGAGGGCTGTAGGGAGTAGAGGAACTGTGATTTGTTGCATGTATGCTTGGCCCACCAAGGCTAGACAGTGGATGGGCCAAGGCCTGACCTGACCCTGCAGGAGACATGGGCATCTTGAGAAATATTGTGTTATTCTTCTCCTTTGCAATGTGTGTGAACATGTGATTCACAAACCTAAGGGGGCTGACGTCCATAGACTTGTGTCTATCTGGGAAGTGGGTAGACGGCTGGTTGGCAGCTGTATTTGACATGTACATGACAATTAACAGCAACACTCTGTGTGCGTTTGGAGTGACATTATTGTCCTACAAGGTCAAGTCTGCCGGTAGAGGTTGAACATGAGGGGGAATTTTGGTAGGGGTGACTGGGTTATGTAGCACAGGAAAACTTCAAAAGGACTTTTGGTTATGGATGATTGCTCCACTGGGTGTGGTTCTGGTGGAGGTGGTTGACCATCCTCTGCAGAATGCATGGGTTTTTCCATGGGGTGGAAGACTTGAGAGAGTCCTTGGGAGATGTGTCCCTGGAAGACTGAGATTTTTGAGGAGTGAGCAGAAGCAGAACCTTGCTGAGTGGAGTGTTGAACTCTTTTACAAAGCGCTTTGTTGTCCTTTGCATGCCTAAGAGAGAATAGATGAGTTGAATCATAAAAAAAGAGAAGAGAGCATGACATACCTGTTCTGAAACCACACCTTTTGGTGGCACATGAGATTAAAAGTGAGGACACAACAAATTGACATCAGAAATGATAGGGTACATGTGCTTGATGCATCTGCAGGCTGGTTTCATTCACATTGGTAGTCAGATTGGGATAGTGAGGAATGATGCTGCAAAGACGGCAGGTAAAGGCCCATAATGAGTCTTGGTCCTTGGGGATAACAAGAGGTGGTGACGATGGAATAGGTGGAGGAGGCAATGGTGGCAATAGATCCTGAGATTGGGTTGATTGGTCCAGGAGAAATAAGGTGGCACACAAGAATTGACATAGAAAAAATCATTTATTGTTTACCTGCTTGCTGCTAACTTTTTATGGAAGGCAGCATTTCATTTCAGCATGATTCCCAATATGTGCTTACATGACTTGAGAAGAATACAAGCCTGGACAACTTGTGCTGAACTCAACCATGGCTACTCCTCAATTCCTTTGCAATCAACTTGTGATTCTGAACCCTACTGCCTGTTTCAGCCTAATAAAGGCATCAACTCTGCTAGGTCATGGTTACATTGAGGGAACAATATATCATGTCTTTGGCTGTTGAATACATGGATATCTATGATTGCAAATATCACCATCAGGCTCATGGAGATCAGGTTTGATGAAGATTTACTAACAATGTAATGTGATGATGCACTGACGTGGGATATGACGAGTCCTGAAAGTTCACCATTGCAGAACTGGTAGCAGTTTGGGACACAAGAAACAAGAAATTTCATGGTAAGTAATGCCAGAATGGTCACAATATATTATGGCTAACAATATGGGCAAATGACACAAGTGCTGTTAACTTAACTGGATTCCGAATGCCTTCCTAGCTATGTGCACAAGTAGTGCCTGATCAGGTTCATTCAATATGTCAATATTGTCCATGATGCATTGGCCTTTTTGTAACATTTCTGAGTTGTCTAGGAAAGCACCCCTTTAGTGTTTAAAGACGGATATGTGTTTTGCTGTATGCAATCAAACTCATGTAGCCTTCTCCAACCATTATCAACCAGTCATGTAAGGTGGTCCACGCACCACAGGCTGATCCACAAAAATCTGAAGCAATGTTATTGTTCAATTGACCCCACCTCCAAGAACAGTGATGATATAAAATCCTTGCCACAAGCCATTTTTATCTTTTGCCAAACATAAAGGCCACAGTCCACTCGTGGCAAACTGGGTTGATATAAAAGTTCAGTACATGGGAGATGCACCATCACACAATGCTCTTCAACAGGCTCAATCTTGTTCATCACATTGCATCACCCCATCTACATTAGTACTAATCTGTGACACCATGCCCTCCCCATTGGCTGTTTCCTGTGAGCTCTTACTCTGTATGCTCATCATGTTCTGTTCTTCTCCTACAAGACATTTGCTCACTTGTTTTTAAGTTGGTATTTATATCTGCAACATCAAATTGATTGTGATTCTAAGGCTGGTAATCAATGCACATACTATAGGAGGTAAGTGTTTTCAGTCTAGCTTTAACCCTCATGCACACCAGTTTACTTCAGCCTTCATGGTCCTTGCTGTTGTGTCAAGCATTTTTGCTCTGTTGGTTTTCCTGGTTACATGAGTTCATCACGGCACGCTCTAGATGCGAAAAAGCTAATGGCTTGATAGCCTCTGTTGCAAGAGGCAAGCAGAGGTTAGTAACACTAGGTATCTTGTTACCTTTGGCACTTTAGTGCCTTTTAGATCTCCGTATGTCATCTGACTATGCTGCTCCTACCTGCTGTTCTGACATATTATCAGCATCTTGTATCACTTTGCCATTCTGTGTGCACCTGTTAAGGTTGTGTGCTCAAGGGGGTCGGATCACAAGGGCTTGGCCTCAGCTCGTATGCTGTGCCCCTTTCCCAAGTATGTGCCCTTAATTTCTGGGGGCTAGAACAGTCGTCTGGAGTTTCCAGGATTTGACTAGGGTGGATAACGGATGTCTGGATCTGAAATGTGAGATAAATCCGACAGACATCTGGATATTACCTGGGCAAGCAGATAAGACTAATCCGGACGAAGTCCAGACTAGAAACTAACAGGGGATGGACTACCCTTAAGGTAGAGTTAGAAATGTAGTCTAGGATGCAATCCTAAGACTCGGAATATGACAAGAGACTTATCTTGAGTCCAGAGGACACAGGAATGAGCAGGAACTAAGATGATATTCAAACTGGAGTATTTCCAAGAGTTACAGGAGGTTTATATACTGTAGGTATCATATAGGAATCAGTCAGCAAACATAAAGGCTATGTACAAAGCATATGCAAAGTCTATTAGTAAGTAGGACAGATCACAAATAATGAACACCAGAAATGAAATGTATGTAACGGATCAATAATCAAAAGGGAAACATGGTTAACCAGGAGTCCAGAGACAGGGGCAGTCTAAATGGAGTTGGGCGCTGATATAGGGTTTGGATTCTGGAAGAGAGATAAAGATAGATCAGATCATTTGAGATCCAGATTTCAGATCTGGGTATCCGGAGAAGCAGATTTAGAGTTGAGAGTCCGGAATGGCATATGACAGCACCAGAATAATGCGACAGCCCTTTGTCACAACTTGTCTCAATCTGGTGAATGCACAATGGCTAATGTCCTCATCAGTTTCATAATCACATACATCGATAGACACTCCGGTATTCCCAAAGTCTCACCTCAGTATCCAAATGCTCAAGTGGCAAGTTCACATTTCACCTTCCAATACCCACAAGATATGGAGTTGGAGAATGTGCCCACTGAGCTTCCAACCAGAAAGGTGAAACAGGCACACACAGAGGAGAGGTCAACTGAGATCTCTGTGTAGATGGGCATGGTTGGTTTTGTGGCTGTCCTGGGGGCAACTTTATTTGCTTATGTATCACAAATATGTATGTCGCACTGGCTAATAAAAATACAACATATGCACAGATGGTCTGTTGTTCCAGATGACACTGCAGTGGGTATCATGAGGACTCAATCAGATTCAGTCCTTCCTCAAACACACTCCAGTGACCTGATGGTAAGCATTCAGTAGCAATAACAGATGAATATGGAATTGGTCTATACCAAGCTATACCCAGAATCACAAGCAATTCTGCAGAATGACTGCAACTTCACGATGCCACCAAGTTCATCTAATTCATATGCCACTACCCTGGACAACATGCAGCAGCGCCTCCACCTGTATGATGGCAGGACACAGTGGAGGTACATTGCCACCATATCTTTGATGTGCTTGGTTCTGAGTTCTGAATGTGAATGAAAGAAAGGAGTCTATTTGTGCTGCTCAATTGCACAAGAGATGTGAAGTAGACGAAGCAGGGTGTCTGAGTTCAATCCAAATGGATTTTTGAATAGTATTGTCTGCTTCAAATGGAGAGATATACAGCTGATGCATGCACTGCATTAATCTACCTCATATTTCCATAGTTGCCCAGGACATGAGGCTGCCTGTCTCCTCCACACATCCATCACCATCACAGCAAGAATTCTCCCTATTGTCAGACCTACCTTCAACTATATATCCTCCCAGTGCCTTATATAGCTTACTGCAATATCACTTCCTCATCCTGTAGACACCCAAGATTTGCATGTGCACCAGATGCAACCAAGTCATTGTACAAGCTCGGAATCTCCTCACCATTGCCACCCAAATTGAAAATAACCAACCACAATAACATCACCCCAATCCCACAAGCAATGCAAGGTTCATCTTAGCATCCTCCACGCCAATACACCATCCTAATCACGGAGATCCTGATAGGACAGATGACTCATGCATCAAACAACACTTTCAAATATCCTTGTTTTGCTCCCCTGCTGGAGCTTACTGCAGAATTAGAAATGTAAGAGACACAAGACAAAGTATCGCACCTGGACATGCCAAGGGTGAGACCACAACAAAGGCTCCATCCTTCCTATGCACCAATGCCATGTATGGAAGTTCAACGAAATATCTTCCAAGGATGTGTCTGCATGACTGTGAACGCACCTATATATGCTTGATGCATCTGCGAGCTGGTTTCATTCACATTGGGAGTCAGATTGGGATGATGAGGAAGAATGGGGCTGGAAAGATGGTGGGTAAAGCTTTAAAGCCTCATAATGAGTCTGTGTCCTCAGGGATAATGAGGTCATGACAGTGGAATAGGTAGAGGAGAAGAGGGTGATAATCAATCCTGTGATTGCACAACTGGGAAGTGAGAGGTCTCAACTTATTGCAGGGTGATTGGGGTGAATGGACGTCTTGAGTGAGATTCAGGAGAGATAAGAAGCAGCTTGTCAGGGAAAGGCGATCAATGATCAAAGGGATGTGAAGTGCACAGTGGCATGTCATAATAAGTCTCTGGGACAACTGCATCGAGGGCCCTGGGGGAGAAGAAAATAACGAACATGAGTCTGCTATGCATGGCATGGAAAGGGATGGACTCGAAACTAGTCCTTCATGCCATTGAGGTAGAGTAAGCCTTGGGTACAGCTGGGCTCTAAAAAAGTCAAGAGCTTGAGAAGGATAAGTACAAAGGCAAATGTCTTACCGCTGAGGTCACAATTTTTTGCTAGTACTTAAATTATGTGCCGCACGCAGTACAAAATTACAAATAGATTCCTAGCTTACCAAAGGGGACACAAATTAGCCCTGTCTGTCCTCTTCACTAAGGAGGAAATAAAGGAAGTATAACTATAGGTGGCAGCAGTGTGATAGCCTAAACCTGGCCCTGTAAGAATAGGGTCTTGGAATTGTGGCAGGCTGTCTCCTCATCAAACCATGACCTCTATGATAGCGCGAACAAGCTTTTAAATGTGCCACTGCTCAAGAGATGTTAGTATCAACAGTAGGTCTAACATTCATGGGTACTTGAGTCAACATTTTACATACATAACAAGGAGTAAAGTATATCACACTGTCAATCAATACTATGTTACTTGCTGGTGCTGATGTCAACCTCACCTGCCTGTGGCTGTAAGTACTAAGCACTGTTGATAGGATAAAGGTGACAGATTCAACTGCTAGCACTGGGATGTGTGTCAGTGGTGCAAGAGTCTAAACTGAGAATAAGAGAGAATTCCAAGGCATGTCATGGGCTAAACATTACTGAACATAAGGCAACATCAGTTGTGGCAATTTTGACAGGGCAATGATTGAAACACAAACCTTCACAAATTTCTGCCCTTCAGATAAGACAACAAGGCAAGATTGCAGACCCTTCAAACACCACTCCATTTCCAGCCAGGAGATGATATGATCATTCCAAAAAGCATGGAATAAATGATTGAGTGTGACATCCCATGGATTGGGGGTATGTGAAAGATGTACAAGCCCAGTTGTGACAGGCATACTTCAGAGCATTGGAAGCTGATTGACTGCATTCCTGTGCTTCACTTGTGAAACTCTCAAAGGCATTCATAGCATGAATTATTACCCTGTCTAGTAGAAGAAGACTTTCTGGTAATGCAGAAGTGGAATGATGCTGGTGTCTTAGTGCCAGGAACACCGGAAGCATCAAGAAATCTGGCAAGGTCTTGAACTGCTGGATGACTTGGAAAGCTGGTGGTAAAGGCACATTGCTGATAATGATAATCTCGTTGATTGCTTCCAATGTCCTTGAGAATTCTTCCATTGTCACCCAGACAGAGGCCACAGGAGTGGACTGCCATGCTTGACCATAGAGGGTCTGCAGCCAGTCTCATCCTGTTGGGGTCTGCAACCAGTCTTGTCCTGCCTGGGTCTGCAGCCAGTCTTGTCCTGCCTGGGTCTGCAGCCAGTCTTGTCCTGCCTGGGTCTGCAGCCAGTCTTGTCCTGCCTGGGTCTGCAGCCAGTCTCACCCTCCCTGGTTCTGCAGCCAGTCTCATCCTCCCTGGGTCTGCAGCCAGTCTCGTCCTGTCTTGGTCTGCAGCCAGTCTCATCCTCCCTGGGCCTGCAGCCAGGCACACCCGTCCATGATCCCCAGCCAAGATTGTAGATCTGAAGTGCGATCTCCTTGAAGCCACAGCATACATATGACAGCTGACAGTGGCTCTGGTGGCCGAACAAGGAACACTAATGAGTCTCTTAACTTATGGGGATCCTCAGGTTGCATAGCTTTGCTCTGCTTCTTCAGTTCTGAAAGTGCATCCAATAAAGCTGCACTTGCTGGAATTGCCATCATCAAGCAGAAAGAGGAACGTGTGAGTAGGGAATGGGGTGATGTGATATCGTGTACTTAAGGGAGGCCACAGTTTGAGGGGTCAGAAACATAATTGCAAATGGATGAGTGATAGATATTCACAGGAAGAGTGCTGTCTGTAGGGATGTCCATGACAGACCATAGGTGTATCAGTGTTGTCTGCACATCCCTTCCCAAACCAGAGCCAAGAAGTGTTGAGATTTGCAAGATGGGAAGAGGGTCTGCAAGGGCAGCGACAATGGACAGGTGCAGATATGCCTGCTTGGGATTGGCACACATAGAGAGGATGCAATCATATAACTTATACACCTCCATTCCTGGTAGCAATGAGCTCATGAGCTTGAGCATCAGCTGTAACTGACCATGGGGATCACTGTCTTTGTCATGATAATGAACTTCATCATTGTAGACACTATGATGAAACATCTGCCCATGCAGCTCACCAGCTTCCCAAGGTCAACCTCCAATGGCTGCAGGAAATTGGGATGGTGGTACTCCAGCTCCTTGAAGGAATACCACAAGAAAGTACAGATGTCACTGTCAACAGTCTGTGCCTGTCCAATGAAATGATGCCACCCTCTCCAGAAGTCCTCATGGGTATCTCGCGCACCAATGGGTGCACCTCGTCATTCTGAAAGACTTTGCTAATATGGGATTCCAAGCGACTTGTGAGCAGAATGTGGGTCACAGGTAGATCAGGCTCACAAAGAGCCTGCACAAGGGAAAGGATGAGATCAGTAAGCTCATGTTCCTGATGTGCATTCATCAAGGGCATCGACAACAAACAACAAAGGTGGGCACCTGTGCAATCTGATTTGAAGCCACCAGAGAGGTTTGAGAAAAAAAGCTCCCATCTGGTCACAGAGAGGTGTGCTGGGATCTAGTAGAGCAGGATCATCACAGATAACTCTGTTCACATCCTTCTGGATGCTTGGAAAATTGGTAGCAAGCTGGTAGACAAGCATTGCAAAAAAATATCCAGCTGTGTGACATTCTATTTTTTTGCACAAGAAAAAGAAGGTCCCTGCTAGCCGCTTTTCAACATTCATCTCTTCTATTACTTTTAATCCTCTCATCCTCTCAGCTACTGTGAACACAACAGCAGACTTTCCGATGCCAGCCATGCCATGCAGCCAAATAAGTTGATTCTTCTCTGGGTCGTCCAGGAATCCATTGATGTGTTTGAGGAGATCCACCTGGGTCCCTTGCAAACATTCTGGGTGGGGATAACATTCAGGAGAGTTATATTGAGCACCCTTGACAGTGACCTCAGACAGCTTCACCCAAGTTCCTTGAAGGATTGTCAAAGAAGTCAGAGAGCATGCAAGAGATATGAGATGGAAGTACTAACATTGATTGTCACTCATTGACAAAGGTTGTGATATGCAAGATGCAATGAACTGATGGGATGGATGGACAGATGTTTCAATCTATTCTGCTATGGAAAGCTTGCTGGATGGTTGTGGAATGCAGTTGAAGGACAAGTAGGTGCTCTTCATCCAGTGCTTGCAGGAAGGCACAAGGCTGTAGTACGACCATACTACTGCACAGCCAGGCAGAACCATGTTGGTAGTGCTTAAGGTGAACTAGAGATCGAGATGGATGTGCACCATTATATGATCCCCTAAATTTCTATAGATTATAATTGTGAGACTCTGCACTACGGAACATAGTGGTACAGTTTCAATAAGTGCTGTATGGTAAAGTATCAATTGAATATTTGTGACTGAGAATCTTAATCTGATAGGGTATCGGGTTTTTGGTGATAAGTGACTCCCTTAAAGTCATTACATAATCGATCCGATTTCTCTCATGGACTACGTAGAACAGCCAAACAGCAATCTGGTACGCCAATTTACCTTGTATAAGTTCACTCTAATAATTTCCGTATAGATCTGCTGCATCTGCCAGTGAGCTCGCTACGTCTGATTAAGATTATTGTAATACAGTATCATGTAGTGCCCCATTCACAAATCCTACGACCGCCCGGACATGCTTGCACACATTCTGTCATGACTGTATAATAGTAGCCGTACAACACTCTCCACAATGTCCCATCGACCGCTCCTCGCTTTCACTTGACGATCTATCTCCAGCGAATCCAATCGTGAAACATGTGAGTGAGATACGCAGCACAGTGCAGGAAAAATCACTGACATACAGGCCTCAGCTCGTGGATGAACTCATCATCGAATGCCCCAACCGAGTATCCGGATGCACGCAGACGTTCCAAAGACAATTACTATCTGCTCACGTCAAGGACGCCTGCCAATACGTTGAGATCCCGTGTTCGGAAGAGCAATGTGACAAGTTCATCCTTCGGAAAGATGTTGGTAAGCATCAAGATGCTTGCGTGTACCGCTCGACGCAGTGCGACGGGTGTGGTGCGACTATCAAGTACAGCGATCTCAGTGTGCGTGTCTATGACAATTCATTCTGGATCTACTCACCCAAGTGTGGATAGACTCACAACTCGGAGTGTTCCTCCAAGTCTGCAACGTGTAGTTTCTGCTTCGAAGAGTTCCCGAGGTCACAGTCACAAGCGCATGCTGCTATCTGTCTCGACTATGAAATTTTGTGCACGCAGGCTAACAATGGCTGTTCCTGGACTGGTTCCCGGCGTCAGCTTTCTGACAAACACGTTCTCTCCTGCCCATACGAAGCTATCAAAGGATTCTTCTCCATCAATAACGCTCAACTATCATCACTAAACACAGAAAATGCCGCTCTCAGACAAAAAGTCTACACACTCGAATCCGTTGTACAGACAATGCGAAGAGACATCCAAACCTTCCGAAACGTCCTCGGTCCATGGTACCGGTTACACACCCAAACCCCACAAATCGCTTCCCCATCCATCAACGCCTTCGATCAACTCTTCTCGGCATCACCCGGTCCTTCTCCTTCCTCCAGAACCACTATCAATCAAACTCAACCGTCTTCCCCCGCAGATCACGGAGAACTGACGCCCCATAACGAAATCGACGCACTCGCACCCTACTTCCCACTCCCACACGAGCACGCATTCCAAGAATCCCATACTTATCCCCGATCACGTCGATCGTTCAGCGGGATCGTAGATCCACACTTGTCTCAACGCACGCTGCCGTTAACGCCCGTTGCGCCTCTTAATCTCAGTACCTCCCTCGAGGGCTCGCTAAGTGGGTTACGCGACTCCATAGCCGCAGTATCCACATCCGTCGATTCCCTAGCGCGTCGAAACGAGATAGCGCTTACGAACGAGAGCATGCGTCTGAATGAAGAACTCGGCTCTCTCAAATACGCCGTTCACGGCATACGTCTGCAAGTACGTTACGCTTGCAATCTTGTTATCTTATTGGTTCCTTCTATCTCTATTTCAATCTGCGTCACGTGGCATTGCTCTGATGATTCTTTGGGCACAGCTTCACCGTTTGATGATGGACAGGAATGCACAGGTGACAGGGAGAGGTGGCGAACTGCCTCTAGGCCTACCCGGCAATCAGACTATTTTCCACCCTCCGATATCGATGATGGCACCTACGTTCCCTGGAACGCCTGGTACAAAGCTCTGACCAAGTCCTGCAGTTTATGGTCGTTTAATCTCTTGTTATCTCACTGTGATGGATTATTATTTTCTATATCTACGAGCTTTGTCCGATAAATCGCTGCTCAAGCCAAATATCGGTCTTTCTCTAAGATTGGGTACAGGCTCAAGTCAAATTCGAGTCTCGACCAGTCTACGCTCCAACTTCTCCGTAATCGCGATCTTAAGACTAGCCACGACGTCCATAACCCCTATACGCGACGCGACCCTGTCGATCCCCCAGGACATTATGCCAAAACGGCTGCAACTGAATTCACCAAGCAGAGCATTAAACTAAGTACATTAATTTAAGTAGAGCCAGAAAATCGCACGAGACAAAAATATGATGAGATAAAGATGATGTTGGATGAGCAAAAAAAAGAGATGGAGATGGAGATAAGGAACTAAAAGGATAGAGGCGAAGCGAGACGTGGACTATGGTGGACGAGACAAAACAGAAAACAGCGAGCATGACCAGATAACGATGCAGCAGGGGGGAGTAGCTAACAAATGAGCGACAGGGTGGTGGACAACGGAACGAAAAGAACGTGCTGGCAGTGCAAGTGCTGAGTGTATCAGTATGAGCATTGAAAAAAAGTCACAGTAAATAAAGCGATGGACATAAAGCAAGACGAAACGACAGGTTCGAAAAAAGCCCATGAGACCACAACCAGATTAGTTTGCAGCGACCACGGAATAACAGCAGCGAGCAAAGACAGTAGTAAATTATGGTACATGCGAATTCCAGACGGACGAACGATGAGAATGACATGAGGACGACAGTCCAGGACTCTCGACGGCCGCCTTAGCTATATGTACTGAACCGTTCCCCACCATGCCCCACGCTATTCGCAGGAGGCACAGCAAAGGTATATTCAGCAGGAGGCGGCACATACGAGTTCATACTACCGCCGATGCCAATATTAGCAGACGGAGCAGAGCTCAACGAATAACTGCTCTCTGCTGGGTACTGCAACCCAGGTTGGGCGTATGAGGTCTCCGTGTGAGGAAACGTGCTGTCCCGGGAGAATGACGGATAGTTTCCTGTGTGAGAGTATTGGTTGGATTCTGGGGCGAAATGGTATGCGTTGGATGGGGACGTCGTGTCTACAGGCGTTGGATATGAGGAGTTGTGCTCGATGTTGTTCTGGACATGATTGTGCGGCACTCCTTCTTGGATAGTGGGTATACTAGGCTTCCGGCTTGCTATGGCGGGCTCCGTGGGACCTAGATAAGTGTTGGCGCTAGTTTCAGGTGGGAGCTGCGCAGAAACACGTGAGCATCCTGTCAGAAACATTCGAGCTAAAACGACTAATCACAGGATTGTATCCAAACGAAGCCTCGCTCGTTCGCAGACCCGAAGGGCCAGGGTCCTTGCCATATCCAGGATGCGGACTTCCGCCGGGCGAAACAGTGGAAGCAGGAGAAGAGTACCCTGGTTCCTGCGATAACAGGTGCTCCCTGTGTTGATACGCAAACGAAGACGCGGCATTTAAGTGAGCCTCGTTGAGCGATCCCTGGCTGGACCGCATGTTCAGACCGGACATGCGCGTCTCGAGGTTGGATGCACTATAACGTAAAAAAAATCAAGGAATGAATATATTGATCATAAATGCGCAGCATACCAAGACCCTCTCCTGCCATTCGGATCGAAATGATCGACGCCCACACAGCTGCTGACGTCTGAATAAATTGCGCTGGTCGCACTGGTGTCGCTCCCACAGATGCTAGCAATCGAGCCGAATCTAGATAATCCAGTGGAACTATACGAGTCCTCCGTGTCTTGATCTGCCTCGTTGCGGGGAAACGCCCATGCATGCATGCTCCCGGGGGATTCGGCGTCCGGTGAGACATGCGGAGACGACGCAGATGTCGGAGCGCCAAACTGGAAATCAGGCTTCGGCAGGGGTCCAGGAATAGGCGACGGGAGCGCTCTAGAGCTCATTGTATAGCGGTTGTCCGAGAGCCGGCGCGGCACGTGCGAGGACGGAAACGGCGGGCGAGTCTCCGGTACAAGGGAGGAGCGAGAAGGCGTAAAGACATGGGGCTCTGACGCTCTATGTGCCAAAGAAGGGCGAGGGTAAGGGCTGTAGGAAGCAGAAGAGCCGTAGCTTGTTGCACGTATACTTGGCCCACTGAGGCCGGACGGTGGACGGGCCATGGACTGACCTGACCCTGCAGGAGATATGGGCGGCCTGAGAAAGATTGCGTCATTCTTCTCCTTTGCAACGCGTGCGAACGGATGATGCATAAGCCTCAGGAGACTGACGTCCATAGACTTGCGTCTATCTGGGAAATGGGTAGACGGCTGGTTGGCATCTGTACTTGGCATGGACATGGTGATAGGCAGCGACCCTCTGCGTGCGTTTAAAAGGTCATTATTGTCCTGCCAAGTCAAGTCTGCTGGTACAGGGCGAACATGAGGGGGAATTTCGGCAGGGGTGGCCGGGTTACTGTGCCAAGCTTGTGCGGGGGGCGCAGGAAGAGAAAAGGAAAACTTCGTAAGAGGACTTTCAACTATGGGTGATCGCTCCACTGGGTGTGGCTCTGGTGAGGGTGGTTGATCGTCTTCTGCAGGGTGCGTGGGTTTTTCCGTGGGGGTGGAAGAATTGGAAGAGTCAATGGGAGAGGTGTCCCTGGAAGACTGAGACTTTTGAGGAGAGTGAGCAGAAGGGGAATCCTGCTGAGTCGAGTCCTGAACTCTTTTACGAAGCGCCTTGTCTTTTGCACGCCTAAGAGATGATAATTGGGTTGAATTACCAAAGAAAATAAGAGAGCGTGACATACCTATTCTGAAACCACACCTTTTGGTGGCACGCGATATTAAGAAATGAGAACGCGACGAATTGACGTCAAAAAGGACAGAACACACCTGGACTGCACGTGGAAGCATATCAAGCTCTGCTGCTAACTTTTTACGGAGGGCTGCATTTGGTTTTGTATCTTTACGAAATATATCTTCTAGGACCTTGAGCTGTGTACGAGAGGTGCGCTTTCTATGCTTGACCTCGTTTGGAATATAAGGAAAGAAAGTTCTGAAGTCGACGGTATTTGGGTCTACACCTGGAGGGAACAATGAAGGGATACAGGTAGTTCCAGAGGTATACCTTGGACTTTGGTCCATTTGGTTTGGAAGGAAGTAACTGTGAGAAGGAGTAGGAAAGAGATCGACGCGATATAACGCGGAAAGAGGATTGGTGTGGGAGGGAGAGAAACGAGAGTGAGGCTTGGCAATAAAGCCAGGGTCCATATTATAGAGTTTACGATCTTCCTTGACACAAACAAACTTTTATCGATTTGAAACGTGAACTTGAATGTCCCATAAAGCTTTTGAACAGTCGTTCTAATGATTTTTAAAATGAATGAACTGGTAAGTTAATCATCCGCTCGAACAGTAACACGAACTTGCCTTTGCCCTGTAAAGAAAATAATAAAAAAGTTGCAGTTCGTGGCTGTGGAACGTTGCTAGGTCGATGAGTCTGGGGTCACTGTCAAAATAAACTGTCAGTCCAGGGTTACTTCAGGGACGAAGACAAGGACGAGGACGACGATGAACGAAGGAAAGAACGACGAACGAAACGAACTGCGGTTTTATAACGTGGAATGGTCAAGAAAGAAGAGTCGAATCGACAATTTATGACCCCCTCTCCCGTTAACTTGAAACTCTAGATTCTCATCAATGGCAACATGATGCAACACGCAGAACTGCTAATCTCCCGACTATAGACAGGCCTAGAGTCACCATAGCATACTCGGGACATCGCCACCCCTTCCTTCTATCAACACGCATCCCAAATCATAACCTAACTTCTCTTTCCGCGGATGGGCACAAGAACCCTCTCCCTCGATGGCCAGGGTCCTGCTTCTTAAATCAAACCATCTATCTGATCCCCGTCGAACCCCGTCGGCTCGGAGGCAGATCTACCTCGGTGGACCAGAACCAAAACACTATCATATTGCGCATAAAATTTTAATATTACGAACTATGTATGGGTTACGGTTTATCGCTATGCATAACAAATCCCTTAGTACCAATTCACAATCGAAGCCTAGAATGTAGTCAGACAAGATCATGTGCGTGGTAGGTATATCAATATATGGATGGGTGGAGGACGTGAGGTGGTCATAGATATCGTGCGGTGAGTGTAAGGGTGCTCGATGAGTTGCGTCCTTAAGCAAGATCGCGAGGCGAGGTAATATGTTATACTGGCAAACAATGTCCCAAGAAACATACAACCAAAAATTCACATTTTGAGAGTCTTCTTTTTCCAACCGGGTATGAGGTGTCCGTCGTCCTGAGTTCATAGGCTCAGGTCCATATCGTCGCAGTCACGGCCGAGGATCTCCTCCAAGAACGTATTGGAAACACCTGCAAGTGGAGACGCAGCAAACAGCGAGGTACCATTCCGCTTGGCTTCCTCGTATGTGCGTTCCATAGCCGCGCGAGCTCGGCTTACAACAGCATGTGAACAAACAGCCTGCACATCCACGCGCCTAGCAGGATCGGTCCGCATCATGCTCCTAATCAACACAAACAGCTCAGGACTTCCATCCAGATCCATCTGGCTGAAATCTTCCTGCCGTATCCTGTGCCATCCATCTCCCCTACAAACAAACCATCACTACTTTCCAAAAAGAAAATCACATGTCAACTTACTGATCAGGCACAATAATATTCGTGGTCGTTTCTAGCATCGTCATCCCAAGACTGCAGGATCATTAAAACATCAGGGTCCATTCTATGCTCACGTCCATATCCACGGCTCAACATACCTGAAAATATCGGCAGCCTTGCCGTACGTGCCCTGTAGAACTTCCCGCGCGAGGTACACCTTGTCCCCCTCGCGCTCGAACGCGCCCCCAGGTCGGGGCCACACCGAGGCCATTCCAAAATCTCCGATCTTGAATCGACCTTCACGAGTAAGGAAGATGTTCGCCGGCTTGAGGTCTAGATGGATGATCCCTGCTTCATGGATGAAACGAAGACCCTGCAGGCACGAGGTTAATATCCAAGAAAAGACATGTCAAGACGGAAACGAGGGTGAAGAATAGACCACACACACACAACATCTTCTCAGATCAGATGATTGGACGAAGTGAATATATGCATGTATAACGGAAGAAAAAGAAGGGACCAAAAAAGTTTTTTCCATTGACCCGCAGCACTCACGTTACTCAAATCCACCATAATCTTCCACACCCGCGCCTCATCCAGGCGCGGAAAGGCCCGCCCATACTCCCACAAGAATCTCGCAAAATTGCCAAGCTCGCAGAGTTCTGTGCGTATAAAAAGCGCGTCATCTTGCTCCCAACTATCCACGTACGTCAGCACGTTCGGGTGAGCACCCCGCGCCGACAGATGTGCCAATATATCCACTTCCTCTCGTAGTCGCAGGCTGTCACCATATGTCAAATAAACAAAGACGGATGTGCGAATGACAGAACAACCCACCGATGCCGAGGACCTTCAAATGGCTTTGATCGTTTGATAGCCCAAACCGTGTCCTCAAGCTCGCGCCCGATCTTAGCGCGCACTTTAATGACCTTTCCAAACTCCCCGCTCCCAACTTGTTCGACCTCAACAAACTCCTTCTCGAAACGGCCAGCGTCCGAGACTTTCCTCACGTGCTCGATAGTAGACATTTTCCGTGACCGCGGTCCAAGCGGAGAATGCGAATGTGTAGCAGATGTTTTCGAGGGCAGATGCCGCGCGATCGTAGGGGAGTTCAATGAGATCGCGGAGCTATTCGAGCTCGAGCGTGAGCCCGTGGTGTCCACGGTCAAAGTACGCGCTGCGGGCATCGGCCAGTCTAAACCATGAAATACAATGAGACAACTGATCATAAATGAACGCGGAACCGGACGCACCTTTGAGATTGATGTTTCGCCGTGTGGGCGTGCCGCCTATGCTCTCCCCACTCGAGAACGCCCCGCTGCTGCTGCGGCGCATGAGCCACCTTCCAGCAGGACGGCCAAGTCCGAGACCCTTGTACTGCTTCCTTGAACTGGGACTTGTAGTTTCCTCGTCCTCTTCAGTGTCCGATCCACCAGTCTTGATCGTCACAGCGCTACCTTTCCCAAGGGGGATAGGGAACGCAGCAGGCAAACTCTTCCGTGGCTTCTTCCCATTCCCATTCGCTTTGCCCCCCTCTACACCATCAAATGAAAACCCAACCTTAGATGCAACAGCACTCTGCCATAGACGCCCACCGTCGAGCCCAAAGTGGCTCTTGAGCCTCTTCACAGGCGTTCCAGGGGGTTTCTTGCCCTCGGCTGCAGAAGGCTTCCCACCTGCCTCTAGTGTGCGTAAGATGAATGCGTCGACGTCGTCCTCATCATGATTAAAATATTGATATGGATGGGATTGATTAAATGAATGAAGATGCGCGTCGTCGACGCCCGAGATTCTTGGCCAACCGGAAAGTGCACCAGGCATGATTCCGGGCGTGACCAGGTCATCGCCATTGTCATTATCAGAGTAGATAGAGCTCGAACTTGTGCTTAACGCCGAATTTCGCGCGGGCATTGACTCGTCGTCGCTGAGAACGATGCCAGAGTCCCGTGGCTTATACTTGGAGGGTAACAATCCTTCCTTGCCTTTCTGTGATCGTGGAGAAGGCGTTCCCTCTGTGACACTAAACACGAACGAGGATTCGGTTGGGCCAAATAACATGTCCTCGTCATCTGAGTAGACCGTGCCTGGACCGTCATTCAGAGGCGAAGAGTTTGGGGAGGGTGTGTCCAAACCCGACCGCAGCGCCCATGGCATTGGGGCAGCGGAGAAACCAGCTGAGTCTGGACCTGCATAGCTATGTCGATTGGCCGGGCTGAGACGGGACTGCATGGACAGATCCAGGGTAGCAGCGAGAGAGGAATTAGTCCGCGTGCGTGGGCACTGTGCGGATTGAGGGATTGAGGGTCCGAAGAAGAGAGTAGCCGAACTATTGGATGTCATTCGGGTGAAGGGACGGGGGCGAGGCTGAGAATGCAAATTTGGACGGGAGGGTGGGTTAGAGAGGAATGGATTGGGGCCACTGGACCCTGTGAGTCGTCTTCGTGGTACAGGAGAAGGCGAGCCGACAATGGAAGTGGGCCGATTGCGATCGCGAGATACAGAAGGAAATGTTATTGGGACAGGGGGTGACTTCGTGTTGGAAGCCTCAGCCTAGAGTAAAGTTTTGTCAGCACAATGGAAAATATATATTTTTACTGATGTGGCTTCTGACCTTGGGTGACGGTGTGTGGTTTACACTCTCAAGGAGTTCAATGGAAACAGGTCTCGAACGTGCCCGACGCTTGATAATATGCCCTCCTGGAGAGATGGCTTCAGTGACCTCATCCTTCGCACTACCTTTCTGTGGCACTAGCGCAGCATTGATAAGGAGGGATTTCTTCGGGCTAATAGACCGGGATTTGCATTTGCGGAGTGCAGGTAGCCTTTGTACAGGTTCTCCGTCGGAGTCCAGATCTTCTATAATACCCCAGCCCTCATCTGAGTCATCAGGATCCCGAATGCGCAGCCGCTTCATTGTTTCTGCCTGTTTCTTGACAAATGCGTCAGTGTCAGCTTTACTCTTTGGCTGGGGGGTAAAACGAGGTGCTGGCAGAGGTGCAAGACGGTGGAAAGCGATACCAGATGAAGGGTCGGGTTTCGAAGCAGAGATATTAAGAGGAGTGCACGTGGCTGATGGGACAAGACGCAAAGGCGTAGAGAAGTCGCCACCGCCGGATTGCGCCGATTTGCGTTTGGTGCCTACGCCCACACGATGTGCAGGCTGCGAATTGAGCTGCTTTGCGGCTAGTACGGTACGGTGGGAATCCTTGACTGGCGTAAGGAGTGGCTGAGTGGAAGTGTGATGAAAGAAAGGGGAAGATACATCGGATGAAGAGGATAGGAACAGGGTCGCTTCGTCATCATCTAACATGATTGGTTTGATTGGTTTAGGATGTGAGATGGAGGATAGACGGTGCACTAGAGGGGGTGATTTGAATGGAGATTGTAAGAAGATATCGCTGTCATCGTGATCCTGCTCCTGAGTCAGTCCATCTGCTTTATGTTTGGCATCTACTGGGAACAATGGTCGTCGTCTAAGAGGAGACGGTGTCAACATTGGTTGCTCAGATGACACCCTGAACTTTGGGGGTGTTTGATAATGAGCTGCGCAACAGCCTGGGGATATTGGCGAGACGCTCTGGTCGCGTGCTCTACTTCTGGATTTTTGTACAGAAGCTATGTACTGTGGGACAGACGTCGAAACAAGCGCCGTCATTGTCGCCGCTGTGCTGTTTTCGTCGTCTTCGTCGCTGCTGTCGTCGTCGTCACTGTGGTAAACGTTGAGGAGGAACAAAGGTTGACAATATGGAAAGAAATCGATGAGCAATTAATTTACAGCAGTGTGTTTATGGGCCACTTTCTCGACCGTGAGAATATCACTTTGTTCCACACTCAACAATGTCACGTGGTCGCGTATTTGCATCCGTGGAATCTTTTTTCTATTTGTTCATATTATCTCTTGCTACCTCCGTCGTCGTTACACGAGGCTATCAACCGTTGCGGTTATTATTCCGTCACTTCCCATGACAATCATCCGGAGCCGCTGTCCTAAATAATTGTCCAGTCACCGGTGACTAACACAAACCAGCACCAGCCTGTTTATTTCACAGCTCTTCAGAGGTTGAAACTCACCTGAAAATAGGTTCTGCCTGTTGGGCTCCGTACGCAGTTCTCATGTGCGCAGTTCGTAGCTGGTTTGGCTATGGTTTACCAAGTTCGCGGAACAAGTCGCGGAAATTAAATGTATTCGTACGAGATGATCTTCTCGATTGCTCACGCAGCCGCCTGGCGCCATACTCTCGTTCCTGGCCTTAAAGTGGGGTGCGCTTCTAAATTTTGTTCCTTTCTCGATGCACGATCATCATCAAGCTTTTGGTCCCGTCTCTTCCACTTGTGGTTGTACATTGTCGTTGGGTTACGACCACAACTCTAGTGCTATTATTGTTCCCAGCATATTGTCTTTGTGTTATGGCTACAGTTATGGACATTGTTCCAGTACGTATGGTTGTCCTAAGCAACTATTGGAACTTTTGACATCATATTACCACTCCGCCAAGCCGTGTGCCTAGCTGGCTTGAAGAGTGACTTCTTATTCGCTGTCCTGCCCAGCTCTTATCCAAACTCAATTGCTGACGTAGCCTCATGGATCGTTCGCACCCAGTACTGTCATGAAAAGCAATTATGCGGCCGGATCCCTGCTAGACAATTTATTTCAATTTGTCTTGGTCAATTTTTGTATGACATCTCGTAATGCGCACCCTTGAGCTAAAAATCGCAATGTGCTAATCAACGATTCCCCTTTATTTTCCAATCAATGGCGGCGCATGTTTCTTGCATGTCACTGAAAGTCCACTACTAGTACTAAGTCTGTTCATTTCTCTTCTGTAGGTTACCAGCCCCCCTAACACATAGTCACTCTTGATTTGGAATTCCTGGAAAGCCTGATCAGAGGCAGGCTGATAAACCACCTTAGAGCCTGGACAGCTGCGTTTATTTCTCGGTTTATTTCGCAGTTTATTTCTATTGTGGCGTGGCAACGAGTGACAAGTTGTGACTCACGTGTGACTCAATCAGCATCCATACTGCCAAGTCATGGCAAAATGGAAGAGTACAGCATCTGCAAACACTGGTACTAGTGCAGGCTCAACTACTACTCACTGGACTGATGAAGAGACCTCCCACTTCATCCAATATCTCACACTCCATCATGCTGAAGGTGGAGATGGTACCAACTTCAAACAGGCAACCTTTGCCGCTGCAGTGGCTCATTTGTCAGAGCCCCCAGATGGTATTCTGAAGGAGGACCACATAGCTGGAGTCAAAAGGGATGGGCTGTTACTACAGTAAATTTGTACAGATTGCACATACCAACCTTGCTCCCCATACCCATACTTATTCACTCCCTGACAAAGGAATAGACATCCCCACTGTCACTGACAATATCAAAGGAAAACGATGCCAACAGAGAAGGATACCATCAATGACAATAGCTGATAACAAGGCGCTGAAAAGCATCGGCCAAGTCCTGTTGATTTCACACTATCATCTCTACTAACACATCCTTCATTTCACAGCATTCCATTTGTACTTGCCACCTAGAGTGGTGGAGTATGAGTTAGCTTCATTCATTCAATAGACCCAGAGACCTCAGATGGGATGGAGTATGCACTCAAAGACTGAGCCAACCAAAATGAAAGAAAAAGCTAATGATGAGACAAATGTCCAACATAGGGTCTCTGACCCCAAAGGACTATTCTGAAGCAAAAAAAAAAGGGATGGGCTGTCATGCAAGAACAAATGGATCATGGTACATGCATCATTATTTTTCAAATTGATTAAATATCTGACTACTGCAGTGCAAGAAAAAGCATACCACTATCATTGATATCAAATCGTAATCAGGCTTTTTGTGGGATGATGAACTTGGCACAAATATTAGCCCAGCTGATGCCACATGTTGGACTGCATTTTCAAATGCACATCCCAATATGAAGCCCTTTCACAACAAAGGCTGGAAACACTTCAAGGAGATGGATGATCTTTTGTGCACACAGATCTCACATGGCACTAATGCCTTTCATGCAGGCCAGGAAACCTTCCAATCACAAGGTAATTCTCACGACATCAGCAGCAAAGGCCCGGGTGTTGATGTTGTTGAGAATGAGCCTGCAGCACCTGTGATGGGAGACCTGGGGGACTTAGTGGTTGAAGGAGATGTTGAGAGGATTTTGGAGAGAGATTCAACTGGGCTGGATGACAATGAAGAAGATATCATTCCTTGGGAAGCAACACCTCCTCCTCTTTCAAAATGAAAATTTGTGGCCATGTCTTTGACTCTGTCTCTTACCCCTTCTGAGTCTTGTCCTTCTGGTCCACAATCAAAATGTCAGCATGCCAGCGGATCAGCCAATGCACTCTATGCAATAAATGATCAATTTTCAGAGTTCACTGATGTCTTTTGTGTAGCAACACAATCGGAAAATTCAGCTATTGCCTTATCACCTCAGTGCAAGCAGGCAGCAATGCAGTGTGCTCAATTTCTAGAAACTCAATGATGATAGCATGGCCACACTTATCAAAGCCTTTCAGGTGGATGTCAGTGCTGCTGGCACATATATGGTCATGTCCAATGAAGGGCCAAGGAGGTCTTTTGTTGATCACAAGATCAAATATATCAACAAGTAGAATATCTAGGTAGTATAGGCATTGTGTACTCATCTTGTTGTGTCCTGATGAGCGCAACACACTCTATGATAGTCCCTCCACATAGCATCTGCAATACAATCTCTGTCCTCTGTTGCCTTTTGCCTTTCAGTACAGCCCGCCAGTCCTTCAGCAAGATTGCCCCTTGGCTCACCTGGATCAAGGTCCATGAGATCCTTGATGGCGAATTCTTCTATTTCCTTTGGATCAAAAATTCGGATGAAATTGTGAATGGTGCAAAGTGCTGGGGGAATTCAGGCTTGTGTTGACATGCTATATTCCAGTGGATGTATGAGTATCATGAACCACCTCTTGAGAATGCCAAATATTCACTTGATCACATTTCGAGCCTGAGCATGCCAAAGGTTGCATATTTCTTTCAAATCCTTTGGCCTGCCATCCATGAGAAAATCAATAGTTCGAGTGAAATATCACTCACCAAACTGTAGCTCAACCCTACTCAGCCAAGTGGTACCGAACACTTTGGTATGGAACGAGAAGTGAGTAGCATATTCTGAACCCAGCGTCCACAAGGTAGTATCTTCCTTGCAGAATGTATAGGTCAGTGAGATGGGCATTATTATATAGAGTTGAGTCCAAGGTTGATTCATCCCAACTGCTGAGCACATACCAGAACCGAAGATCAAATGAACAGCATGCAAGACAATTTCGGCTGACAAAACCTTTTCAGTTTTGAGACAGCTGCCTTTCTGCTGTGGATGGACAACACACAATGTGTGTACTGTCCATGGCTCCAAGTGCCCCTTCAAAGTGCAGAAAGAATTTTGGGTTCCCAGATATTTCTGGTGGAATAGGTGCGTCCTCCTGCAGTAGATAGATGAATTTGTTGTTGGGAGCCAAAGACAGAGTGAGCAGAACCTTCTTGAAATATCTGACGCAGCATGTGAGACAGTGAATATCTTGCAATAGTATGGACATACTTCTGTGTCATTGTGTGGGAGTGCTGAAAACATTCTGTGACATGACAGCTTGAAAGCCCTGTCATGCATGTATAGAGAAATATAGTGACTTGCTCATCAAGCAGAATATATTTTGAGTTACATAGCCTGCAGGTCCGAAGCTCATGTACAAGCACATGGAAGATGTGTTTCCTCATTCTGAGCTCAGTTTTGATCCAGTCAGGGTGTCCATCGATGAGTTCTTGCACCCATGCATGTCCAGTGAGTACTGATGTATGGTAGGGAATTTCATTAGCTGGAGACATTTCAGCCTTGGTGTGATGTCATACAGTGTGTGATATGCCAACCTTGTCACGGTTGTTTGTACATATTGTTATGAAATAAATAAACTGCAAAATAAACTGAGAAATAAACACAGCTGTCCAGGCTCTTATATCATCCAATGGTCCTGCATGATCTGTCATTAGAAATGTCATTGGATATGAGACCTCCCATACCACCCACTTGCCTCAAAACATGTCCACCTAATTGGAGTGAGAATACTGGAAGAGTGTCTCATGACATGGTACTGTGATGCTGGACTAAAAATATTGCTTCTTTGAAGTGAGTAGGAATTGCACAACTACAGAGTTGGTATCATTTCAGTAACAGTTAACATTTATGTTCAATGAAGCTTAGAAGCTTGAAGCCAATGACCAATAAATTGTGAATCAAGTACTGACACCAACATGTGACATCAACCAGTTCTTCCCTAATGTCAACTTCAACCATGGATAAGTATCTTGTGAGTACATTCAAACCAAGTGATCCCTCAAAGCTGACAAAATACCTGTCCTACATGGCTAGGGAATTTTCATGTGATTGCAGCAAAACTTCATCTGAATCTGCTGATTCCCACCTCATCCCCTGCCACAACAATCTGCAGTTTCATGCA